ATAGTCCTGGGATACTTGTACACCACCACACACACACACACACACACACACACACACACACACATTGTAAAAACCCCGGTCGAGGTTTGAGGCTAAAGATGGTTGTCAGCTCTCGAACCGCGATCCTTCATCCGTAAAGCATGGTACTGGTGATCGTGACGGTACTACCTTTGTAGGAGGAATGGGTTTATGTATGCGCCTCCAACCAATGAAAAACGATAACAATTTGCTGCCTTCCAACCCAGATGGCTCTCCATTTGCCTCACCAACTGGAACCACCGCGTTCCCTCTCAAGCGTGAGGGTGATGATGGTGGTTGTGGTGGTGGTGTTGGCCGTCGGCACTGTCCATGCTTTTGGCTTTCAGTCCTTTTCCAAACTTACAGCACGCCTCGTGTCTCCTCAGGTTGTCCAGCCTGGGAAATCGCCTCTTACAGCCCAGCCCGTGGTATTTGCACAGCGTGTGTTGATGCTTGGGCCTGTGCGTGGCCATGTGCCTCTTGAAATTCGAGCCTTCGCCGTTCAGGAACGTGTGGCAGATATGGCAGTACATCTTATTGCCGTTGTGGTGGGTCGCGACGTGCTCGTCGCGGACTTGCTTGTACATGAACGATTTCGGGCACGAAGGGAATGTGCACTTGAACGGGCCTTCTGATTTGTGAAGGTGCTGGTGTCGATGACCTGCCGCGGAGGCGGAAGACGAAGATGTTGAAGGAAACGTGGTAAGAAACGAGGCGAGATGCTTCTTCGAGATGTGGCCCGTCAGCGCAGCTTCGGAAGCAAAGTTTGGAGAGTCACAGTTCTGCCACTGGCATTTCGTCACGCCTTTGACCAAATGAACGGACTTTAAATGCTTCTTGAGGTCGGTGCCAGTGGCGAAGGAGGCGCCACAAACAGTGCCGCAAGGCATCAGCCATTGGCAGGCTCGAGAGGTCTCGGGGGAAGTAACGGCACTTAAAAGATCTTGTGTGTTGTTCAATGGGTCCTTGAGAGCAGCAGCAGTAAGGAGTGCTTTGGGCTGTAGGCTGGAAGTTGTGCTAAGATTCATCGGTTCAGATACCGGGAACTCGGGTAGAGATGTGCGCTGATGAGCGGCGGCTGGATGACATCCAAAATTCGGTCTAAATGGTGGTAACGGGAGCTGTTGATTTAGTCCGGGGTTGCCCGTGCAAATCTGCTCCTGAGCTATGTTGGTCCAGAAGGGGATGGTGTTATCGAAGCACTGGTGGTGCATAGGGACGTCCAGTGGATGTGCGACAACATCGGGCTGGCCGTTAGGGAGTTCGAAAGCTCGGAAAGTGGGAGCGTCTGCCTCGTCAAATTGTAGGTCCGGGGCCATCAAGGCATTCTCATCCAGTAGTGGGACCGAGAATGAGAGACCCAGAGTTTTATCCCGTTCAAACTGACTCCAGTCAATGCAGTCAAAGCAAGAGAAATCACACTCGTCGCAGGTGCCTTGACACAAAGCGCCTTCGGAGCACTTGGCATCATTTTCCTCGTTACATTCCTCGCAATCGTCGACATAGTCGCCGACGTGTTGGTTTGCTTTCAGATGCTCCTCGACACAGTCCTCGCAGTCGTCAACACAATCCTCACAGTCCATCGGACTGGGGGAGGTATGGTGAGGTTCATCACAGCAGGGTGCAAGGTCATTGGCAACCTCGTCAAAATCGACAATGTCAGCACTGTCGTGTTCGTAGTCGACACAGCAGTTAAGGGCGTTGGACGGCTGGAAGGAAGACTCGTCGTCCTCGCCGCAACAAGTAAATTTATGAGCTTCTGCGGAAAACCGTGACGGGCTCCTCGCTGGGACCTGGCCCCTTATCGGTGATCTGTAATTCTGCGCCCGATGTGCGAGGCGTGACTTGGGCGGGAAGACGTCGATAGGATTGACATAGGGCTGGTGATGGAAGTCTTGGGCCGTCAACCCCTGCGGAGATGTTCTGCCCATAGCGATGCCGGCACGGGGAGCGCGGAAGCTCTACTGGCTCAGACGATACGGTCTGGTTGCGCTCGACTCGTCTCGGCTGAACGAAGGTGTCTGAGGAGAGAATGAATCCCAAGGCTGTGGTTAGTGTAACGTGGGGTTTTCGGGAAACGGGAAAATTCGAGGCGATCGAGGCTCGAGTGGGATGCACGGGGTTTATAATCCGGCCAAGCCAGTCTAGCTCTAACTGGACTAGTCCAGCACGTTAGAGGATGATAAGTCTTGGCATGACATTGGTCTGTCACGCAACACATCCCGAGTCCACACGTGGACACACCATTGACACGAGTTGCTTCACATGTCACACAGTTTGTTTCTACATCGGTATCGACATTTTTGCGTGTTTGACTTCCCAAGTCGCAGAGGTGCTCCAACCCCTGCTCTCCGCTCCCCTCATCCTTATCCATCTGACTTTTTCACTCTCTTGACCTCCTCACGCTGCGTAAACTCCAGGAACTCCCTCTTTTTCTGTTCCATCTTTTTGTCGTCCATGTTTTCCTCCCATTTCACCAGAACATTCTCGTCATCATCCAGCAGATCACTCATGTTGTCCAATCCCTTCCACTTCACAATCCCATCGCCCTTGAAGCTGGCCACTCGCTGTGGGTAGAACATGTGGCAGGTTGGTCTGAAAGCCTCTCGGCCAGCCGGGGTGTTGATGTCCTTGATAAGTGGGGGAAATAAGAGAATCATGTTTCGCCCTTCGTCCATTATAGGAGCACGGCAATAGGCACAAGAGACCTTACAAGGAAGGTGATGTGTGGTGGATTTTGCAGTCGGGTCATACCAGCCGAGGTCGTGGTGGCCATTTGTGAAGTTGATATCCGACTTGTGAAAGATGGCAGCCCATTGAAAGGGTGCCTTGAAAACGAATGAACCATCAGAGAGTGTCCTCAAATCATAAAAGAACACCGGCAGCAGTGTGACCGGGGTAGACAGGCGTAACTTACTCCATGTAATCTCTGACACGTCGTGCAATGACAATACTTGGCCGCCAACGGCTTGTCTCGACTCAACTGATACGTGACTTTGCCACAATGGCACTGACCCTCCCATTTAACTGGGAAGTCCTCATCTTTGCCGTGGAGACGGTATGGCTCGCGGTGTTTCCACTCATCCTCCGGGCGGTCTGTGGTGGAACCAGCTTGGTATTGATGGGCTTCTGGGGATTCATTGTCCCTCTTAGATGGTACGCTGTCCTGCTCTTTACCCATTTTGCTGCTTGTGAATGAGCGTCTAGATTGCTTAGGGGTACTGTGGATATAGCCTGACACTAAATGATGGGGGTCCGAACTCTTCGAAGGCGCAGGTAGAGTACGTGTTCTTTGAAGACAGCAAGCAGGGATAAGCGAAGATGCGGCACGCCGTGAGAGAAGGCTCGTAGATGTGACCTGTCGTTGAGAAATCGAATGGAATCCGGGACGAAGTAGTGACCTAGGACTCATGAGGATGAAGAAGAATGTAGGAAGAGAGAGCCGAGGTCGATGTCTAAGAGAAACGAGTGAAGGGACAGACCAAGTAGATCATTATTCCGGCCTGGAGAGTTTCAGGCGCACACAATCATTTTGTCCACTTGCTTTTCTGATGCGATGGATACATTTATTGCAGCGGATTGAAGACCCGAGGATGAACCCGGGCGCAGCCAACAACGTCACCAGTTTGAATGGTCTGCAACCACAATGACAACGGGGAAGTTCGCGTCAGAATGATGACATGCTATACAAATCCCTGAGGGTTGAGGATGGGATTTAGGAGGAATTGAATGCGGAAAAAATGTCGTGCGACTCAATGACACCATGACTCTGCCATCCGCTATCATCATCGAGAAATAGAGGTATAGCAGATTGGACACATAGAGTCTGGGGAAATGGTGGGAGAAAGTCAGCCGATCCCCAATAGTGGTGACATCATCAAGCCTCGCACGTGACTGTATAGATATGCTCCCACCGACTCGAGATTCCGACAGCCTCGCGAAAAGCGCCACAGAGACCATAGCCGCCCATCGCCAGGAGAGACAATGTACATACTGAAGTTGAGAGCTATCAGCCCGCTCAGCTGATGACTTCCTTCGCCTCCAACTGTTTCATCACCTCCATCAACACCTCCTTCGTAGTCAGGGACGCCTTCCTGGGATCTTTCCTCACCCTCTGCCACACCTCGCCGTGTTTCGGTTCATTCGCGACGCATTTTGCAATGACATCTGCCCGTTTCTCCTCGGTGCCGTGCTGCATCAGGAACTTGAGGTACCAGGCCCAGCTATCTCCCAGGTCAGGATCCACCACAAGCGCTTTCTCAAACCAATTCATCGCTTTGTCCAGTCTCCGCTCGCTCCAGAATATCCGCGCCACCGTCACAAACAACACAGGATCGTTATCCACAGCCTTGATGGCTTCCAGACTCAGAGGTTTACGCTGCGTACGCGGTTGTAATTTCCAGATGTTCTCAGACCACAGAAGCCCTGACTTAGGACACTCTTGCAACCCCTTGGACATAAGGATTTTGGCCTGCTGGACATTCGGGGGGTTGGCATGTAGCTCGACTCTGACACTCTCGGCCCATAGCTCGGCATTCTTCGGGTTCTGGAGGCGTGCACGGTCAAGCACGGAGCGCGCTTTGATGATGATGCCTTCCTTTTGTTCGAGTCTCGCCGCCAGAAGCCACAACGGCACGGATTTGGGGCACGCTCTAGTGCCCTGGGCATACGCTTCTCGCGCCTGAGGTACCATGCCCTTATCTTCGTAGATTTGTCCCTTCATCATCCACAGCTTCGCACTTCGTGGAAAGCGTGTCTCTTTCTTATCGATCACTCTTGACGTGAGACCTTGAAGAACCAAGTCGAGGGCGACATCGGTGTTGCCCAACTGCCTTTCGTATGCCGCGCTCTTATACCATACTCGCTCCGTTGGTGCCTCTTGTCTTGCCGTCGCAAGAAGTTCTCGTGCTTGACTGACCTGCCCAGCATCGGCCTCCAACCTGACCGCTGCCAGCCAGATCTCCTCGTTATTGGGATTTTGATTGAATGCTTTACCGAGCACTCGTCGGGCATCGTCAACTTCTCCGGCATGCCATTTCTCCCTTGCCAGCTGGAGCCATAGTTCTTCTGATTGAGGACAGGCCTCGACGGCCTTTTCCAAAACTTGCCACAGGGCGTCTTTGGTGCCATGGTTCCTCTCTAGATCAGCTGCGGCCATCCACAGTGATTTGCTGGTGGGGAAGACTCGTAAGGCGTAAGCATAGATGGCTCGAGCGGTCTCGAACTTCTCCCGTCCAATGCTTGCCTTAGCGTCATCCTTAAAGATCTCTTTTCGGTCGTCATCCTCGTCAAGGGTCCAGCCGAGAGTCTCCCGAATGATGGCGCCACACGTCAAGACAGCACCCTCCTCCTCGCATTTCTCAGCCTCCGTGATCCATTCCTCGCGCTTGAGCATGGCACCCTCCTTCACCAATGCTTTCACGGCACGATTCATGATGTTGACTTTGTTGGCGTTGCCCATTTGTTCTTGTAACCTGGCCGCAGCAATCCAGATCTCGTGGCTGGTGGGTACAGCCTTTCGGGCCTTGTTGAGGACAGCCTGAGCATTCTCAGGCGTCTCCAGACGAGCCAAAGCAAGCCAGAGCTCAACGGACAGCGGAATAATCTCAGTAGCCTTTGCCAGTAAGAGTCTCGCGTCTTCCGCATCCTCCTCCAGATTCACTGCTTCCTTCCAGATCGCCACTGATTGCGGAATATGGTCGATCGCTTGCCGGAGGACTCGTTTCTTTGCTCGAGGGTCTGTCTCCAGTCTCATGGCCTCAATCCACAATCTGGTGGATCGTTCGTTGTTCTTGATGGCGTTGGCAGCAATGATCTTTGCGTTCTGTCCTTCGTTGAGCCGGATATTTTCCAACCAGGCATCCTCACTCTTTGGACACATCTCACAACCCTGAGCCATCTTTTTCCTCGCTGCGACAATCTTACCAGCGTATTCTTCCAAGCGCGCAGCGGCAATCCAGGCTGGTGCGTGTTTAGGGTTGGTCTTGATCACGGAGTCAAGCAAAGTCCGTACCCGCTGAATCTCGCCGAGCTGTACCTTGGAGGGATCGAACTCTGACGTCTCAAGACTGGTGAGATATCCTTTGGGATCAATCGTCGTCGCTGTGCCGGTACCGGCGTCCGCCTTTGCCGCCCTGTCCAGCCTAGTTTGCAGCACTCTGTCTCTTGCAGCACCAATATCGGCAAAGTTTGTCATGGTTCCATCTTTGTGGTCCACACTAGTGACAGCCCCGTCTGCGGTATCATCTTGCACGCTGGTTGAAAACTCGGCAGCATCCCTCGCCCGCGCAAGGACGCTGTCCGGTACAACATAGGAGCGCTGATGTCGGTTCTGTCTCGCTCGTCGATTCTTGCCTGTTAGGTCACCGGGATCTGGAATGTTTGCCCAGTCGTCGTCGGTTAATGTGACGAGGCCTCGCTTCAGATCAGCGAACTGATCCGAGATTTTGGGGTTCTTGCGATTGTACTCTTCGAGCTCTTCTCGTTCTCGTTCTTCCCTAGAGGACGGCGAAGGAATCATGTCGGTAATCTGTTCATTCCCATGTGGAAAAAGATAAACCACGTGTCTTTGCGAAGGGAGGGGCAAATTGGGAAGGGTGGTACTAACCTTAGTCTTTTCCGACGCTTGCCCATGCGCTCATCCACATCCTGATAGATTCTATCTGCCTCGTCGTCGTCTTGTGTGAAAGTGCCCGAGGCAAACAGGCCTGTCTCGTTATCCGGGTCCTGAAACCGGTCGTCATCCTCCTCTTCTTGCTCTGGTTTCTTGGTGCTGGCGCCGTACGCCGTGGGGGGAGCTGCACCGAGTTGCTGTGCTCGTCGTGCAAGAGCCTCTTGGATCTGTTCGGCGCTGGGTCCATCTCGAGCAGGGCCCAAGTCGGATCGAGTGGTGAAGCCGGTTGCGCCTCGACCGAGACCGGCAACGTAATTTTCGGGGGCTTGTTGGTTGAGAAAGTCGCGCCGCGACATGGTGAAGGTCGGCTGGCGGCACCTAGAAGTCGCAAAAGAAGAGCGGTAGCAGGGGGAGAAAAGTGCGCAGAACACCCTGCTGAAGAGAAAGAGAGGGATCAGCGAGGCTGAACAGGTTGATGAAGAACAAGTTTTCAGTCAGGTACTGTACTTTGGTACGAGGCTGGCGTTCTGCATTTCCCCACAGATCAAGACCGCTGCCTTTTACCGCCAAGAGGACCTAAACAGTCAAGCGCCTCGGCACGGCAGCGAAACCATCATGATTGGTCGTTGAAGTCTGGCTTGTCAGGTGCTGAGGTGTCACGTGTGTCCCCTTGTGAAAAACGCCCAAAGCAGTCGCTTGAGTCTACGCCTCAGGACTGATAACACTTTGACTCTACCTGACTTGGTTCCGCGATGATAATAGCTGGCATCGCCTGGAGGGCGCTGGTCAGGAGAATTTTTTGGCGGTTTGGGTGAGCCCATGCTTCCCGAGGTACGGTGTCAAACACCTTTCGGCCTTTACAGCCTTGGTGGACCAAGACTCGGCAATATACAATACTTCCGAACTGGCCTGAGGTCAAAACGCCGAGTTCCCCAAAACATAAGAAGGAAACACTCTCGTTTAATACCCCAATTGTCCCGCATCATTGCAGACTACAGCAAACGACCCTTTCCCCCCTTCGATGAATACTTCGGCTGCTGGGCCACAGAGGGCTGGAGAAAGCGGAACACGCGCCCTCAAATCCAATAAGGCATGTGTACCCTGCCGTCTTCGCAAGGTCAAGTGCAATGCTGCCGTGATCGGCCTTCCTTGCAGCAGCTGTACCAGTAGGCAGTGTGCCGAGGACTGTGTACTGCGCGCCCGGAAGAGTCGGACCAGGTGAGTTGATTGCTGGTGGGATGGGTTATGGTTCATAGTTCATGGTTCATTAGGCGCGTGCTAACATAGATGGGGCTTATAGGAAGGTAGTACATGTTTCCACGATTCCTAGCCATGGACGAGTATGCTTGAGACGATTGGCACTACTCCCGCTCCTTCTCTTCACTGTCCATTCTTCTGCTACTCTGGCGATCCTTCGGAAGTCCCACTGACCATGGCCAGACTACAGGCATCCCCGCTACATCCGACAGTCGCCAGTTGGATGGTCTCAACCAATCTGATGAATCTAGTCATTCAGAGCAACCTTCCACTTCCGATCCCCTGGATTGCCAGAACCCACGTCAGACGGAGCCAGATCTGCTCTACCTCAATATCCTAAATGACGCCGTGAAAGAACCGACAGAGTCCAGTCGACTCCCCAGCGCTTCTAGTACCCCTTACCGCCAAGGGCCGGAAGACAGTTTTACTACACGGAACTGTCTATGGACTAAGCTACCCCAATTAGACGACGTTGACATTGACTATCTTGTCAAGAAGGGTGTCTTTGATCTACCTCTTCCGCGCTACTTGTAAGAATCCTCCATCGCCCTATCTTCTTTGGATCTCCGCCTCCACTCTATTCACAAACCAAAAACAACAGAGATGCCCTTATTAAGACATACTTTGACCACGTCTACCCTTTTGCTCCTGTGATCAACAGAGCTGAATTCATCCGCCGTTATCAATCCGGCGACTGCTCGTTGTTCCTGCTCCGCGTCATATTGACACCAGCCAGTCTCTATGCTCCAGCAGATGTCTTGTCCGCGTGCGGCTTTGCCAGCCGCTCGGTCGCACAAGAGTCATTCTTCTCCAAGGCCAAGCTACTCTACGACTTTGGCGCCGAAGACGACTCCTTGTTGTTGCTGCAGGGATCCATTATCTTGTGCACGGTGATTCTCGACCACCCCACCGATTGGGACTTCGGCTTCTGGTTCCATAACGCGGTCCGCCTTGCCACCAAGCTTGACCTACGCAACGCGTGCGTTTCCTACTCCTGGACTGTGACACCCGTGACATGTATTAAGAAAACTAATTGCCTACCAACTCTCCGACAGATGTGTTCGAGAAGATAAACCCCGCAAAATCTTGAAGTTGTATAGAAGGATCTGGTGGGGCCTCTATGTACGTCCTCCTCCCCTCATCGTCTTCTTTTCTTCCTGCTTTACGCTTACTATAGCTGTGTAGTTTTTGGACATTTTCAACGTCTTCATCAACACCAGACGCTCCCGACTACTCGAAAACACCTCGGCGATCAAGCCTCGGACGGAGGATGACTGGGAAGCGGAGGATATCCCAGCAGTATCATCCGGCTTGCTCTCGGCGGTGACGCCCCAGCAAAAGGCCTCCCCGATTGTCCACTGCGAGTTGTCTCGAATATGTGTGTTTTGGTTCTATTCTCCTCTTGACATAACTAACTCTATTTAGTCGGGCAGTGTTTGTCCCTTGTGACAAACAAGCCAGAGCAGGATCCGCGCCAAATGATGCACCCACTCGATGTATGGCGCAAGTCTCTCGCTGCCAAGATGCACATAGGTGAGAATACGGGAACTGACGTCTACTATCTGAATATACAAGCCATGAGCTACAGGTTTGAGTGCATCTTGTGTCGTCTGATACGTCGCCGTTGGCAGCAGTCCCTGCACGCGGACTGGAGCGAGTGGGCCAAACAGCGGCTTCGGTCCGCTATTCTGGAGTTGGACACAATTACCATGAGGGTGTTGGCTTGTGGTACGCTTCACGAGTTTCCCATGTCTTTGTAGGTGCCATCCATTCCTTGCTATTCTGCCATGTCTGGAAAAGAGAACGCAGCAATACAACTGACAATGGCCGTGTCAGCGTAACCACCATAACTGCGCTGCTCGCTCTTCACATCGAATCGGCCCTCGACCCAGCCGAGACAGAGCTCGTCCGTTCCATGGCTCGGATCTCCATCAACCAGACCATGCTCATCCTGGTGCAGGGAAAAGAAATACCCGCCCTCAGACGAGCGCTGCCGGTGTTCGAGGAGATTCTGGCCAAGAAAAATCTGTACTTGGTTCCGCTCAAAATGCTCGATCAAGTCCCTGCGCAGTCGCAGTCGCAGTCCCAAGACAACGGCATGCCGAATGCGTCCACTTGCCCGCATGGACAGGTCAGTGTAGCTTCGTCTCAACTGGAGCAGGGTGAGGATGGTCCGTCATTCGTTGCGGATTTCCTGGAGTTTGATTTCCTGGATGAGTGGCAGATTGGGCAACCGGATTTTCCGAGTCGATATTGACGTGGGTCTCCCAAGAACGGGGGGGCATTGAGGCGCACGAATTCTCTCGTGTTGGTATGATTACTTTTCGGGCCATCCTAAATGCGCGGGACTGACACGATGTGTGGGTGACAGCTGGGCTGTCCAAGCGGTGGCGGCTCTTGTGGCTGTTCCACTCGCTGGCAAGCTCAGCGATTGCGCAGCTCCTGTCCAGGCTCGACGCAACAATGATTCACAATAGTTGGAGTTCCGACTCTAGGCGATGGCACCAGCATTTATACTCCTTCCCGGCCGACTGTTAATCTATGAGTCTATGTGGACAGTATAAACAGCCCTGGATTGGAGTACAATTTGAAAAATCGGTCATCACGCCAGGGTAAGTCTCAAGGTCACCCTCCTCCCGTCCAGAAGATTGGATAGAGGAGAACCGCCAAAATGTGTTGTTCCAAGGTCGCTAACACTCTCGATTTAGATACGGCTTCTTGGCCGAAATCATCACCATGTATATATATCGTCGAGGCTTACCGTCCTATATAAGTGTCCTGTGGCTCTTCTATTCAGCCTTCGTTTCTGGCGCGGTTTGTTCGCTTCCAACCACGGCGATGTGCCGACGATGCATCATCTCCAGCACCTTTGCCGCTTCGGCCGCATACTTGCACCTGGAGCGGATCTGCGAACCGTACTTGTTGAACAGAAACGGGAAAGGCATGCAGCCAATCACCAGGAACGCAGGAATGGAGCTCGCCCATTGATTTCCGAGATTTCGGTACATGCGGGTGGTAAACAGGGGAAAGGCGGTGCCGAACAGGGACCGAAGCACCGAGTTGGCCGCCAGCACAGAGGCAGCATAGACAACATCTGGACACAGGGTGAGCATGTGCATTGTTTGCAGAGCATCACAAAGAAAAGGAGATCCAAACGCACAAGAGTCGACGAGATAGCTCATTAGCGAGATGAAGACCATGACCAGTCCCGCCGCGAAAAACATGCCCCCGATAATGGGCGCGATCCAGTGCACCGACGGATACGTCGTCCACGCAAAGAGGAACAGACCAATCGGAAGGACAATCGAACCTGCCATCGCCGTGCGCAGTCTGGCTTCTGGCTCGACCACGCGGCCCTCTGCCTCGGCTGCCTCGCACTGGCGCACGAAGCGCTTGTTGTCCACACCGGCCGCCAGGGTGGCAAGACAGACGCCAATGGCGACACCGACAAACGGAAGTCCGGCGATACCCTGGCTCCAGCCTCGAGCGGCTTGGAAGACGATGGGAAACCCGGCAAAGAACATGTACAGCGTGCCGTAGACGATTGAGATGTACAGCGACGCCAGTAAGACAATGGGTTCGCAGAACAGAAGGACCCAGGGGCGCGTGAAAGAGACCGAGAGCTCCTGCGAGAGTGTCTTGGGCGGCTTTCCCGCATCGATCCGGGACACATATACACTTCCCGTCATCCGGGAGAGGGCCCTGGCTCGACGACGCAGAATGAACGGCGCGTATGTTTCGTGGGTGGTCAGCGACGTGGGAATCCAGATCAGACCACCCAGTATGGCGCTCAAACCGAGAATCCAGCGCCAGCCCTGGGTCTCGCCAAGAAAACCGCCAGCAACGGGGCCTGGAGAGGAAAGAAGGGGGGAGATAAGAATCAGCAAAGTGTACAAGGGCGCCATGGGGGAAAATGGCAGCATAGAAGAAGGACGCCCACCACCTACCAAGTGCCGGCCCCAGAAAGGGAGCCGTGACAAACATGCCCGTCGCCATTCCACGCTCCTTCTTGCTGAACATGTCGGCGATGACGCCCCCGACATTGGTCATCGACGACGAACCAAACGCGCTCGCAAGGAAGCGAAACACCAGCAAAGCCGCGATGTTGGGCGCGCACGCCGCCGCCACGCTGAAGGCCGTGTATGCCGTGAACGAAAGCACAAAGATGGACTTGCGCCCGTACACCTCCGACAGAGGTGCCCAGATCAGCGGTCCCAGAGCGAAGCCCAAGACGAAGAGCGACAAACCCAGTGTGGCCACCTCCCTGGACACACCAAAGCGCTGCGTGATGCCTCCAATGCCGCTGACGTACACCGAGCTCGCAAAGGTCACCGCGAACGTCGACAGGGACTGGAGAACGGCAATAGCCCATTTTCGCCCCTTGGTAAAGTTCATGGCGTCTTGGCCGTCGTTCTGCAGGAAATCGATAATGTAAGGGTCGTCGTCTGTGCCGCGGCCCGGGTAATTCTGGTTGCAGACATCGTCGTCGAGGCGTATGCGGAGAAGAGATTGGATCCAGGACATGCGTGGAGAGGAGTCCTTGATTCGCTGGGGGCCGTCGTCGTCGTCGACAACGGGCACGGGCAGGGCGGCCATGATGGGAACGACAGGAACAATAGGAAGGGAGGGGGCAAGGGCGGAGGAGAATCAACGAGTCTTCACTTTTGCCATCTTCTCACCGAGTAGAAAACTCGCCATTCATATAGTTCATGTCGGACATTGGGACTCGGAGTTTTCAGTGCAGCACATATTGGCGACAGACAGAAGCCCGCGGCATTATCTATCTACGCGGCGAGAAGATGTACTTCCGGGGACGGCAAAGTCAGGTGGTGCTCCCGGAGGGCGACGTCACAATACACGGGAAAATGAGATTCTCGAATCTCGTCTAGTTGTATCAGTGTCGTGTTCAATCCAGATGCGAATGTCTATACAAAACGACTTCTCTGGAGAGTCAAGAAGAGGTTTTACGGAGCAGTCAAAAATTACCACGGTCAAATCGTAGCCAAAAGCGCTAGTAATAGTGACTATAAAAGTAGCAGGTAGTTACGTGCAGTGGGGACTTTGGAGGTAATTACTGTACGAGGTCCCTCGTAAGTGCCAGGTTAGTCTACTACTAAGTGTTTAAACTGCGGCCTAGGTCGCTTAGTGGTAAAAGTTCCACTGAAAAAAAGTCACTGGCAAGACTGCAACTTCAAAATATCTACCCAGTGCCTCCTCGTACACGACGGAATCTCACCCCGGCCTCCAGCCCTTGCGAGGCTGTTATTCTCATTTTCCTTGCCGGAGTCTGTTTCTTAAGAGACTCCGGCATTATCTTCGCCCAACATGCCAAAGGTCAATGTGAAGCGGCGCTCCGGCGCATCCTCCTCCTCCTCATCGCCCTACTCCAAGTCCTCGGCCGCCACGAACGCGATCTTCAAAATGAACACGGACATTGGTCAGCACGTCCTCAAGAATCCCGGCGTTGCCCAAGCAATAGTTGACAAGGCGGACCTCAAACAATCCGATATCGTGTTGGAAGTCGGCCCGGGCAGCGGAAATCTCACGGTGAAGATCCTGGAGAAGGCCAAAAAATGTGTCGCGGTGGAATTGGATCCGCGCATGGCTGCCGAAGTCACCAAACGAGTCCAGGGCACCCCTCAACAGAAGAGACTCGATGTGCTCCTGGGGGACGTGATCAAGACAGAACTGCCCTACTTCGACGTCTGCATCTCCAATACTCCCTACCAAATCTCCTCGCCGTTGGTATTCAAACTTCTGGCCACCACCCCCGCGCCCAGGGTGTGCATATTGATGTTCCAGCGCGAGTTCGCCATGCGCCTCTTCGCCAAACCCGGCGACAAGTTATACTCGCGCCTCAGTGTCAATGCGCAAATGTGGGCCAAAATAGATCATATCATGAAAGTCGGCAAGAACAACTTCAAGCCGCCCCCGCAGGTCGAATCCAGTGTTGTGAGATTGGTCCCGAAAGTCCCGCGACCGAACATCAGTTATGAGGAGTGGGACGGGCTTCTGAGGGTGTGTTTTGTGCGGAAGAACAAGACGCTGCGGGCGAACTTTTTGGGCACGAGCAGCGTTTTGAGCATTCTGGAGCAGAGCTATCGTACGTGGTGTGCGCAGAACGACATACCGCTCGAAGAAGGGCCTGCCGACGACGCGATGCTGATGGAGGTCGAGAACATTCAAGACGGTCCCCACGGCGAAGGGGACGAGGAAGAGGAATGGTCCGGCTTCATGGACGTCGACGACCAAGACGAAGACAGCCTCCCCAGCCTGCTGAAAGAGCAGTCCGGCAAAGCGCGACAGAACCAACCCACGGAGCGCTCCGTCTCGCGCAAGAAGCGCGACAAAGTCTTCCACCTCGTCCGGGAGAAAGTCCGCTCCGTCCTCGAAGACAAGACCGCTCTGGCGGACAAGCGGGCGCGCATGTGCGACGAAGCCGACTTTTTGAAGCTGTTGTACCATTTCAACCTGGAGGGCATCCACTTCCTGGGGATCAAGCACGGCGAGTAGACGAGCACCGGGCACAAAGGCACGCAACTCTGTAGTGTGAGCTTTTCGAGTCCACCGACGACACGATAAGCGCATTCCTTGCCCGAACGGACCAAGAGGGCTCCAACCCGACAAAAGGAGGTTGTGAGAGAGACCTCGAACCAAGGTCTACACCCTGTCTACCAGCAGGACTTGTCAACGCCGCGACAAATGGTCATCCCGCTCGGTTTTATCTCTGTCCCTACATTCCATACGACAACGTCGTTGGCTGGCACCACAGATAACGCACCACACATCATCGACCGACGATGTGAGGGCAAAGGTATCCCGGCGCGAAATAGAAAAAAATGTACGAGTCTGGTGCCTACTTCATAGGACAAAGTACCCGAGGAAGAGGACGGGGGATAGACGGGGCTGTTTGCAAGGAAGGAAAAGTTGCATTCCTGGCGGAATTGTGTATGGAGGGCGTGGACGGACCGATTATATGCCTGGTTCTACCTGTCATAGGATAGGCAGAGACATGATGGGTACATATGTATGCCACCAGGCCTCCCCGGCTACCTCTGGTTAACGACTGACGAAACTGCCCGACTTGATGAGAGAGATACCCCCAGCTAGAAGGAAAAAATGAGTAAATGAAAAGAGGCTGAAACATATCACAAGTATTCACATGCTATCTCTTGAGTCGGTCATTGTTTTCGCTCTGTTATTATTGTTCTTTGCTATCTGCGCGGCGACGTATTGCTTCAGGACCATCTCGGGGATTGGTGGTTGCTCAACCAGAGTCCAAGCCCCCGTAAAATCGTCTATATCCCTCGAGGATACCTGAGGATGCCCCTGCTTGTATTGGGACATCCAGAATGCACGAGGACAGCTCGTAGTCGTGCTCAGAAGTCGTGCCCCGGCCACATCGATTCGATATCATTCCGACGCCGTGCCAATTCATTCACATCATTCGATCGTATATATTCATCACATCGTCGCCGAAAAGTTGAAAAGCGCACAATTCGACCTTTGGGTCTATCTTCAAACCCAATTCCGACAAGTGTGTGAGGGTGCCTCAATTGGCATCCTTTCGCAGATCTTTCAACCACCAGAATTCTAGGTTGACATGGCCAGCCAGATCAACCCCGAAAGACCAGACTCGTCGAAAAGACACAGGAGAGTTCTTCAAACAGAAGGAAAGTCAAAGTCAGAACATTGTGTAAACACATCATCCCGAAGAAAAAGGGCCGCTCGCTGCTTTTCATGTGGCATCCAAGTGCCACGATGCCCATCGCTCTTCGGACAAGCAGATGGAAACAGAAATCCTGCCATGTTCTCGCTTTTTGAGTCGTAAATGCACACAAAGCGTGACCGAGGGTATCAAACAACTTTTGTGTTCGCCTTTTTTTGAGGTCTGCTTTTTCCAACACAAGAAAGGTCGGTATTTATGCCCAACCCAGCAGAAAAGCAGCGGCAGCGGTCAAGGCATAGCCGGCCTATTAAGAAGCACAGCATGCTTGAAGAAAACAACAAGGAGATTCAGGGGATCAAGAGCCCCCGCCATCAAATTGAACAACCCGAACGCTTGGGGGAAAAAAGACACGTGAGAATGACTAACCCAAAGTCAAAAGGAATATGGACGAAGAACCAACTCCGCTCAAAGCTTGACCCAAAGACATGGTACATGAGGTAGAACATTTCATAGATCGAGGTAGCTGTAGTCGACACTTTGGCGAGCGGAATAGTCCTGGCTACGCCGATTCATGCTGGGTGCTCGACTAGGCTGGCGACTTGATCTTAGACTTGGACCACGTTCTTCCAGATAAGAAGGCCGCCTGGACGTGGACACCTCTCGATCTCTTTCTCGAGCCGAGATGACACTGCTGGACACACTCTTTTTGGAATTTCGACTCGTAATGCTCGGTGCGCGTTCGATCCTCTTTTGCTCCTTGGGTCGCTCATTCTCTTTGCCTTCAGCACCCACTGACAGGACGAGCCCTCCGATACTGATGCTAAGAGGTCGTCCGTCTTTGCTGATATAATCAGGAGGAATCGTCATGTTCAAGCCGCCGGGAAGGGTAATACTAGTCTTTGTGCCGCTAGTCTGACTCCTTCCCCGACCAGAGGAATCTTTGGAGGACGACTGCCGACTGAAATTGCTTCCCGTTTCAGATCTCGAACTTGAGTTGCGCTGGTCCAGGTCACGAAGAGCTTCAGCGGTTAGTTCATTCGAGGTCTTGTTCCGCCTCGACTGGTATTCTTCGATCTCGGCTTCCTTGTCCTCCAAAGGGACAGCCATACGGCGAGGAACGGGGCGAGGAGCTGAGGTTGCAACTTTTGTGACGGTCGTTCCAGCTGAATAAGAAACAGATTTCCTGGGCAATGGTCGATCGCGTGCCTCCGGAAGTCCAGGAGGGCGGTACGACGAGGGTGGACGAGAAGCAGATTCTCTGCGCTCACGAAATGCTGAAGGCGGAGGTCGAGATGGTCTGTATTCATGGTCGTCGTCGCTATCGTACCGCTCTGGCTCATACACAACTCTTTCGCGAAGTTGTGGCTCCTGCGGGTGATAGGTTTTCGCCCTTCGGTTGCTGGGGCGACGTGTCAAGACAACTTCGGGTTGGGGTGGTCGTGGAGGCGGTGGCATGATTGCCCGATCATCATCTTCGAGATTGCGGGTAGATTTTTGAGATGAGGGCAGTGGGCGAATCTCTTTCGGAGGTGTTCGTTCGAGAGTCATGATAGCGGAATCGGGGTGACCTTGTCGAATAACAGGTTCGCCATAGACGCTGGACCGTCGGACCGGGCTTGGATGTCTGCTTGGCCTCGCTGAACGTGGCTCAGGGATGGCCGGTTGGTCGAAGTACGAGGGAAATGGCTGGTAAACAGGATACGACGGTGTCGGCAACGGTGCAGGAACGACATATGAGTACGGCATTGGACTGTAGGGTACGTTTGGTGTCACAGGGGTCGCATAGCCTGATGTCGCAACGGCTGGAGGCCCATACATTGCATGGTTGATGTACTGTAGTGGGATAGGAGCATTAGCAAACATGCTTATCGGTCTCGATTGCTGGTTCGACGAAGATCTTCGGGCTTTTACAGGCACCGCATGATCATCTTTTGTGCCTTTCACCACCAATGTTTTGACTCCCACTGCAGAGGGCGGTGGCACAGTGGCTTTGGAGGCTCGCGAGGGATCTTGTTTTGTGTCGATGTGCTTGCCATAGTAGTCGTGGTTTCCGCTGGGGCCTCGCTCATGCGTGTCATGCTTGGCTTTAAACGGTCTCGTCTCTGACGAAGATTCGTTCAGATGGGAGGACGATTGGCGGCGGCTGGTAGGTTGAGAGTGACTGTTTTGAGAGACGAGGTAAGGCTTGCGCTCTCTTTCACGGATTCCTGCGGTGTCGAGCTTCAGATCTGGAATTTTACGTCGACTCGAGGTGGATTCCCCAGCTACAGTGCCAGCCCGGCTAACATAGCCCGAGTCGCCACCATCGGCACTATATTCATTCTTCTCCCGCTGGCGGAGACCAATATCTTGCTGAGAGCGTCTGGCGGAGACATTGGCACTGGTTTGAGAGCCTGGAAGAGCTGACTGGGTGACCTCGTCCCAGTCTTCGCAAGTGGCTGCTCGGGGACGATGACGGTCAGATTCATGCATGGAAGCGGCGGCGATATGCCCCTGAGCAGGTTAATGAATGTTGTTGGTACTGTTGAGCGTACCGGTGTATGCGTGGACGTGAACGAGCAGTGAGGTTTTTGTGATAGAGGCGGTGGAAAGTGGAAACTCGATTTGGGGGGGTGGGTGGTGGTCGTGTCGGCTTGGGAAGTGGAGTGACAGGGGCCCCGACCAACAGATGATCCGCTAAAAACCCACGGCAAGGTACTTATTTTGCAGGGGGCCCGGCCCGTAAGGCTGCTCGGTGTCGCGGGGGCGGCCACAGGCTGGCAAATTCACCGAAAAGATGCGCTGATATCCTCTCCGAGGGGTTGATCCAGTGGCCGCGGCTCGTGGCGTCCCGGGGGCCTTTGTTTGCTGAAATAGCAGTCGTATTATTATTGTCTGCCCCCACGGAAAGACTTGTGCTTGTAGATGAACGGCCCTCCGACCTAATCTGTTGATTTTTGGTGATGGCAAATAATTTCAGTCCAGTTCGTGTGCTTGTGGGTCCATTTCGGGATCAGTTATATTTTCCGTCTCAATCGCCTTGTAGTATTTTGCGCTCAACGTCGCCCTTGAGCCGCAGGTTACAGGTTGCCTCAGGTTCTGTTCCACCTCCGAGTGTCGTAACAATGACTTTGGGCGATGGCAAATGCAGGATTCCGGTCGCACAGAACACTGTTGCCTGCGTGAGAGGAGGGGACAACGGGCACAGGGTTTTCCGTCGCCTCGACGACGATCTCGGATGAGGGTAGTAGTCGTGTGCGATGATGATTTGCCGGGCCAATATGCGCGCCTGTCAATGGAAAGGCCGACTGCAGAGATCAGCCACAGCTCACAGAGGTTTCGCACGATAGAGCTTGCCACTGATGCTCGACAGGATTCTTAATGAAGAGAGGGAGGAGACGGAGGAGTTAATGGCGCTTTTTGCTGCTGGGGATATTCTTCTGCAAGGGAGTCATTCTTGTGTCAACCCCACTACGCGTGGCTCTAGGCAGACAACGCGGAGGAGCGAGGGGCAGCCGGAGGATGTGAAAGAGGGTGTACGTGTCTGTACGTGTAGGAAGGGTGAGTAAGTGAGAGACCGAGAGGAGAGCCAGAGCGAGAAGCAGAGGACGAGGTGTGCCAAAAAAGCCAGGCAACTAAGGTGGGATGGTGGATGGGTGTAGGAATGACTGGTGACCAGCTGCGGAATGACGAACAAGACTCGGGGGGACACGCTTGGTTTGAATTTTTGATTCTTTTTTTTTGTTCCCAGACAGCCACTTTGGCCAGAGCCAGGGTCCCTTCCTCGAGAGAGGGAAAAGAGAAAAAATGGCGCGGCAAGACGAATAGAGACTGGTCTTGAGCGAAGAGCCAAAGGGTGTCATGACCCTTGGGCGCATCCGCCGACCGGCGTTGAGGATTTCCTCAAACCCTTCACCACGAGCCGGTGTAAGCGGCAGCCCTTTTAGTTGCGTGATGCGCGTTGTCGTGAGGATTGCTGCCTTCTGAATGGAAGATGGAGCCCAATGAGCTGCCCAACCTCCACATCCCCGGTCAGCCTGAGAGCCATTCAGCACATCGAACGTCGAGGGTGTCTCCCACAACAGCAGAAATCGAACAAGTCGCTTGCTAGTTGCAGGCTACAACCGCACGCTCCATATCCACTCGATGGATGGTCTGTCTGCCACTCTGCCACTCCTGTCCTCCGTTCATCCCACCCTTGTTGCCTCCAGCAAACTCGCTTCGCTTCCACTCCACGCTCCGCCAGGGAACTCTTGTCGATGATAACATCAACGACGGGGAGGTGTCGACCAAACTCCAGTTTACAGCCCATGAACCCTCAGCCAAAGAGAACCTCCACCCCCCTCTCCAGAAGAGGTTCGGGATAGCCAAATCAAATCAACACCAGGCCCACGACTGCATATGCAGCCCACGGATCCATGGCGTATCTGCCTGGGTTTCTTCGAGCCCTGCCACCAGCTTCCAAGTGTCAGGCCGGAGCATGGGGGGGTGTTCTCAGAGGGGATGGCATTGTGATACAACACCCTGGAATGGCCTGTGGCACAGCTGCCTGTTGGTGGCCAGGAGAAAACGCGGGGAGCCTACACGCAGTTGTTGCTCGTGAAGAGATTCGCAGCTGATGCTGATGCTGACATCGGTGCTAGGGCATTGTGGATGCTGTCCACTAGATGATGGTGTTGATGCTCCAATGCTCCTGTGCGCGTGCCTCAGGCTGCTCGCTGCCGCCCATTCTCGACCCCCCTCTCTATCAAACACTACTTTTACCCCTCCATCCGAGCATCCATTGAACTCTTCTGCCTGCAACTCTGTCATAACTCGACCTATTAGGGCACAGAAACCGAGAACACCTGTCCTCAAGTCGCGGGACGTGTTTCATGACGAGAACTACCCATTGTTATCAGCCTGAATCACTCGCGGCGAGCAGTGAATCGCTGTTGTCAGATTCCTCCTTCATCTTCGATCCGATACCAGAAGAGGAGAAACGGCTTTACCCCTCCAGAGAGGGACGGAGTGGAGCTACAGAATAGTGGCGACGAGGTGAGCAGGGCACAGGATAGGTGTGGCTGCCCAACGCACTGTGACGCTGGCAGCCAGACTTTGCCCTGACTAAACCCAACATTGTCTACGTTCGAATGCACCCCTCCTTCAGTTCAGCCTTGAAAAAGGAGTAGGATTGCACCATCCTCATCAACAAGTCTACCTACTACTAGTACATCGCGGTGCGAATCCCCCGGACGCCAGAAATGCGGCCTCGCCAGGCTAAGTCGCTGCAGCCGCTCTGAGGTCCTTATCAGCCTCGACCCCTTGTCTGAACTCCCCCGGTCAACCGGCCACCCCTGCTTGCAGTTGTCTTGTTGCATGAACTCAACAGCCGAACTTGATGCTGGTGGAAGAAGACGGTCGAAATCCTTCGATCCAGCTTCAGCAATGCCAGCCCGGATTCTCCCGCCGAGATGCCCGAGGACCACCCCTGTCCAAACACCCGTTCACTCACGGAACTTTTGAAACGTCTGTCCTTGCGTGTCACTCCATCTTACATCCTCTCCACCGGGCTCAAACCCAGGAGAGTCATGCCATTCCACAGCACCTGTCGGGCAGCCTCGTACAGTGCCAACCGAGCCTTCTGCAGCTCAGGTTCGCTGCCAACCACTTGCAGGTGGTCATAGCTCGAGCTGAGCGCATGCGCCATCTTGAACAGATAAGTGAGGACAGTTGCTGGTTCTCGAGTCTTGAGCGTATTGAGCACCACATCTGGGTACTGTGCCAGCGAACGAGCCAGGTTGACGGCGTGGGGTTCTTTCAGCAAGGACAGGTCTGCAGAGCCCAAAGCACTGAGGTCCGCATTGGCTTTTCGCTCAATCGAGCAAAGTCGCGCGTGCGCATACTGCAAGTACGGACCTGTATCGCCCTCGAACGCCGTCATCTGGTTGATGTTGAATTCATAACCATTCCGAACCTTGCCTGACAAGTCCTGCACCATGATAGCAGTAATGGCCAGCACATCGGCAACTGCGTCTGGGTTGTCCAGCTGGGCATATTTGTCATCGTTCTTCTTCATGACCTCCAGCATAGTGTCCTTGACCGTTTGAATGATATCGTCGAGGAACTTGACTGTCCCTTTTCGGGTACTCATGCCCTTGACCATGCCGAAGGAGATATGCTCGCATTTCTCTGCGACTTCTTTATGTCCGCTGATCTCGGTAGTCTTGAACAGTTGTGCAAGATGCTCGTTCTGCTGATCCGCGACCACGTAAATCATCTTGTCAAAGTGGTATTCGTCATATCGCTCCAAAATCGCGGCCAGGTCTCGGGTAAGGTACAGAGCTGTGCCGTCCTTTCGTACGATTATCGCCTTGTTGAGCTTCTTGGCGCCATGTTTGGCGAAATCAATCAGGATTGCGCCGTCAGAATACTCTGCGATGCCCTGTGCGAGCAGACTATCCAGGACCCGCTTGATTGTCTCGGCCTTGACCTGCGACTCACCAGAATACACATCAAATTCAATGTTCAGCCGGGCGTACGTGCTCTGGTACTTCTTGATGCTCATGTCCCGGAACTTCTGCCATAGTGCCAAAGCCCCGGGGTCCCCTTCTTCCATGCTCTTGAAGTATTTTCGGGCCTTTTCGTCTTCGCTTTCTTCCACGAGAGGTGCAAGTTTTGCTTCTAGGGCCGACACGTCTTCTCCCTTGTCCTTTTTCTCCTTGATCTCCTTCTTCAACTCATTAATGGGCTCGTCCTGGGCGAGTTTTATCTTGTTTATTTCGACGTAGACATGAAACAAGTGCGCAATCGAGTTCTTGTCTAATTCCTCCTGGCTACCGAATTGCTTGAAGCCGTTGGCCAGGAGGCCGTATTGTTTACCCCAATCTCCTAGGTAATTCATCCTCAAGACATCCCAGCCCATTCGCTGGTAAAGCTTCGCCAAAAAACCACCTATGATAGTACTCCGAAGGTGACCGGCGTGGAATTCCTTGGCGATGTTCGGGGACGAGAACTCCACGATGAGCTTCTTTTGGCCCTTTGAAGGGTCTGACGGGTCTTTCAGACCGTTGCTGACTTTACAGCCGTATGCACTCTTATGAGTCAGGATTTCAGGGATTGTCATGCTGATCAGGTGTTGGGGTTTGGCGAAGAACTGGACGAACGGGCCAGCCTGGGATACGGTGACGAAGGTGTCTTCTGTCGAGGGAAAGGCCTCGACAATCTCCTTTGCCTGTTCTTGCGGCGGTTTACCCTTGACTTTCAATGCAGGGACGGCCAGAGTGAAATCTCCCTTGTCTAGAGTCGTGGTCCATTGGATCAAGGGGACAATTTCCGCTGCCGGTCGATTGACTATGGGAACCAGCTTCTCGGCGATGTGTTGTCGGTAAAAGTCCATAGGGTTCTTGCTCTTCCCCATTTCCTCCAGCGTCAGCGAGGAGACTTTCCCACTGAGTTGTCCCGCCATTGTGGGTTCTGCCGCTGGAGTGAGCCTGTGAAACAGTTGTTGTTGTCGTTGCTGAGTCGCTAGAGCGTAAACAGCAGCAGAGATTGGTCTTTTTGTGCTCGATCGGCCAACTTGACGAGTTTGTGGAAAGCTGAAAAGTGTTCGGATATGCTGGATCTCTCTGGTTTTGATAGATGTGACTTTCGAGCAGCTGTAAAATTTTGGGTTGCGACAGAGGCGAGAACACCACATCCTCCCTTGAGGGGGAGTCAATTATGTTTCTCCACTGCCACCGAACCGCCTCAAATTTTGAGTCACTCATTTGATATCTTGGCATCTCGTTCGGCTCGGATTAAATTTATTGCGTCGTTCATCCTTCATCTCTCCACGTTCCCAACTGCGTCATGAAACTTACACATGAGGCTGTGCTCACCTACACAAACACCACGAAATGCATACTGTGCGATGATAGATGAGGCTGCTTAACCATGTCTGAGGCACCAGATCCCCCGTCATATACAGCGACACAGGCAGAAGATAGTCGCGAAAGAGAACGATCGAAACGATTCCGTTTCAAGTCCCGGAGGGGGGATGAATATCGCGGCGACAGTGACTCACGCGGTCACAAGCGGCGGAAGGACCACGATTCTTCACGCAGGCACAGGAAACGTCACAGATTGTCAGAGCCCACCAAACACGGATCGGTTCCACAAGAACGCCCGTCGAACTACTTGTCGCCCGACCAAGCATTTCGAGAATCGCTGTTCGACGCACTCGGAGACGACGAAGGCGCGGCGTTCTGGGAAGGCGTCTATGGGCAGCCCATCCACAACTATGCGGATACCTATCAAGATGAAGAGACTGGGGAGTTGGAACGCATGACTGACGAGGAATATGCGCAATTCGTCCGGCGGAAAATGTGGGAAAGGAGTTGGGAAGGGGTCGAAGCCGCAAAGGAGGAAAAGAGGAGAGAAAGAGAACGGGAGAAACAATGGATACGTGACGAAGAGAATAGAACAGAGAGCGAGAGGCAGTCCCGTCATGATGACCATATCTTCAATACGCAGATCGAGGCCAATCTCCGCCGAGGCGAAAAGCGGAAGGAGCGCAAACGGTGGCACAGTCTATGGGAGGACTACTTGCGCCGGTGGGCAGACCTTCAGGATCTTGCTCAAGATCGGCCGAGGGGCGAGGGCAAAAACATTGGCGAGCAGCTCTTCCTCCGCAACAAAATTGCGTGGCCCGTCGAGTCAGGAAGGCGTAAAGACATGAATCGGGAAGAAATTGAACGGTTCATCAGAAAGGGCACTGCTGCCCATGAGGTCTCGGAGGGGACTGATCCATTCTCGAGCGCTATCAAGACGGAGCGGGTTCGCTGGCACCCTGACAAGATTCAGCAACGTTATGGATTCATGGAAATCGATGACGAGACCGTGAAAGCGGTCACAGCAGTCTTTCAGGTGCTCGACGCCATATGGAACGAAATTCGAGATCAGACAGGGTGAAGAAAAGTTTTCAAGAAGCTGGAGTGAAACGCTGGTTCAAGCTTCTGTCCTCCCATCTATCTATCATCTATCATACCGGACTTGCGCCTCTATTTGTGTTGCAGAGTCTAATTGTTTATAGGTTGATCACCGCCTGTCCACTCTCGAATGATATCGTCGGGGACATCTCTTAACAAGACATGGACATGTTCCATTCCCGGCACGGATTGCAGCTCGGTCCAGTTCTTGAACCATATGACTTTTTCCTGCTCACCGGGCAGTCCTTTGACTCGGTCCACAAAGGTAGACTGAATGAAATCCTCGACCTGCTGTCTGGATTTCGGGGTCATGTCGCCTCTAGTTGGCTCTGATTCCAACCGGGTCTTGAGCCACACAATAATGTGCCTAATGCCAGGCGCCAATCCATACGGCCAGTCGTTAAGCAGAATCTTATAATCTGCCTGGTCTGCAAATGGGATAGGGTTGTTGACAGCAAACCTTGGACCCGTTTCCGGCGTCGACGAAGGTAACGGAGTCCATTTCAGTCGTTCCCTCATGACAAAGTTAGGGACCGTGCCATACGTAGCCTTTGTTTGGCTTGACCACTTGATGTAGCGTTTCAAGTCGGATGGCCACCTTTTCAGGACGCTGAGGTTGTGCTCAGCTGTCGAAATCAGTCAGAAACATTCCAGGGATGTCGATCAAATAGAACCATGTGCGGCGGAGCACACACCAATGATCTGTTTCAACTCTTCCCATGTATGTGGATGGAATTGGTCATCGGTCATGGCCAGGACAGACCGATCCACAGCTGTCAGAGGAAACGGGGACGGGGTATTGTCGGGCTCTGAAGCCATGGCTCTTGCTTGCGTTTGAGCTTGGTCGTCTGCAAGGGGCAAAGGTTTGCTGGGCGGGCGATGGGGGGTTCCGTTGAGGGTAGTCTCTCACCGGGATCAGTTGACCAAAGATGGAGTGTGTCGGGTGTTTGTGCGCCCAGATGGAGCTACGAAGAGACCCGAAGGCGACGTTCGCTATTCTTCCGCTGCTCGGCGAGGTGGACTGCCGCAAAGTTCTGCAAAGTGTGAAGTGCGAAGCCGAAGGGGGTAAATAGCCCAGTCTGACAGCGGTGTCTTTTTTTCGTGGCCACATCCGATGTATATTGAATCGAGAGGAGCATTGGGAGAAGGCCTGAGGGCTGAGAAGGCATCGAGGGCATGTGGGGGCACCGTGGGCGTGCGTGGCCTTCCCGGTTTCTTGTCAGACATGCGGAATTAATATTATCCATCAACTCCCTCTACCATCGGAAACACCCCGCACTTTGTCACCATATGCAGGCAAAAGGCACCAGGGCGCGGCAACAAGTTAGCGAAGCCCCGGGACAACTTCGCAGGCGTGCGCAGGCCACATTGTCTGCTACGCCAAACAGCCCCACGTCCTTCGCTATTCACCGCAGCGGCCTCCCGAAAAACAATTCCCAAGTCCACAAGTCCAGAACTTCCCCAATTCCGATAGTTATATTTTTGACCCCGACCACAAAATAATCTCCTGACACGGTTCAAAAATTCCCTTTGTTCGCGGTGTTTTTTCCCCCTGTTTCTGCTCAAGGGCCATAGCAAGAATTGGGATTGTCGCGTATCTTGAAGCCATGGGGTAGGTGCTTCGCAGTATCTTCTGTCGAATTCTTCCGACGCTCACCTCACTTCTCAGAAACGCAGCCTTTTCGCAGGCCAACATCAATGGGGTGTACATTCCCTCGGTGCTGCTGATCGTCGGGGTCGCCATCGTCAAGAGAGACTATGTCCCTTATGCAGTCGCCATCGCTGCCATCATTGGAGGCTACAAGATCTTCACGGGCTTGACTCGTAAGTCATGTTGCGCTTACCACCCTTCCCAGACAAGATTCCCGACTGACATTTCTGAACCACAGCATCCTCAAGAAAGGTCCTGAAGCCCGACGTCTTCCAAGAATTCCCGTTGACCAAAATCACCAAAACCTCGCATAATGTGGCCATCTACCGATTTGACCTTCCCCAACCCACGGACATCCTCGGTCTCCCCATTGGCCAGCACATGTCGTTGGCAGCAACACCCAAGGGGGCGGATAAAGAGGTGGTGCGGTCATATACCCCCATTTCTTCCGACGAAGACAAAGGGTTCTTTGAGCTCATGATCAAGGCGTACCCTCAGGGCAACATCAGTGCTCATATGACGACCTTGAAGGTTGGTGATACCATGAAAGTCCGCGGCCCCAAAGGAGCCATGGTCTACACCCCGAACATGTGCAGACGTATTGGCATGATTGCTGGTGGAACTGGAATCACACCCATGCTGCAAATCATCCGCGCCATCAACCGCGGTCGGCCTCGCAACGGAGGGAATGACACCACCAAGGTTGATCTGATTTTTGCCAATGTCAACCCCGAAGATATCCTGTTGAAAGAACAGCTTGATGCCTTGGACAAGGAAGACCCTGATTTCACCGTCTACTATGTCTTGAACAATCCCCCCGAGAAATGGAATGGCGGTGTAGGCTTTGTGACGGCGGACATGATCAAGGCCAAACTCCCGGCTCCAGGACCTGACATGAAGATCTTGATTTGTGGTCCTCCACCCATGGTGAGCGCACTGAAGAAAGCCACGGAAAGCCTCGGGTATCAAAAGGCTCGACCTGTCAGTAAACTGGAAGACCAGGTGTTTTGCTTCTAGAGAAGATCAGCGTGGTGGAGTCTTTAGACGGGTTATGGGTCGATTTATGGATCTTGCAAGACTGCGCGCCCGCGGTGTCCTCGCTTCTTGGAGTTTGTCTGCCAACAAAACATGGAGGCATAGGTGGAAGCTGGCCATGTGTTGAGTTGTCACTGTCCAGCGCTGTCGGCATAGGAGCTTGTGGTTAGATTACCTGGTCAAACCCTCGAGTGCAAGTCTACTGGAAGATCAGTCCAGGGTGCAGCGGCAGTGACTCCGATGTTCAATGTAACTTGTAGAGTGTTGTGGCTGCGGTGGCTGTGCAGATCGTCGTCGACGCCCATTGATCCTCCAACATTCCATCATCTCAGCCTATGACGTCAACCTTGTATTTCCCCGTCACCACCATTTGATGCCTTGTTGTCACCGACTACAAATCAAGGAATACTTGTTTGTACCTTTGTACCGACTACACCTGCGCCAACCGACGGTGATCGCCCGTCCTGGCGCTCGAGCTCTCAGACTCGACGCCTCAGGACCTCTTACCTAGCAAGCCTAGCTATGGAGCTAAGAGAGACACGTAACGACAAACGTGGCGCAAGCTCTGGGCGATCCATGGAGCCAGCCAGACCCTGAATCTAATCAGTCAATCAATCAATCAATCAATCAATCAGCCCGTCAATCGAGCAAGCATGGTGTGCTTCCATCGTCCAAATCGATCGCGGGACCTGCCTTTTAGCTAGGTACCCAATACCACCACATGTTGCCCCCGAATCTGTCGATTGCTGGCGGACACAGGATCCGCTAAACTCGTTCAGAGGGTAGGTTCGCAATCTGCCCAGGTATGCAAGGTATGTGATGATGAGAGTGGGATGGATGGATTTACCCTCTTAATTCATGATGGGATCGGCCATATATTGTCCATGTCTTGATTCACTTTTCTCTTTAGCCTCTCGAATCTGCTGAATTACATATAAACCGAAAACAAGTCCGCCATTTAGCCAGTCATCTACCTAGCAGTTGTCGTCAACCCTGTGCCTCTATCCCAGTTTGAGCGTTTAGTTTTTATTTGTCTTTGCTGTTGTGTTATATGCACAGACGATACCCCTTGTTTGGAGCGAGATTTCGACATAACCACCCCTGACTAAGGCACAACGCGCGCACATCATCTATACACGAGGGTGGAATCATTGCCCTTGGAAATCGCGACGAAAGCAACAAGCCAGGCTCCACGGAGGAATATACATAGACAGACATATCAGCAGAAATATCTTGCTCGGTGGTTCGCAGGAGTTTGTGTTACGGAAAAGAACGTCACTCCCCTTTTCCATCTCAGCCTCGTCCACCACACACACATACGGCACGCACATACGGCACGCACATACGGCACACACATATAGAGAAGTTCCCTGTTTTGAAAAGGACAAGATGAGACCGTCAAATCCATATCAAATAGCGACAACGATATTAACTCTTCTCCTATCAATTGTCCCACTCTCACATGGAGCAGCGACCAACTCGACCTCCCCCAAACGCGGCCTCTGCTACATCGCGACCGACAATTCCGCCTCGGACTCGAACATCTTCACCAGACCCAACTCACCCTTGACGTGGTACTACAACTACAGTCCTTGGCCTGGCCCCTCGGGCTCGCTGACTCAATGGAACACGGAATTCGTGCCCATGGTGCACTCAGCCAAAGACGCCGCGGCGTCTGTCGACACCATCAAATCCATCCTGAACGGCAGCGCGGGGATCCCCATTGCGGGAGCCGGAAGGAACAACGGCGGCGGCGGCGGTGGTAGGAACAGGATCTCCCACGTCCTGACCTTCAACGAACCGGACGGCGACACTTCGTCCGGCGGGAGTGACTCGTCCCCCGAGCACGCCGCCCAAGTATACATCGACACGGTCCTGCCTCTGCGCGCCGCGCCGTACAACCTCCAGATCTCGCCGCCAGCCACGACAGGGTCGGGGAACGGCCTCGACTGGCTCCGGTCATTCAACACGTCGTGTTTCAAGCTCCGGCCCGCAGGTGGCTGCCCCTTCGACTTCGTCGCCGCGCACTGGTACGGCGACTTTGCAGGCATGGCCTCGTGGCTGGGCACCCTGCACGACCTGTACCCGGCGAAACCCATCTGGGTGACCGAGTTCGCCATCCCCTCGGCGGACGAGACCGCCACGACGTCCTTCTTCAACGAGTCCCTCCCGTACCTGGACGGGCTGGCCTATGTGGCGAGGTATGCCTGGTTCGGCGCGTTCCGCAGCAGCGGCGACGACGCCAACGAGTGGACCGGCCAGGAGGTGAGCCTCTTCGACGACGACGGCAGATTAACCCTCCTCGGCGCCGAGTACCTTGGCGGCGAGAAGGACGGTTTTCGCGAGGGCGAGAGTGCAAGTTCTAGTAGCGGTAGCAGTAACAGTGCCGCTGCTGTTGCACCGCCTGCTTGGTTTCCCGCCGCCAACTCGCCGTGGAGTATTCTATGTCTGTTGTTGACCTGGTCGGTAGCCACGACTTCCAGTTGGCTGCTCTGAGGATATACAAAGAGGACGTATATGGATGTTGACATAACGAAGATGTACGTGATATGAAGTATAACGATATATATCTGATAAACTAGCCAGCGATATACATGGCTATGTATCGCAGAATCTTTTCCCACCCGTCCCCAGCCAACCCTCCCTTTTACCTATCTAATTCGTCTCCCTTCCCGATTTATATATAGAACTTGCACCTACATGCCTACCTACTTACCTCGATACACACCTTCCGGTCTATCGATCTATTCTCGACAAACGACGGAGAAGGGAAAAGGGCAAGGGTGTACTCTTCCTAGAAACACCCCTTCCCACTACGTTTTGACGTTTATGGAGTTGCAAGTCCATTTGCTGTGGTTTAACGATGCTCATCCCGGCTCAAATGGGACTGGGTCTAGTAAACGCAAAGAGCTTGGACTCACACCCACGATGGACAAAACCAGATTGATCGGTATATGCAAGCTGTAGTATTAATATAGTATGTCTATCTAATATCATCATGGGCAGTTCATAGCCAATATCGATTCGTGTCGTGTCCAAAAATTGACCAACGCTATGCTTTTTAGAGACCAGAAAAGGCTCCATACCTCCAACAATGTACAAACAATGTACCAACAAGACGCCATACTCAAAAGACCAACTATAGCACCCTCGCCTTTTATTTGTGACGATATTGCTCAAAGGCCAGATCAGGCAGCCTCGGTTCTCTCGAGAAAGGAGGAGGACTTCCACCGTGTTCACTTCTCCCTTGACTCAAGCTGCGGTAGCTGGTCGCCCCCATGCCGGCAGCGCCCTTGACCAACGTCTCCTCACTCTCGTCCTCTCGAGGTCCAAACCGTGAGTAAGCCTGGGCGCGCATCGGTTCGTAGCTTTGCCCAAACTCGGACATGTTGCGAGCGTGGGGCGGAGGCGACCCTGAGTAAGGCTTTGGCTGGAGAAGAAAGGCATCACCCTCGAGATCTTGAGAGAGGTTTTTCTGGGCTGCCTTGCGGCGCTTTCGGTGGGGGTTTTCTTTGCAGCAGGTGATAATGCTGTTGATGATGATGAGAAATGCAAGGATGGCAGTCAAAGCGGATTGCACCACAATCAAGACAACGCCCGTGATGGTCTTTGTAGTTTGCGCAATTCCCAGCTCTTGAACAAAGATCAAGATACAGACGACCGACGCCACACGGACAATCTGAATGATAATGTTGATCCAATTGCCCGACTTGCGCTGGTACGGCCGACTCCACAAAAGCAGAATGAGCATCAGGGATTCAATGATCAATTGCCCGACGGTTTGGACCAAACCATGGCCATCGCCCGCAGCCAGGACACACCCTTTGGCAAACATGTAGACAATGGAAGGGATGAAGAGCCACCAGTATCCTTTCTTATAGTTTTCGTAGAAGAGCTTGTACTTCTTCCAGGTCTCCTTGTTTTCGAACAGTGCGCTGGCATCGCCCTCGATTTTCTTCAGTTTGCGGACAACACTCCAGATCTTGAAGGTGTAGAACCCCAAGATGGCCGTGAAGGTGCCCAGAGTGACGCCCGCGAGAACCTTGGCCGCCCACGAGTCTCCGTGAGTGAATTGGTAGATGCAATACAGGGTCCAGACGCCGTACAGCAGGAAAATCAAGTTGGTGATGGTTTGAGCCAGGATGCGCCAATATTCTTTGCGGAAAGTGCTCAGAGATTTGGGGAATCTGCCGAAAAGAGACCACGCCTCGAGAATAACCTTGAAAAGTAGAATACCAACCACAATGGCCGCAACTACGATTGCGAAGATCAGGAGGACGGTCATGAACGTATTGGCCTGGGGGATTGTGAGCTGCTCGACGTAGCCCTGAATACCTTGGACCAGGTGCGATTCCTTGGAATTACTGTCGTCCGAATCTTCGCTGGTGCTATTGCCGAGAGAAGTCGTGATCTGACGGACCATCAATGCGACAGATCGCTTTGCGATACCGCTCGTGGTCGAGGTGGTGCTACCATCGGGGAACACGAGAGTGGCGTTTCTGAGGAAATCGTAGCTTTCGTTGGTCAAATTGCCTCCCGTATGTGCTCGAAAAGAGTCAATGGACCTCTGGAGCCCACCCCACGAGACGAGACCAGTGCTGAAGGCGAAGTTCTTCGCGAAGCTGCGATACACTCCTGGATAGTCGACCGAGTGCATCCCGTTCATGGCCATTCCTTGAAACCACCACATGACCTCGGAGAAGCCAGGGCTGGAAGAGGACGAGCCAGGGTGTGCTCCAGTGGCAGCCGCGCCGACTAGTGACACAGCCAATGCGCCAGCGGCGATGGCGGCTGCGACGTACGATACCGCCGGCACATCTGTGGTCTTGCCGTTAGAGACCCCAGATTGAATGCAAGCCAGCTCTTGTCCGTCTTTGGCCTTGAGGACCATCTGAGCAGTTCCATCGAGATCGGGTAGGGAGTAGGCGATGGAAGGGATGAGCGAGGTGTACTCTGACGGAATGACTTGTGACCCGTTGGCCGCAAATGATGTTGCCGGCACTGCAGCGTCGTCAGAATCGTGCCGAATATACAAGAAAACAGCCACTCGACTTACCAGGACACAACTGATCAACTCTGGTGGAGTTGTCACAGGGGTCGAAAGAATTATTATACACTTTGACGCCATATGCAGTCACAATCAGTTCGGCCGTGACGAACTGTTCTTTTGTACTCGAGCCCGAAACGTCGAAGTCGATTGTGTTCGTTGATCGGTCAAAGGAGATGTCGACATTGTTGACCTTGATGGTTGATGTGCCGTTGTTACAATTGGAGAATCCATTTGTTTTCAAGATATCTGTTCCCAGCACAGATGGAAGGAGAGCCAGAGAGGCCAATGCCAATCCTGATGGCCTCCACATGATGATGTTGGGTTATGTGTGTATCCGAGTGGTTGTCCCCTTGCCGTGGAACGGCACTGCACAACCTCTTTCTTTATATCTCTTCCCAAAGAACGTGTACCCTACGGTCTTGACAGGGGGCTGAGGATGGAAGGTATTGGCCTCAATGAGCGCCAATTGTCGGGGGAGGTAAACACAATGTATGCGTTCGAGAGATGGAGGTGGTAAAATCGAAAGTGAACGATAGACAGAACCAAAAAACAATGGGTCAAAAGCGAACGTGATAGAAGGAAGTGAGTGTTCGATGCAGGAACGATTGAACAAGTTTCATACAAGAGGGAAAAGGAACCAAAAGAAATGGATTTTCAGCTGCGTAGCCCTCGACATATGCGATGCGAGGAAAGATATGGCTCATGATCGGTCTCGTTGGCCAGGATCAAGGGTTCTGGGGCCGCATGGAGACGCCCGTTTCAAGCTGTGGGTTCTGGGCACTCGGAGGACGACGACGACAGGCACCAGGAAATGGTGAAATGGTTGAATCGATAGCCGGCGAGTGAGCAGGGGTGGTTTGGGTCAGTGGCGTTATTGGGAAAAAACTTTGATGGTGTTTGAGTGGTTCGTGATCGATGGAGTCAAAGTTCGCCAATGGGTCATTGGGTCTTGGACTCTTCGTAGTGGCCAGTGGCCAGGGTTCCAGGGGGTGTTCTGGGAAGGGAGGGGGTGGCGCCGCCGCTAGAATACCACCCAGCAAAGAAAGCTGGGGGAGAAAGAGGTGTTGAGCATGGAAGCCATCACTGCTAAGCTCGTTAGTTAAAAGTTCGTTGACTGTGTTTGTGGTGGCTTGGAGGGTTGTGGGTATCCCCGAATAGGCCAACACCAGAGTTAGGGACGTTACGTCGCCTGTGTCTTAGGCAGGGTCGTACCTAAGAGTTTCTCCTCCAGGTTACCCAGTAGCTGACCACACCTGTACCTAGTCCTTTTTACTGACTTGAAGGTATTCCGTGTTTCAAGGACTCCTGACATGCACCTGCGACACTCCTTGGCCTTCAGCCCTCACAACCATCATCCTGTAAGACTCCTGCGACTCAATGTACTCACATTCCAGCTTCTTGTGATGGAAACCAACTGCCGGAAACGGCCATGATTCAACACACCAGTGGGGCTGGGCAGCGGACAACTTCGATGAGGCGCAGCGCTGTACTGAGTAGTTGCCATGTCCTTGCAACCGAAAACTCTTTCTGTGGACTGGATCCCAGTGCCCATTCGTCCACCTCATACTCGTACCTATTCCCGGACGGCTCTAGCCATGACTGCGCCTCACCAAAATCCCTACAACCTCCCCTAAACCATGGGGTTTTTCGTCCTTTGCACGCGGTACCTGCGTCGACCCATTTGACTCTGTCAGCATCTTATTCCGAATATAAGGAACCAACAACATTTGAGCAGGCTTTGGCTCATTTCATACAGGTGGTATGCATATAAGCAAGGAGCATTCCATTGTCACGGACCACGATCAAATATTGCGCGAGAGCACTGGTATTCAAAAGACATGGGGACGGCCACACGGATCTCTTCTCCCCGTACTTTACAGATTGACTCTTGGTAGCTAGAAGCTTGTGATGACTAGTGCCGATCCTATTAATAGACAGAACCACTCACTGGGTCACACACAGCCTCGTCTAGCTCCTCCACCTACAAATGAAGACCTCTTGAGTATCGAGTATGAGCATGTATGTACCTCGTAGAGTAGGTTTCATCAAGAAGGAACCTAATGTGGCGGGAGGGTCACATATTTGACTGATTCCGCGTTATTGACTTGTTGTTGTTCTTTACGAGGTACTGTCTCTGGAATCGCGCCCGCGGACGTCCCCATTGCAAAATCCATCCAGTTTTCTTTGGTCCCTCTGCTATCTCATACACACGAGCCAGCTTCCTCCAACCTGCCAGCAAGAATCCATGGGCACATAAACGCATCAGTTCGGTCCTTGCATAATGAGAGTACGTAATGTCCACCAGCACTGGATTAACCATTCACCTGGTTAACGTTTTGGTCACATTTTCACTGTTGTATCGAGGCAAAATATCTTCTCCAGCTGGGCTCTTTCATCGTTAGGACGGGGGTTCCGATTGCAGCACAGTACTGGTAGTCCCGTCGACAGCCGACCCTCCCCCACAAACAAACCCGAGACGCCGAGACAATCTTCATCTCCCATATGGATGGTACCGCCCCCTTCCTCCCCTAAAATTTGCTCCTGGCTTGCCGGCATTCTTGGGACCAGTGGGAGCATTGGCTGGAGCTGCGCTCGGCTGCGATGGGCCACCGGGACCCTTGGGTGGTTTTGGTGTATGCTGTCGAACGGGCCCTGCTGAACCTCTACCACCAGTGTTGCCTTCAGGCTGTGGAACATCGTCGTACATGCCTTCCCATGACTGTGGACCGCCTCCATGATTGTGGCCTTGGTTTTGGAAGCTACCACCGCCTCGTGGGCCTTGCGGGAAACCTCCCGGGCGACGGACCTGCTGCTGTTGCTCATATTTCTGCTGTTCAAATGCCAGCTGCTCTTGGGCTGAAAAGCTCCCACGCGGGCCGCCCATATTGCCGGGGCCCATTGGTGGTCGGTTTGATCCCATGTTCATCCCACCCTGTTGCATCTGCATCATCTGCTGCATCATTTGGGGGGACATGCCTTGCATGTTGCCCATGCCACCGGCATTCTGGGCGTTGGGGCTGTTTGCTCCTTGCATCTTCTGCATTTGTTGCTGCATCTGCATTTGCGCCATCATCTGCGGATTCATACCCATATTTCCCATACCGCCCATATTGCCCATCATGTTAGCCGCCATCTGCTGTTGCATCATTGCAAAGTATTGCTGCATTCTTTGCCAATACTGTGCCATCATCTGTGGGGTCATTCCGGTGGTGCCGCCCATCATGTTGGGAGCCTGGGCTTGCGAGTTTTGCTGGGCCTGGGTGTTGTCATTGTTGAAGCGGTCATCGCGTCCGAACTTGCCTCTTCCTCTGCCGCGACCGTAATCATCATCCTCGCCCATCTTGCCTCGGGGTTGTGCACGCTTGACCTCGATGGGCTTTCCGAGGATCTCGAGGGGGTGGTATTGCAGGCATTTCTCTACGGCGGCATCACTGTCAAAGGTTACGAAACCGAAGCCTCGGGGTCGGCCGGTGTCCTTGTCCATCATGAGCGTAGCATCGATAACCCGCCCAAATTGGGCGAAAAAGCTTTCAAAGTCTTCTTCCGTTGCATCTTGACTGACTCCTCCCACAAATATTTTGGCCGTCTTTTCCTGCTCGTCTCGTGGGATCGCTCGCTTGGGGTCGATCTGGGTACACCACAGTAAGCCTTCGTTCTTCCGACGGGCCGAATAGTTTCGAGAAAGGGAACCAAGTCTTTCCTGTCTCTCCCGGGATGTATCGAAATGGGTAGGTCTTACAATCTTGCCATCCAGGAAATGTTCCTTGACCATCACGGTATTGACTGTCTTGGGGTCCTTGAAGGTCAAAAATCCAAAGCCTCGTGAGCGGCCCGTTGCGCTGTCTCGCATGACGGTGCATTCTTGGACTTCGCCGAACTGTGAGAAGTAGTCATGGAGTGATTCTATCAACGGGGGTCAGTAAGGTGCCGGATCAGCATACATATGCGGCGACGCATGAGGTTTTCTGGTGTATGTAGAGGGGCGGGAGTGTTTTCTCTTACGATCTGTCGTTTCCCAATTAAGTCCTCCAATGAACATTTTTCTGTACACATTGCTATGTTAGCTATGAAAAGCCGATTCGAGAATGACAGTGACAGCGCAGGACAGGGCGGAAAACAACAGCATTGAATGTTAGATAGGGACCATGGAGTGTCGTTCGCAGGAAGACTCTCCTAGTCCTCGAAACAATGGCCTCATCTCAACCCAGCTGCGGTCAACCCCTTGCACAGTCGTCCAGGGTTCGTGGGCCAAATCCGCAAGGTCGGGAGTAGGTGGTGTTCGCCCGCAGGAGAGATGTTCTAGAAGTACAGGACATGGTGTGTGGGTTCTGTTTGCTGAGTGGGCAATCGTGGTGGCGGATTGTTGCAGCGAGCCAGATGAATGTGGCCTCCATCATCAACTTGACATACAGACCGGGGTGGGACGAGGCCAAGACTATGCGGCTGGATTTTGCCCGCCTTGCAGGGTGCATACACGGTCCAATATCTTCCTGAGGACATCTCCTCGACGTCCATCTTCAGTCTGTAGCGCTTGAGCGACTCGTAACCCTGCAGCCTTGCAGCCTTGCGAAAGAGGGCAACTTTGGCGGTGGACGTAGCCATTCTCATACACGATGTAACAGCATGTCGATCCTTCGGGATGGCTTGTTCTCTCTTCCCTCAACATGCGCAAAGAGTCGACTTCTTCTAGCGGACAGAGGCAAAGGTTTTGTTGGCTCTTTGAGATTCAGCAGATACTCCATAAGCATCTATCTCCTGCCTGGTCTTGGACTTTGTTACTCTGCTCTGCCTGGAAAAGTATCTTGGTGTACGGTAGTAGTTTCTTGCCCACTATTCTGGCTTCGCTGAATGAACACTTTTTTCGGCAATGAGATCGACTTGGCTAGTTTGATGTAACATGTAGCCAGCCACTGCTGCGCGGTTCAATTGGAGAGGCTTTCCAATTCCCTAACCAGTCCGATCGACCTCAAATTGCAGCTGTCCAAGCGCAACTTGAAAGCCATCTGAGGGTTGAACAGATGCCAGCAGCTCATCCGCGCCTGTCCTAATATCGCGAGGGCCTGAAGCCAGTTGTAACAGACTGCTTGACCAGTCGCAGACCTGAAATGTTGTGCGTAATATAGATGTACGAGCCATCCATTTCCACCGTGATTGACCCCATTTGTTGTCTTTGACCCATGAAAGGCACCGCACCTTCGAATCACGCGGTTGCAGGTTTTCGTATACGATGCGCAACTCCGCGGAAATGTTGCTGGTAGCTGCCCGTGCCATGGCCAACCCCGCCGTGAATCCAGATCCCTTTTTTCCACGTTCTCTTGCAGCAGATCCAACTCTTTTCCTTATTCCTCACAGAGATTTTCACAACGAGGGCAGCATGGGAAAGATGAAGCACAGGGGCAGTGTAGGATGAGGGAAAATCGACAAGCACATATACTCACCCGTCCTCTTTCATATTGACGTTGAAGACCTCGGGTTGCGATGGCTTCTCGTGGAAATCTTGGGCTTGCTTGGGACTATGAGCACCGTTGGTGGGTTCATCCTGGCCCGGAGGTTCCGTGTCGAAGGACGTAGGGTCGTAGGCTACCTCTGGTTCCTCGCCATAGCCTGGTGCCTCACTCGTTTTCATTACTGTATCGATTGCGGCAGTCTGTGCTGCAGGTGGAGCAGCAGGTTTGCTGGAACCATGGTTCTCGTCCGCATCGTAGCTGGAAATGTCATGTCAGGGTTCGTGCCAGTCTCAATGAACACAAGGTAGGTCCAGACGAGGGATTAAATCAACGGAGAGAGGGAAACATACAGATCTGCAAAGAGATCTTCCTCGACATCGTCGGGTTCTGCCATCTTTATCGTGCAACAGGTAAGGAAATGGTGATCAGAGGTGTTACACTTCTGCTCACAAGATCTCGCTGAGGACGCGCCTCACAACCCAGTGAGGTAATCAACAGCAGCAGCAGGTGGTAGAAGAGCAAAACGAAGCGGTGACCTTGACTGAGATGAGGCGAGTGTGAAAATGTTAGACGACGAGATGAGGTGAAAACAACATTGTAGACAGGCTGCGGCGCTGAACTCTACCAGAGAAGTACCTCGTCAGCCCCCCAAATTTGTTTGGCGCCGCAATGGGTTCAAGGCGCAATTATTATTGGCCTTGGCGGCGTTGACTGGAGTGGCAGAGTGGACCGAATTCGGTGCTTGTGACATCCCGCCCTGCACCACCGCCCGCACGACCCTCAGCGGGCGCCATGTAAACATGTTGGTTTCATCGACTGAACATCTCAACAACAACGTTTAAGGATGTTCTCGCCGCCTCATGCAAAGGTACTCAGGAGAAAATCTCAATAACCTTTCTCTGGGAGTGGCCTGATCCACAGACAGAGCCATCATGGCTCACAAAAAGGCCCAGCAGCAGGTAACGTCCCCCGATTTGAGATGGCATCGAGTCTCTACTGACATATTCCAGGAGATGGTCCAGGTTGGTTCGTGTCTCCCCGACTCCCGGTGCTCTCTCATTCTCTCCGAGTTAAAAGAGTGCTAGCTAACGCCGAGGTGCGCCTTAGATAGATCAGAGTATGAATACCGTGAGCATCAAGCTGTCAATCGGAATCTTGCTAACACACTGAAGACGACCATCTTCGCCGTTTTGGCGAGGACGTCCGTCGACACCTCGTCAGACCTCGGGGCAGGCGACGAAGGTGTTTGGTGCTTCATACTCCCACGCCGATATGCTAAAAATCGAGTCATTGTAAGTCATCTATGGACAATGAAAAGCATGTAACTGATCGAGTGGCCAGAAACCTGGGGCCTCATTCGAGGCCAAGGACGCCTCCAGCTACATCAGCCCGATTGTCGCAGACTCCTCCGTCAGATAGGCCGCACTTTCAGTCTCCGGAACGAAAACCCTACTCAGGCTATACCTCGTCCGCATTGGGTGAGAGCTGGGACTTGGCTGGTGGGGGAGACGCGGAAGGAGACGACGACGATCTGGTCTATGAGGACGACGAAGATGAATTTGGTCTGCCCAGCATTGCAAGCATGCGTCGAAAGAGGAGTATAAAAAACAAGACGGTGAAGGCAGATCAAATTGCGTATCCAAGTCTGTCGCAGACTACTTCTGCTCCAGCTTTGGCACCTTCTCCGTTCCCACGTTCCGCCAGATCCAACAGTTTCGATATCGCTGAAGAGCGGAATCCGCTGTCGTACCCAAGCACAAAAAAGGGCGAAGGCAAAATCCTGAGGCCCCAATACAAAGACATTCTGAGGGATCCAGCAAACTCGTTGCATCTCATTAGTTTCCCTTCTCTGCCTCCGAATGCGACGCCGAAAGAGGCAGAGGCCCATAGCACAAGAGTGTCGCGAATCAACAAGTTCAAGCGGATATTGCAGGCGAGCTCTGTTTCTTTGCCAGACTTGCGAGCCGCAGCCTGGTCAGGAGTGCCTGAAGAGGTACGCGCTATTACATGGCAGCTTCTCCTGGGCCATCTACCAACTAACAGCGAACGACGTGTCACAACACTGGAGCGGAAGCGGAAAGAATATCTTGATGCTGTGCAACAAGCTTTCAATTCCGGGACTATGGCTGGCAGAAGTGCATCGAGCACAGGACTACCTGGACTTGCTTCGCAGCCACCAGTCAACACCGGTCGCGGAAGAGGATTGGATGAGGCGATTTGGCATCAGGTTAGCATCGATGTGCCTCGGACAAACCCTCATATACCGTTGTATGGGTTCGAAGCCACGCAACGATCGCTCGAACGCATTCTCTATGTTTGGGCAATCCGACACCCAGCAAGTGGATATGTGCAAGGGATCAACGATTTAGCCACGCCCTTTTGGCAAGTCTTCCTAGGTACCTACATCACGGATTTGGATGTCGAAAGTGGGATGGATCCCGGCCAGTTACCGAGGCCGGTTCTGGACGCCGTCGAGGCAGATACATTTTGGTGTCTGACGAAGTTGTTGGACGGCATCCAGGACAACTACATCGTCGCGCAGCCAGGCATTCATCGTCAAGTTGCTGCTCTGCGAGATTTGACAACCAGAATCGACGTAGGCTTGGCGAAGCATTTTGAAAACGAGCACGTGGAATACATGCAATTCAGTTTCAGGTGGATGAACTGCCTGTTGATGCGTGAATTGAGCATTAAGAGCGTCATCCGCATGTGGGACACATACATGGTAAGACTGACTCGTCTGGTGTGACCATTTTCATACTGATGCGAAGAGTCCAGGCCGAAGAGAATGGCTTTTCCCAGTTTCACCTCTACGTCTGTGCAGCATTCCTCGTCAAGTGGTCTGACAAATTGATGAAGATGAACTTCCAAGAGATCTTGATGTTCCTACAGGCATTACCGACTCGCGAATGGACAGAAAAAGATATTGAACTTCTACTGAGCGAGGCTTTTATTTGGCAGAGTCTGTTCCGTGGATCAAGAGCGCATTTGCGGACTCAAAATAGCACCGTCCCGATGGGTTCACTCGGTCCTTCTACCTGACCGTCTACCCTGCGACCGAATGTCCACTTCTCTAACCTCGACGATCCAGCTTCTCGCTGATGTATTTTTCGCCAAGCTGGTTGTCTAAAACTGTCCGGCATCCTCAATAATTACTTGGAACCCCGAGATACCGTCTTTACATGAGTGGAGTCGGCACTTATATGGACATACACTTGTGGATGAACTCTCCACGAGTTGGTCGATGGACTATCTGTACATCGACGACGCCACCATTCCACGCCCACTGAATCCACGCCGGTTGGCATTGGATAGAGGCACAAGGAATGCAAGACCCATTCCGACTAATAAGTCGGATTATTCTCGTCGCTTGAGTGCATACCTAAACCATTTTTGCCTCCTTCGTCTCAGCCAGAACGCGACAGGAATCGTCGAGGCTAAAGATGTTAGGACAACGGGAATGGAAGTACACAACTTTTCAGACCTGCTGCTTGGAGAGTAATGGCACATGGCAGCTACTGTCAGAAATCCGGGAAGTCAGCACTTAGTGTAGGAGTCAGAAATGATGGTGGACGGAACAACGAGAGGGTTAAGACAGCTAGCTCTCTATCGCAGTTCATGGTGAGACGCTGTTCGCATGCTTGGAGGCTGTTTCTTGCCACGTGGTGCCTTTCAGACGGTCTATTGATCGTCAACATCAGTGCAGCCGTCGATGGCGCTGTTTCCATGTCAAAAGCTCGAAGTATCGGAGCACCACATACAGGGCATCAGAAGTCTAAGTCAAATTCTCTGGGTCAGCCTGAACGGGGCTTCACCATCATTTCTCGGCTGGGTTGGATATTGTTAGAGGGCTTTTGAAGGGTAAAGCTGCTGCGTTTCTGCCAAGATGCGTTCGACGATGGAAGAAAAATCGATACTCGAATTGCTGAGTTGTGAGAATCAGCCTTGTTTTTGACCGTCCACAATACGAAACCTGATTGAAAGTGGCCTCAAATTCTGCAAGCAAAATGACATATGGCAGCCATGGAGGAAGCTGTCAGCAAGCAATTAGCTGACCAATTTTTTCGCGGCACAAGGAGACGGGTTATACACACGAAATTGTCGCTGAATACACGGTCTTTATTCTTTGTACGATTCGCAACCCGCATAGCCGTACGCCAATTGAGACGTAGCCAACGATTCCAGTTTCACTAAGCAGTCATAGCAATTTTTCTAAGGGTCTGCACTTGATCAGACATATTTGATGGCTGTCTAGCAATGGCAAACTGAGGCTGTAGCACAGTCAAAACAGTCAAAGGAACGAGGCTGAGGGGATGTTGTCCCAAGGCTGATCCTTGCTGACTAAAAGACAGCCTAGATCACGTGATGCTATAGCTTTGTCATGTGACGATCTGCCGCATTCAGTTTTTCTGCCGGCCGAATAAAAAGGCTGCCTCCATGCCTGCGCCTCCGTCTCATTCCAACCTCTTCTTCCGCCATCATCCCCTCGCCACGCTTCTCTTTCTACCATCCATCCGTGTCGGCTTTATTCTCGCTTCACCCATCTGCCAACGTTTCGTGCGTCTAATCATAGATTCTGACTTGTTTCAACGGGGAATCTCATTGTTTTCGGTTTCTCGTCACTCTCCGCAAACGGACGCTTTCACCACATACCGGTGCTGACATTAGTCTTGGGAGGGGTTAAGATCATCGTGACGGAGACTTTCTTCCTGCAATCAGCACCTGTTGTAGAGCTGGAAAAACAAGAGACATTTCCTGTCAAGAGCTGGGATCAGAGTCAGGAAAGAGGGAGTTTCTTTTGTTGCGTGTGTCATTGCTTCGAGCAGCAGAGCTACATTGGCAGTGCAGCGCAGCTCAGTGCAAGAACGACTGGTGAAGGGAACAGGCTCGCCTGAGTTGGACTCAGTTCTCTCAAGCTGGACTTATTATTCGTTTACTTACAATAACATCTGCCTTTTCCCCCCTTGTCGTCTTCTGACTTTGTGTCCCTTGGAATCTATCTACGGCAAACGGTCACCGCACTCTCAACATTCTGTTCACCTCCAGCTTACTGCGACAAGCACGTACACTTTTGTCCCATTGCGTCTGAGCCGCTGTCAGTCGTTGGCGTTGCCACCATGGCCTCCTACGTATATTTCAAGTTCAAATCACAAAAAGAACCTCAGCGTGTAACAATCGATGGCCCTCATACCGATGTCTGGAATTTGAAGCGTGAGATCATCAACATTTCTCGGCTAGGCGATGGCACAGACTTTGACCTGAAGATCTACAAGGAGAACAGCAACGAAGGTGAGTGTGCATTTCTCAACCTTTTTTTTGGTCCGGGTGGTGGCTAACAATAGTCCAGAATATACAGATGACACTGAAATAATCCCCAAAGATTCGACTGTCCTTGCCCGAAGATTACCTGCCTCTGCGCCTGGGAAAGGGCGCGCTGCTCGATATGTCTCTGGTAAACCGCCCGTCAGTGCAAAGCCCATGGCAGCGAATATTGCGGCCAAGCCTCGTAAAACAGTGGACATGGCCAAAGCAATGACGGAACAAGAAAAGCTCCAAGCCATGCTTCAATTTACAGACGCACAATGGCAACAAAAACAAGAGGAAATGTCACACGAGACCCGTGTCCCTATGCAGGGAAAGCCGTTCAACAAGAAAGCGAACATCCCGGAAGGCGAACCTCCCCACGGCTACATCTGTTACCGCTGTGGCAAGAAAGGTAAGAAAAGATCCGTTAAGTATTTGTTGTGTTCCGTTGCTGACGTCTCTAGGGCACTGGATCCAAGCATGTCCAACCAACGATGACGCTTCCTACGACAATAAGAACCGAATTAAGCGCACGACTGGTATTCCTCGGTCGATGCTGAAGAAGATCGACCAAGCAGATATCGACAAGCTCGACGATTCTCAGAGACAAAATCTGATGGTAAACGCCGAGGGAGAGTACGTCTTTGCGCAAGCGGATGAAAAGGCATGGAGAAAACACCTGGAACAGGTCAAGGCTGCCGAAGCGGCGCAGAAGAAAGAGCAAATTGGTGACAAGGAGCTGCAAGATCGAGGCTTGGAATGCTCGATTGACAAGCGCTTGTTTGTAGACCCAATGAAGACACCTTGTTGTGGGAAGACATATTGTCACGTTTGTATCGAAAATGCATTACTTGAAAACGATCTCACATGTCCTGGCTGTGAGACGGAGAATATCAGTCTCGAGCGTCTCGAGCCTGACGAGGAGATGAAGGACAAAATCAAAGAGTATGAAGCAGAAAAGTCTGCAGAGAAGCAGCGGTCTAGAAGTCCTACAGAGGGTGCCGCCGCTTCACCAAAGGTCAAGGACTCTCCTCCATATTCACCTTCACAATCTCGAGAGGGTTCTGCCACGCCTCAATCAGCCAGTGGTTCGGCGAGAAAGCGCAGTGCGAGTGAAGTCGACGGAGCAACATCCTCAGATAGCCTCGCCGCCCCGGCCATGAAGCGACAGAAGTCTGGAGATGCCGTGTCGTCGACACCAAAGGCGGCGGATGCCGAGCTGAATCCTTCCAAGGAGCAGACTGCGACTCCTGAGAGTAATAACGTGCTTCCTGCAGACATGATGCCGCCAGACTTGTCGCAAATGCAGTCAGGAAACAACATGGCTTTGCCCATGATGCCGGGCTTCAACCCCATGATGATGAATCCGATGATGATGGGTATGGGTATGCCGGGCATGAACGGCATGAATCCGATGAACTTCATGAATCCTATGATGATGAATGGGATGAACCCGGGAAATATGGGCAACATGAACATGGGCATGGGTGTTAACTTCGCCAATCCAGGTCAGATGCCGAATTGGAACATGAATATGAACATGAACATGAACCAGAATCAGAATCCCAACACCAACATGAACCAGAATCGGCCTAATAACTTCCACCAGAACAACAACAATCGCCCTATTCGAAATCAGACCTTTCACCAGCAGCCCAAGCCATCGCCACCTCAACAGCCGGCTGGGATGTCTGGAGTTCCGACCGGTCCCAAAGCGCTGGTCAACCAGAATCCGAATCAGGGCTTCTACCCGCCGTCCGGTCCAGCAGGGAATCGATTTGCGAACCAACAACGGCACGTAGGAAATGAAGAAGACAATGCCTACATGCGGCAGCCTGTCAATCCCCACCGGCATATCAACCGGAATCGCAAGCCCCGGCAGGCAGACTATAGGGAATTGTGAAGAAGGAATCGAGGAAACGAAACGAGGTTTTTGGGAGTGGGTGGGATATGGCAGCATCCCTGGAGGATGCCAGCATGTCCACTGCCTTCATGAAAGAGGCAGCTGAAAGTCTGAGAGCTGTCGTTGCGTCAACTTGGGAACCAGCCACGCAGGACAGGGTTCATTTCTTTGAAAAATATTTGATGAATTGATGGCTGGGAGAGGGAAATGCATCACCTCGCATGACATGGTTGAAAGAAATTGTGCCGCGTGTCTGCTAACTTGGTCAGACATTGGCATGGTGAATGGATTGTATATATAATAGTGGCATATGGTTTGGTGATCAGCCTTGCCCCTGAATCCTTGGAACATAGCACGAGCATATACGCTCATTCGCGACCCAGATATGTCGTCGAGAAAATTACGATTGTTAGATTTCAGATCCCCTTTCGCTCCCGGCTTCTACCTTTTGTTGTCAACTGTATTGTGTTCCCCCAAGTCGGTCGGTAGGTATACCGTTGGTGCCCTGCCTCCGATCTCGACGCTCTCGAAAATCCCAGGAGCTAGACAGCCGTCGTCATCAATCCTCTAAATACCAGTCTCTCTGTTCGCCGGCCCGAAGAGCTCCTCCCACGCTCTTCGCGTCCCCAAGGCGGCGTCGTAGCCATAACACCAATCCCTCGTCTCTCGATCTGCGATCCCGTACACATACTGCCTATCGTCTTTGCTGTCTGTTCTTCCATCGGCCTGCAACAAGGCGTCCCTCTTCTCCTGCGCCGTGCTGGGAGGGAGGTGCAAGATTTCCCCGGCGTGGAGACTGGCGGACTGGACGGCTTCGGCGCGCGGTTTGCGGACCGATTCGAAGAGACCTATGGCAGTGGAGAGGGAGGGTTTTGGTTTGCGTCCCGGTTCATTTGTGTCGTTGTCGTTGGGATCGGTGGTGGAGGAGGAGGAGGTCGCCGACCCCAGTAGCGAGAGACACTCAGCCAAGGCAACCGCGTCTTCCACGGCCATCGAGATGCCCATGGAGAGGTAGAACGCCATGGCGTGCGCCGCGTCCCCCATGAGCACAAACTTGCCGGACTTGGACACCCATCGGGGCAGCGGTTCGACCTGGTACACGGGCCAGTTGTTGATGGTCTCCGGGCTCACCATATCGAGAAGAGCCGTGAGCTTGCCGTCCCACCCACGGAAGAGGGACTGGATCACGCCGTGGTATTGCGCGGGCGTCCAGGTGGTGGTGTCGACGTCGTCCCGGTGTGAGAGGACCATGTTCAGCTTCGTCGACTCGTAGATCATGTAGGTCATGGCTGAGCAGTTTTCGCCGATCCTAATTGAGTAACGTCAGATTACGTTCGATTTCCACCCTTCTCCCCCCCTGCCGCTGGTGTAGGGTCCGTGGGAGAAAGTTTTGGGAGGTGGCTGGCGAAGAGCAGGCTTCTTGGGACGTACGTACCATAGGTGGTTGTTGTGTCGCTCGACCAAATCGGCCGTCAAAGGGTTTGCCTTGATGCTCGAGACATCGATCATTGTGCGATATGCAGCCCAACCGGTCTTCTGGGCACCTCGGTCTTGTTCCTTGAGGAACTGCGTTCTCGCAAAGGAATTTATGCCTTCAAACTCACACCAAGCACTCCACATCTCGAGTGAGAATGATCAAAAGGAGTCATCAAAAGGGGGGGTGGGAAAGGGAGAATCTTGTGGAGAGGAAAAAGAAGGGGACCAGGGTATCAGAACTCACCGTCACAAGCAACGACCAAATCGGCCTCGATCCGCCGTCCACCTCTGAGGACCACGGCGCCGCGCTCAAAATCGTACTCGACCACCCGCGAATCGACCCTCACCTCGGCTCCGGCCCTGACGGCGTGCCGGTGCAGGATGTCATGCAACACCCCGCGGTGCACGACCACGTACGGCGCGCCGTACTCGCCCTCCAGACCCCTGGCGTCGACGCTCCCCAGCACCCGCCCGTCCTTCCAGTGGTGGATGAAGAACGTGCCTGGCACGGCCGCCTTGGCCACAATGTCGTCCCGCAGGCCCCAGCGGAAGAAGAACTTGATGGCGTCCGGCGTCAGTTGCACGCCCGCCCCGATCTCGGCCAGCTGCGGCGCCGACTCGAGCACCGTCACGCTGTGTTTCTCGAGCGCCAGGGCCAATGCCGCAGACAGGCCGCCGATCCCTGCGCCGACGATGATGATCTTCATTGTTGACGTCTGTTGTTGTTTTTGTTGCTATGCCGGAGAGGGAGATCTGAAGATGTATGGAAGAGAGGGATGCCTAGTCGTTACCCACAACATGTGAGAGAGTAAGAAACCCAGATCAAGCCTTTTATGGACCTATTCCAGTGGTTCTGATGCTTCACGCATAAGACACCCATGCCAGGTCGTGCTATAGAAGTCACCGAGGTACACCACAAACAGAGACACTGCAAGAATCGAGTCGAGACTGACAAAGAAACTGAGAACCCGGTGAGTGGGTTGTACTTCAAGTGTCTTATATATATACGAGGTACCTTGGGGTTATTGAGTAAGATATTCAACCAGATTTGGGCTTGATTTAAACTTGGTGTAATTAACTATCCCGTAAACAAAAACTTTAAGCTTATTCAAGGAGCATATTGTAACCAAGTACAAGTGCTGCTGTATTACATCATAGAAAACCTTTATTCAAGCATGAATATAAGGTAGAGCCTACAGAGTCTATCTTTAAACTCTCGAGCACTGGCACCACTGGTGATCACTCAAGGAGGTGGTAAGTCAGGTTGTACCACAGTGGAAGCTCCTCCACTGACTGTCTGGTTGATAAGACAAATGCACATTGGATTTGATTTTGTTAACCCTGTTCCTTTTCGAGAACCGAGTACGTGTCTGTGGAACTCCAGAGACACTCTCCTCTCCCTCACCAAGCCTATCAATCACACTGGGAGGAGATGATGGATAAACCACAAGGACGATTGACGAGATGAACCAACGCCATTGACACCACGCTACAAGCCTACAAGGCCCAAACACCTCTGGGGAAAAAGGTGCTCGCGAAAACCAATGTTCAGTTGGCCCAGCCCTTGCTCATCTCCACGGCTTTCTCCCACCGAGAAAACTGTTTGGCACTCTCCTCCTTGCTGATGGCAGGCTTGAAGACCGACGAGCCCTCGGTATTGACATCCTTCAACTCGTCAATGCTGTCCCATACACCCACGGCCAAACCAGCTGCGATCGCCGCGCCCAGCGCGGTGGTCTCGCGCATCGCCGGTCGTTTCACGGGAATGCCGATGAGATCAGTTTGTGTTTGCATGCACAGATCCGAGTTACACATCCCACCGTCAACGGCCAGTTCACTGAGTTTGTGGCCCGAGTCCTTTTCCATTGCCACCAGGATAGCTTTGGTTTGGAAGCACGTCGCTTCCAGAGTGGCGCGCGCGATGTGGCCTCGCTGTGTGTACGCCGTGATACCGAAGATGGTTCCGCGAGCGTCATCGATCCAGTAGGGCGCGAACAGACCGCTGAATGCAGTCACGAATGTAACGCCGCCATTGTCTTCAACAGTCTCAGCGAGTTGGCTGATCTCGGAGGATTTGTCAATGAATCCAAAGTTTTCGACCAGGAACTTGACGCTTGAGCCAGCCACGGCAATTGATCCCTCAAGCGCATACATGGGCTTGGTGTTACCGCCAAAGTCAAATGCCACAGTGGTCAACAGACCGTGGGTGGAGATCACTGGCTTATCGCCTACGTTGTAGAGGATGAAACTACCGGTTCCATATGTGTTCTTGCCCAGGCCTGGCGTGAAGCCTTTCTGACCGACTAGGGCAGCTGACTGATCTCCTAGGCAACCGGTAATCGGAACACCCTTGAGGACGGTCGAGGTGAGGGAGCCATATGCTGCGGAATCCGAAGAATGGACGATTTTAGGGAGGTGGACCTTTGAGGTGTTGATGCGGAAGAAGTCGAGAAGGGAGTCGTCGTACTCAAGGGTCTTCAGGTTCATGAACATCGTTCGTGATGCGTTTGAAGGGTCAGAGACGAAAATGTTTCTTTTCGGACCTTTAGTTCCGGACGTTAGTACATGAATGTTGCGGAGATTTCAGCAAAAAGAGCCCACCTCCGTTGAGTTTATACACAAGCCAAGCATCAATTGTGCCAAAGGCCAACACGCCCTTTTCGTACGCATCTTTGACCTTTGGCTCATTCTCAAGTAGCCAAAGTAGCTTGCCGACGGAAGGATAGGTAGAAAGCGGAAGCCCGCAGATGTCAGTGAGCTTGTCGGCGCCGAGTCGGTGCTTCAGCTTTCGAACTAATGCCTGTGTCCGCGTGTCGGTCCAAACAATAGCATTGTACAAGGGCTCTCCGGTCTCCTTGTTCCAAAGAACCGTGGTCTCACGCTGGTTGGTGATGCCGACTGCCTTGATGGTGTTGATGTTGTGGCCCTGGTCTTGGAACTGTTGGACTGCGCCGTCGATACACTTTTCTACCGATGAAACGATCTCCAGGGGGTCATGTTCGTGCCAGCTGTGTCTTGAGGTTAACAGCACGCTTCGTCGTTAAAATTGGTGTTACTTACCCAGGATGTGGATAGATCTGCTTGAATTCAAGCTGGTGCGAGGCAACCGGCTCGCCTCGCTTGTTGAAGATCAGGAATCTAGAACTCGTGGTTCCCTGATCGATAGACCCGACAAAGACTTCTTGAGTGCTGCCCATGGCGACTTTTCGCAAAAAGTTCATAAAGTTCTGAAAGAAATGTAGGTTTGCCTAAGAGGAGAAAATGTCCGGGTCTGGGGAATAGACTGGAGCACTGGAGGCCTGGAGAGGTGCTGCGGAGGGGAGGGGAATCCATGTTATATAGCACAACAGCGGGGGAACACCGAAGCATGTGGACTTTGAAGACAATGTATCGAGGCACACGGTCGCATGACCTTTACCGCAGGGGGTTGTACCACATGGAAGCGGGTCGTGGTCTTCGTCAAACTCGAATCTTACGCGAGCTCATGGCATAACAAGCTGGAGTCCCCAGTTGGTGCTTGCTCGGTGTTCAAACGAACTTTTGCGAGGTCTCCCGGACATTTCAACCCCGAACTCCACAGACGGAACTCGTCTACCATTCCATGCGGCTGGTGAAGCTCGGTGCAGGGATAGGCGACGGGCATGGGGAAGAGCGGGCGTGCGGATTGCAAGCAGATGCGGGAAAGATCAGGGGCGCAAAGCCGTGGCGGGGGGAGGAGTGGAAAGTAACATGGCTGCAGTGGATTGCTGAAGTCACGCCCGTGGTGCCGACTGAGGAAGCCCTTCGCGACGTGGTAGCGAACGCAGGTGTTTGCGGGGGTGAGCGGAAGAGACAAGGATAGAGAATAATGGAGGATGAATCGAGGAGAGAAGTTCGGGGAAAGAGACCGACGTGCATTTGCCGAGGCTTCCCCACGTGCCCCGCAAGGACGTCATCGGCGAAACTGTTTTTCCAGCCGCTTGCAGATTCCGCAGTCGGCCGGACAAAGACTGCGACACTTACTCCGTATACCTTGTCTTCCTCTGCAACGTCGTATTGGTTGCTAAGAAGTCGTGTCCACCGAGAGGTAAAATGTGTGCCACCCCGAGACCGCCATGAAACCTTGACTGAGTGCGAAGGCAGCTGAAATTTGTACAGGTCATTTTTGTCTGTTTGTAACGGCCAACTGCCTCTCACTCACCACCACTGGATGATTGATCCTATCAACGGCGCCTGAGATACCGTAACATCGACGTGAAGTCTGGGCATCGTGCATATCAAGATCGGCAGGAATTGCTTCGAGCTGGGCTTCCTAAAGGCATAACTCTATGCAAGTCGGCATAGAGTTGCCGCTGGAATTTCAAGACCATCCGGGTGTAGTCGTGTGCGGTTCGCGGTGATACTAGCTGAAGAAAAAGTTATGTGAGTGGAAGGATTTTCTGGGCCGTCATACGGCATCATTGGCTCACGTACAAGCCACGATCTCGTGTTTTATGCAGGGCCAACGTGCGGGTGTCCCGGACCCATGTACAGTTTGGTTCTAGACACGATACCTAGTACAAGGGTTTGCATCGGCCACAGCGCCTTGTTTGCTGAACTAACTCTGTTTCCACGTTTTCGGTATCACTGGCAATGGCCCTCGAGATTACAAGGGTGGAGTCAGAATATAGAAAGCGGAATCATGGGTTATGTTATGTGGTATTCGTCTATATAACCCAGGTCCTCTCCCCCATGGGCACCCTCTCATTGTTCTGTATCCCCACAAAGCAGCACTGTCTTTGTTCGTCCATCTTGCCACCTTTATTTCTTACATGTCCACGCCCACCTCTTCTCTATCCTTGGAGAAACAGCCAGTCACAATGGGCAACATTAGCCACCAGGAACACTTCAATGTTCCCCAGGACCAGAGACGACGAACTTCTGTTCAAGACGTTCCTGCCTTCGCCGAGCACGGTGCCCTCGTCGACCATAAGATTCCTCAAGCAGATGTGGTGCAACAAGAACCTGACCTGACGTGGAGTCGAATCCGACATTTCCTCCGAGAACCCCTGTCGGAGTTCTTTGGCGTCTTCATCCTGATCCTCTTTGGTGATGGTGTCGTCGCGCAGGTAGTCCTCAGTGGGAACACAAAGGGCGACTACCAATCAATCTCTTGGGGCTGGGGGTACGTTTTATCTTGATTATAATATTCTGAAATGTGTCGGTCGCTAATAATTGCATAGTCTTGGTGTCATGCTAGGAGTCTACACTTCTGGCATCTCAGGAGCACATTTAAATCCCGCCGTCACCCTTGCCAACGCAATCTTTCGCAAGTTCCCGTGGAGGAAATTTCCAATCTACATGCTTGCCCAGATCCTCGGCGCTATGGCAGCATCTGCAATTGTTTATGCCAACTACAAGTCCGCGATCGATGTTTTCGAAGGAGGCCCTGGCATCCGGACCGTCGGTGGCGAGACCTCGACCGCAGGCATCTTTTGCACCTATCCTGCCCCGTTCATGACCAAGACCGGCCAGTTCTTCTCCGAGTTTATCGCCAGTGCGATCCTGATGTTTTTGATCTACGCGCTGAAGGATGATGGAAACCTCGGTGCAGGAGATTTGACTCCTCTGGGGCTCTTCTTTGTCATTTTTGGCATCGGTGCATGCTTCGGCTGGGAGACTGGCTATGCTATCAACCTGGCTCGAGATTTCGGTCCTCGTCTCGTCAGCTATATGATCGGCTACGGACACGAGGTATGGAGCGCAGGTGACTACTACTTCTGGGTAAGTCCATCCAGTACTAAGCAAGATGCGGGAATTTGAAGCTGACGCGCCCCAAAGGTTCCAATGGTTGCACCATTCTGTGGCTGCGCATTCGGTGGCTGGCTCTATGACATGTTCCTCTTCACCGGCGAGAGCCCGATCAACACTCCTTACATGGGTCTCAAACGGTTTTTGCAACCGAAACGATCAGTGTGGTCAAACACATACACTCCCAATACCGAGAGCCAGGTGTGAGGTGATTTGAAAACATAGTTGTGGGTTGGATATTCGAGGGGGCTAGACAATCTATACGAGGGTGGTTATGGTTGTCATTTTTTCAGATTAGTTCTGAGCGCAGGCGTTAAGCACTGTTGTACATAGCCATCGAGGACAGGTTATGGCAGACCAATCAATGCATACAAATGCATTTTATATTGTGATTTCTCTTCCAAGTACAAAGGGTGATTTAGAAATAGTAGGCGATATGTGAGTTTCTACGGTTACTAGTGCCGAACAACTCATAGTTCAGATTGCGGCAGACTCTATTTGAAGACTGAGAACATGTGATTTACAGTCAAACAAGTGATGAGCTGTCATTCTTTCACAGCAGATCTGTTCATCTGGAGTTTGACAAGGACGATCCTTGTGCGTGGGTGTAGTCTATTGACAGATCCCCGTGGGTGATACTGTGGTACAAGTGGCATGATTAATCTACCTACAGTCAACAATGCTTCACGTACTATCTCATGAGAAAAAGGTATATCGATATACCCGGAGATGGCCGAAAGTTAATAGCCACAATGGTCCGTTGATGAGGTAGTCTGAGCTGAATGAACTGAACTGGGTCAGCTGAGTCTGAAACAGTGGGTTTTTTGTGAACGGGTATCCATCCAGGTATGTCAATAGTGGCAAGATGCGGCCGAAGTCTGTTCTTTCACCACCTACAAAGTTTTTTTTCCCTCGGATTCCTGAGATCCATCCGCAATACGACGCTGGTGCAAAGGAGAAAAGCGGATCCAATACCCAATCGGGAAACCTCTCAAAAAGGGGGTATTGCCGCCTGGAGCTGCACCTCGGTGTGTCCGTCCCCGAGACCTCAATTTCCGGAATTTGGTCGGAGAAATTGACCCGAGTCACTTTCCTGCCACCAATTTCTCCGCATTGCCCAAAAGGTTTCGTTGTGTAAGGGTAACTAGGTTCAATACTCAGCATCACGCAAGATGCCTAGCAGATCCGGGGTCGCTCAGAGCTCGTGTTGCGGCCTGGGCTCACGTCGCCCCTCGAGCTCGGTCATCCAGATTCCCCGAGTGCTGTCAATGGCAGAGTCTTGCTTCTCCGCAATGCTGCGTCCTTTGTCGTTGGCTTGTCGATCGAGAGTCATTTACGACGCCTTCAAATATCGCAGTTGGCATCCTCCTTGACACCAATCCACTGCTCTGTTTGTCGCCAGAGACGTTGACTTGCTCTTACATCACACAGCGTCATTGTTGTCGGTATATGTTCAAACGCTCCTTGATCCTCACCTGACGACCTGCTTGCCCACCTGCTCTTTGGTGAATTGCATCGACAATGGCCTCCCGATTCTCCATGCGTCGGCTCCTCAAGCCGTTGGCGTACGGTACAGGCCTGGCCGTGGCGGGTACCGCAGGCATGTATATCATCTACCGGCCTCGAAACGTCCCGGGAGCAGAAACACTTGCACCCAAACCACCCAGAAGAGACGAGCACGGAAACATCATCCCACCCAAATTCCCCTACATCAAGACGAGAGCGGAACAGATTGCCGACCTCAAGAAGTCGTCCTCGACGCCATCCTCAGAAATCTACGACCTTCTCGTGATCGGCGGTGGGGCTACAGGCACAGGCATCGCTCTGGATGCGGCAACGAGAGGCTTGAAGGTGGCAATCGTGGAAAGAGACGATTTCAGCAGTGGCACAAGCAGCAAATCCACCAAGCTCGTCCACGGTGGAGTTCGATATCTGGAAAAAGCAGTGTGGAATCTCGACTACAACCAATACCAGCTGGTGAGGGAGGCTCTGAGAGAGCGCAAGAGTTTCCTGTACACGGCGCCACATCTGTCGTCCTGGTTACCCATCATGCTGCCACTACAGGCGTGGTGGCAGGCACCATACTTTTGGGCGGGGACAAAATTCTATGATTTCCTGGCTGGCTCCGAGGGGATTGAGAGCTCTTACTTCCTACCTAGAAGTAAGGCTCTAGAAGCATTCCCCATGTTGAAGAAGGAGAACCTCATTGGTGCTCTTGTGTACTACGATGGCCAGCATAACGATTCCAGGATGAACATTTCCCTGGCCATGACCGCTACATTGTACGGGGCCACAACGGTCAATCATCTGGAAGTGACGGGCCTGGAGAAGGATGCAAACGGCCAACTTACTGGCGCCCGAGTACGAGATCTGATTGCAGAGAAGGATGGAAAGGCTCATGGTGAAGAGTTTGTTGTCAAAGCGAAAGGCATCATCAATGCGACAGGGCCATTTTCTGACGCTATCCGGCAAATGGACTCTCCCAGTGACAAGGAGATTGTTGCACCGAGCTTGGGGGTGCACGTCGTCCTTCCTGGGTACCTCAGCCCTGAAAACATGGGTCTAATCGACCCGTCCACATCCGATGGACGGGTCATCTTCTTCCTCCCCTGGCAAGGAAATACCATTGCGGGGACAACAGACGCGCCATGTGCCATCTCTCAGAACCCAGTGGCCGGAGAGAAAGATATTGAATGGATCCTAGATGAGATCCGGACATATCTTACTCCAGAAATTGATGTCCGAAGGTCGGATATCCTTGCCGCCTGGTCAGGTGAGTTTACCGTCACTAATTCACCAGAGCGAATCGATACTGACATGCGATGATGCAGGAATACGACCCCTTGTCCGTGACCCCAATTCCAAAAACACAGAATCGCTTGTTCGGAGTCATCTTGTCACCGTTTCCGACTCTGGGCTGCTCACTTGCGCTGGCGGGAAATGGACGACATACCGACAAATGGCGGAGGATGCAGTCGACAAAGCGATCGAAGCATTCAAGCTGCAGCCGAAATCCATCAGCTATGTCCCAGATATCAGCGGCGTCAATGGTATCGATCCCTCGGTTGGTCTTCTGAATGGAACTTGTCAAACACATCATATCCGGTTGATTGGAGCCCACGGGTACTCGACCACTCTTTTCATTAACCTTATCCAGCACTTTGGCCTCGACCCAGATGTTGCGAAGCACTTGGCTAGCGACTATGGCGATCGGGCTTGGGATGTTGCAGCACTGGCTTCTCCTACCGACAATACCGAACACTATCCCTTGCGCGGCCAGCGACTATCATCGTTGTACCCCTTCATCGACGGTGAAGTCCGGTATGCCGTACGCAGCGAATATGCCCAAACCGCCGTCGATGTTCTCGCCAGACGCACCCGTTTGAGCTTCCTGAATGCACAGGCTGCGCTACATGCCCTGCCCAAGGTGATTGACATCATGGCCGAGGAACTGAAATGGAGCGAGAAGAGAAAACAAGCAGAGTGGAAAGACACAGTTACATTCCTCGCCAGCATGGGCCTACCAAGTGACATGCTTCAGATCACTCGCGAGCAAGTGTTGAAGGGAGAGCTGTCTTCACGGTTGCTGGCCCCGGTAAAGGGCAACTCGGAAGGTCCTGTGCCTCTGAAACCGACACTTGAGCCTGTGTCCCAGGCCCATGGGTCTTTGCCATGAGCGTCCTTTTTTTTTTTGATTCAGATACGCCTGAAAAGTTGCCGGTCGACTTGGAGCGGCACAAAAGCAAGAATGGTTGAGATTGATACCCGATAGGGAAAACAGGCAAGGCGTTTTGGAGTCGGTGACTAGGGAGGGAGATTGGGGAAAAGGGTACTCGGTATACTATGCCAATACCCCGTTGCTTGTTTTTTTCATGAAGTCCCTTTCCATCCTGGTAGTTGTTTCCAGGCAGCTTTTCCTGGAAGAGTACGAGTAGGATCGCAAGCTGTCTAGCCACATATGGGAGTTTTGAGTACCCCACGCCGCAGCCCATGCGTTAATTACTCAGAAGCATCTCATACTCCACATATTAAAGAGTATATCAACCCCAGATGATTATTCAGACCTTTCCGAAAAAGGCGAAGCGGCAGGCGGTTGGAGAAATGGGGCGCATGGGGCTTAGTGGGTCTCTCCAGGGCCAATGATACACGGGAGTCGGTCAACCTGAGAGTATTTGGTGTCGGGGAACCTCATCAGCTTCCCTCTCCCAAGGCTTCCATCCACCTACGACTAAACGACTGGAGGGGGTTGAGTGGCATCTTTGTTTGATCCACGAGTCGTTGCTGCGAGGTTTCTTCATTTCAAAAACACCCACAAAGGTATAAGAGACGGACGAACTCCGCGCTCTCGGTCCGCTCTTCAAGCTCCTTCACATTCGTTGTCATCCTTTGGATCCGTTCACCAGCGCTACCGGATCCCCATCTCCAGCCACTCAAGATGCCGTTCCTCGGTGTCCTCGACGACACCAAGATCCCGCACGTCCCCGGCACCGTCATCCTCGAAGAAGACGCGGCGCACTCGCAGGAGGTGACGGGCGGGCTCAAGCATGGCACGGGGCGCAACGCACACATTGTGCTGGTGCCGCAGCCCTCGAACGATCCCAACGACCCACTCAATTGGTCTTACACTAAGAAACTCACGGCCCTGGGCATCACCTGCTGGGGGTCGATCCTCTACGCCGCCGTGGTGAGCGCCATGCTGAACTCGGCCTTTTTCGAAATGTCCATCGAGATCAACACCACCATCCCCAAACTCGTGCTGAGCTCGGGCTACCAGACCTTGGTGATTGGCGTGACGGGCCCGCTGTTCTCGGCCCTGTCCAGGAAATGGGGCACGAGGCCGATTTTCCTGTTCGCGTCGGTTTTCTGCCTCATCGCCGACATTGTGGGCTCCTGCGTCAACACCTACGACGGGGTGCTCGCCTCGCGGATCCTGCAAGGGTTCGCCATTGCGCCCTACGAATCTCTGATCTTTACGCTCATCAGTGACATGTTTTTCGTCCATGAGCGTGGCATCTACGCGTCCTGCATCAATTTCATCTTGGCTGGCATCTCCAATCTGACGGGTGTGGTTGCTGGCCCGATCGCATCGAATATCGGATGGCGATGGCTGTATGTCTTCCCGCCCCGCTTCCCAGCTCCCTCTTTTCTGAATGCACTCCGTTGAAATGTTAATCCTTCTGATTTTGGTCACGCTGATCTCTCCTCCGGGCAGGTATTACCTTCTGGTCCTCTTCGGCGGCATCCAGACCATCCTCCAGTTCCTGTTTGTCCCCGAGACCAGCTATATACGGGACCGGCGCTACGAGATCGACGAGATCAAGAACGACAACCTCCAGGACCTCGCAGCCCTCGAGTACCAGGAGAGACTGAATTTGGAGAAACCCGGTGTGGTGGCGGCGACACACACCGAGGAGACCGGGACGCAGCGAGCGACGTCGACAACGGCCGACGAGGCTCCCGTCTACCACAAGAAGACGTTTGTGCAGGATCTGGCCATCTTCAGCGGCACGTACTCGAACGAGAACTTTTTTCAGCTCCTCCTCGCGCCCTTTGCCGTGGTGCTCAACCTGGCCGTGTCGTGGATCCTGATCGTCAACTCCATGTTCGTGGTCCTGTACGTGGTCATTGCGTTTTGCCTGGCGCAGCTGTTCGCGCCGCCCCCGTACCTCCTCAGCCCGGCCAGCATCGGGTACCTCTCGCTGGGACCCTTTGTGGGCGGCATCCTCGGGTCCATCATCATGGGCGTGCTCTCGGACCCGTTCATCAAGTGGTGCGCGCGGCGCAACCGCGGCGTCTACGAGCCCGAGTACCGGCTGATCCCGTGCGTGCTGGGCGTGTGCTCGGGGATCGGGCTGATGCTTTTCGGCCACCTCGTCTCACAGGGGGCGTCGCCGTACGCATGCGCCACCGTGCACGGCCTGATGCTGTTCGGCGTCATGTTCCTGTGCATCGGCACGTCCAACTACGCGCTGGACGCGTACCGGGGGATGGCCAACGAGATCTTCATCGCCAGCATGTCGGTCAAGAACCTCATCCTCTACGGCTTCAGCTACTTTGTCAACAACTGGACCGCCGCCGTCGGGCCCCAGCACGCCTTTTACGTGTGGGGTGGCGTCGCCTTCGCCTTGGTCGCCACCGTGCCGCCCATGTTTGTCCTGGGCAAGAAATACCGCAGCTACTGGGCCCGCAATAATTTGCTCGAGAAGATGCACGTTCGCACGCATGAGGAGTAGGAGGGGAGTTATCTCTCGGGGAACGGAAAATCCGTTGATCCTGTCTTGTTGTGGCGACCACGGAAGATGATCTATCTATCTAGCTGGCTTACTGACTGACTGTCTGTCTATCACATACCTAGCTAAGCGTTGCAGAGATTGTGCCGAGCTATGACGAGCCCATACGTGCGGGTGATTCTGAGAGTGACAGAGTGACAATCACATCGTGACTCACCAACAGACGCAGGGACCAGTCGCCTTCTCCTATCTTTTTCTACATATATACAATCTATATGCATGTCTATCTAGGAGTCTATAATTCCTACTTTGCCCAAGAGTAGCCTGGCTGCCCGCGGAACTGAGAGACCACCACACGCGGGCAGGGGATCTATGTAAAGACTCGTGTGTTCTTATTTTATTTTATTTTTGAGCGTGTGTAGAAGCAGCAGCAGCAGCAGCACAAGGTGTCTACTTCTCCTTTGCCTTTTCTCTTTCGCCGCCACGCCGTACCACTGGGGTATGCTACCGCCATGCAACACCTCCCGCTACTCAGAGACCTGTCCTGAACCGTCCGACCGTCTCGTTCAGGCGATCAAACCCGACCTTCTCCGCAATCTGGAGGATCGACTTGCCTCTCCCCGTCTCCAGTGCTTCTGCATCCTCAACCACCCTAGCAGTCGCCTTTTCCCCCTTCGACGGGCCGAATACCTTTGCGGTCCTCTTCTCGCGCGTATACCCCGGCCAAGGCTGCTGTCCGGCCACAAACCGCATGAGATCTAGCCCGAACGCTTCGGCCGCCGCCCTCTGCGCGGGTGGCAGGTTGTGATTGTGGTTCTGGAACAGGAAGACGACGTCGAGGACGTGGGTGGCGCGACCCTGGTAGGCGCCGGCCCAGGGGTTGGGCTCGTTGAAGAAGAACGTCAAGATTTTCGAGTGGGATGAGGATGAGGAGGCTGGCCAGCCGCGGGCGAAGCTGGTGGTCGCACCCAAGAAGCTGACGTCGTTGACGAATTCGAGGAACTTGATAAACGCCGTTTCGTCGTCCAGTCCCGAATCGCCAAAGCCGTACGCCTCGAGAAGGGTTTCTGCAATGTCCGGCGTCGTCGCGAGAGAGGACCGTATTGACGCCGGGAACTTTTCCCCGATGCCCGGTTTCAGGTGTCCGAGCATGAATCCAAGGACGGAGGCCTATAACGGAGGTCGAGAACACTGGTCAGTACTTTGCACGCACCAGCTGCCGATGTCCACTCGAGGATGGCTAGACGTACGTCAAATTCGCTGTTCCCAATCATCAAAGCATCGACCCACTGCTTGCCGGGCATGCTCTGGTCGGATTGATCGGCCACGCCCGCAAACGTCGGCTGGACAGGGACGACATCTCCGTCCACGGTAGGCAAGAATGCGACCGAGGGCGGCAGTTTCGCAATGACCTCGTCCATCGGCAGGTTCAGAAGCTTCTGGATCCGTTGGTCGACGTCGAGGTTCTCCAAGCCCAAGATGGACAAAACTTGTTGGTATGTGCGTTCTTGGTCCGCGGGGGTGAAGACCGGGACGAGCAGGCACGAGCCGCCGGTAGCGATGGCGCGGTGGAAGAGTGGCTCTTTGGAGTACAGGTGTAGCGTGGTGGCCACTTGAAGTGTCTCATCAGCAGCCTGTTATCATAAAAGAATGTGTAATTGGGGATCAGAGGACATCCCATACCTGCTCCCGCGCTCTCGCCAATCACGGTCACCTTGTCTGGATCGCCGCCGAACCCGGCAATGTGCTGCTTGACCCAGCGCAACGCTGCTTGCTGATCCCGGAGTCCACCGTTGGGTTTGTATCCCCTCTGGCGCAACTCCTCCGAAGTCAACATGCCCGGGAAACCTAGACGATAGCTAATTTTTTTTCTCAGCAAAGTGTCTAGACGTTAGGGAGTGGTTCCCCTGTCCCCTCCCCGAATTGTTTCCTCGTCCGAAGGGTGTGTGACTATACGTACTTGATGCCCACGCCAATCACAGGAACCCCATTATCACGGGCCAGCTTGACGATTCTGGCGTGGTCATAGTGCGGCCAGGAGTTTGCCCCGACAACGAAGCCTCCGCCGTGTATCCAGACGAACACCGGCAGCTTTTGCTTTGCCAGGTCGACCCCGTCCTGCCCTTTCGGCACTGTGATGTTGAGATTCAAGCAGTTGAGGTCCGAGTGGACAGTCGACGGCTTGGGCATTGACTGCTGGATGAAGAGCATCTCGTTGTCGTAGCCATTCGGGGGAGAGAACGACGAGGGTCTGTAGATGGCGTCAATATCTCCAATGCTCGGTTGGGGGACAGTTAAAATTCACCCATGACTTGTGGCATCGACTGGGCTCTCATATCTCGATTTCACTTGGGCTTCCGCAAGCCTGTCCTGGAGAGTGGCATATTGAACTCCGAAGAATTGATATACGCCGTCGCCGTCGAGGCCCTTGACTGCTCCTATAGAAGGATGTTCCACCGTGACTGTCGACATGGTGATGGTGATAGAGCCGAGTCAGGGAGAAGGCTTTCTCTTCAAAGATGGGCCAAGCCTCGTCCAGGGGTCAGGACGCCGTATACCTAGCACGAAATAGTTTTACCCCAATCCATGGACTTGAGGAGTCGACAGTCGACAGTCGATACTCTGAACTGGCTTCACTGGGTGATATCAGGTCCCACAATGTGGAGGGGCCCCACATTTCCTATTCCAGCCCATTAAGGACCAGCTCCACCACTTTTCAGGAAATGCTGCTTGGCACTGAAAGAAGAGACAAAACTGGCTCGCAAGCTCACGTGCGACTCAGCCCCGACCGTGCCGCTTTTATACGACAGTGTTTTCGGTTTCATGGAGCCAGCCAGTATCCTACGCGCCCGTCGGAATATCACCTTTCCGCGCATCTTGGCATAGGTCTTGACGATACCGATACCCAGACTCACAGATACCATCATATGCTCACTACTGGAAGTACCGAGCAGAAGAGACGGTATGTAAATTTTACATGGACAATTACTAGTAAAAAAATTACATCTAAAACATGGGCTATAGACCAGTCATATAATGCCAAGATATCTACACCCTAAAACAGTGACTCTCCGACCTAAAGGGGCCTTGGCCGAGGCTGAGAATAAGGCACTAGTCTCAAAACAGTACTATATGCTGTCATCGACAAAATCTTCCAGGGCCAAATTTCACATCTGATCCCGGGCAATGCCACCTTAAAGGACTCTCCATTTACAATGCGAGTTGCAAACTTGTGGCAAGCGAGCCTCTTCGACGTGTTAGATATTCTCCGGCCGAGAGAGACCCAAGCCTACACAATCCTAGCTGGTTGGCACCTGAACCATGGCCCTAACCTTCGCGTGGTCGAACATGGCTGTACATGTTAACAACGCCGTTGCCCGTGTGGTCCCATATTGTCTTGTCCTGATTCAGTTCCATGTCCGCGCAATCTCACAGTAGTGAGTTTGGCAGGAAGCCTTGACTACGTTTACCGGAGGGAGATGCGGATCTTTGAAGGTCCCGGACGGCAGCTTCAACATGAGTAAAGGGCGGACTGATCCAATATTTAAGCTGGGCTCTCCAGTCTGTCTATTGACAAATTCTTTTCTTCTCTCTCCGCGTCTTCATTCATGTAGAGTCACCAATACCGCAATAGATCGATAAGACTGTGTGGCCCCTCGCTTTGCCCCCCTTCTCACCTCTTCTTGTCAATAACCCCCATTCAACCGGAATACTCGTTGGACATCTCGAACCAAATTTCAAAAGCATCATGCCAATTTTCAAGCCTTCTGCTGTCCTCCTTTCCCTCGTCTGCGCAGCCTCGTCAATTTTGGGTGTTGGTTCCGCGAACCCAATCGTGGGCCGTCCTGGCACTGAACCTGCCTCATACACGCTCGAAACAGTCCATCAGTTCCCTAATTTTACATGGCTTGAGAATCTTGTAAGTTCTGCGCCGGCCGGATCGCTCCTCGTCTTGAAAAAAAGAAAAGGAAAAAGAAAAAGAAAAAGAAAAGAAAAAGAATACATTGATTCTAATCAGATCCAAAACCATCCCAGGCAATCCGCTCTACCGGTGAAATCGTCGCGACCGATATTTCCAACGGCGTCATTTACCTCGTCGACCCAGGGGAGGATCCTGCCCCTGTCTCGGTCATCGCGCAATTTCCTCCGGGCACCTGCTTGACCGGCATCGCGGAGCTCCGTCCCGATGTTTTCTACGTCCAGTCCGTCGACGGCTTTGTGTACAATTTCACCTTCACACCGGGTTCCGCGACGCTGTGGGAGGTCGATCTACGCGACCAGGCCCGCGGTGCCGTCGTGACCAAAGTCCTGGATATGCCCGAGAACAAGGTCCCGAACGGCCTGGGAGTGCTCCCCACGGGAAGAAAGGGGAGAGGCGAATCGACCTTACTCCTGAGCGCCGATTCCGGTGGTGGAGTGGTCCATCTCATCGACGTGGTCAATAAAAGTTACAGTGTTGTTTTCGACCACCCGCTACTGAAGCCCAACGCTACGGCACGCCCGCCTTTTGGGGTCAACGGCGTCCATGTCGTCCCTGGGGATGCCGACGCCGACACTTCGACCTTGTACTTCACAAACACAAACTTTGGGTACCTCGGTGCGGTGACTATTGGCAAGAACGATGGGACGCCGCGAGGCGAGCCGTGGCTGATCACCGACGAGGTCCCCGCGGCAGATGATTTTGCCATCGACTCGGACGGTTCGTTCTGGGTGACGCAGAACGTCCGTCAGACTTTGTCGCATGTGTTGGCGGACGGAACCGTCGAGTTTGTGGCTGGAGGCGTGGATTCCGCCGACCTCCTCGGCCCAGTGGCTGCTGCATTTGGACGGACCTCCGAGGACCGTGCGAACGGCGTGCTGTATATATCAACGGATGGTGTGCATGTCGATCCAGCTACGGGCAGCGTGACGAGGACTGCTGGCAAGATTGCCCGGCTTGCCACAAAACGCGGTAGCGGACAGGAATGGGGTAATTGGTAAGGTTGCATGTCAGAAGCTGTTAGAGCGCCCAGTGTCGTATGTTGAAAGTTGCGCTACTATAATAAACACGACAAGGTTAAATTGTAGTGGTGATGGTGATGGTGGTGGTGGTTGTGGTGGTGAAGACACATGAACTAGTCAAGAGAGAATGGATCATGGGTGTCTACATCTTTCTTCTATAATATTATCGTTCGTGATAGAATTTCAATTACATATTACTTATTATATACAGAATTCTTCTGGTGCTCCAAGGTGAAATCCGACACGGAATCTCCCTTCACAGAGAATCCTGATCGATACATGATGAGACCGCCTCGACAAGGACTTTCAAGTCGCCTCCTCCAGCTCCACCGTTGGCGTCCACGTATAGGTATTTCTGGAGGAAACTGCGATAACTGTCGAATTCGTTCTCGAGTCGGAGCCGACGCGCGCTTTGAGCCACGTGACGGCTAAAGAAATCGAATTGCCGGTTGTAAGGAATGCCTTTTGGGAGACGGGGGGAGCAGCTCGAGAGTTTCTTGGTTGCGGAAAGCGAAACGAGAGCGCCGAGAGCACTCACCCAGAAGTGCAAGCCGGGGAATTCCAACAAAGAGGATGCTTCGGGCTTGGCCGTTTCCAAGGCCGCTTCGAGTTTCGGCAGTATGATGAGCGCAGTGAGTTCGGCCCCGACGTATTCTGTGATGCTCAGCATCCATAACAGTGTTGCGATCCGCAGGGCTTCTTGGATGCCATCCAGTTCGGTCCGAGCTAGGAGGCGGTAATTCAACGCTTGAACCTTGAGGTACAGCCATCGTTCGTGTTCAGGCTGCTCCGGAATTTGGTTCGGTTGTGATGCCGAAGTGTGCTGACTTATCTGCACACACGCTACTAGATCGACGAGGATCTTTTGGTGGCAGTCGTCGATGATGGACACATTTTCGGCAGTAAAGAATCCGGTGCCGAGATTCCACAATTCTGGAGTCAGCACCATAGAGGAGGACATAGATTGATATGGCCAACCTTCAGGCTCAAAGGCTATCGTCAGTACTGGTGCAGACCTGGTGAAGAATGCGAGAAATCTGTGTGGTAGTTAGGCTCAAAAGCTCTGAGCGGAGAACAAGGAACAAAGGCCACTTACTTCCCTCCTAGAATTATGCTTTCCATAATCAGGGGCGACACCTTTGTCATTCCGCCGACTTGTGAGATGAGGACTTGAACAGCTCTCATGTGCGTGGCAGCAGCATCAAAGTTGAACAGCCACATTTCCGCGGCAGCTAGCCCATACATTGACCAGAGAAGAGCTTCTTCTACTTGTTCCGACCGCTGCAAGCGTTCTCGAATGCTTCGATAAGTCTGTTGGATGAAATACTCGGGCGGCAAGTCTTCAAAGCGAACACCGTAGCGCCAACCAATGGCCCCTGAGGCGTACGCGAGGATCGAGAACATCAGCATATCGTTCTGCAAGGCATCACGCATTCGCTCCGAATATGCAGCCTCATGACGAAAGGCCCCAGTCTGTGATGTTGCTTTCAAAGGGTGGCCCAAGGCCTCGGCTCGAAAGGTAGAAGAATTGAAATCAGACTGCAAGAATTGCATCAACTGGTAAGCCGAGGGGTGATGAATCATGTTGGTGCTGTGGAAAGGATCGATCGAAGTGCCCGAAGGCTGAACAGAAATGGATACGACACTCGGGTGGTCCAACTCCTCCCCTCTGGCCGCACGCCAGAAGTAATGGTTCCAATGCGACTGAACAATGGTGGTGCTCTCAGATGAAAACGGGAAGTCGATGGTGGCGGAGTTGACCTCTGGAAATTGCGAGCGTTCTCGTGAGGTGGTCTCTTCCTGGTCATCAGAGGTCGGTCGTCTACCCCGAGACCTTTCCTTAGGGATCGATGCCGCGGATTGTAGGAGGTCGGACGGCGTTGCAAATCTTTCACCTTGTCGTCGTCTCGTTTGGGCATGGCTTCGAATTCTGTAGGCCTCTTCTTCATCGCCTTTGGACAGCGAGGCTGACTTGGCGTCCTTTATCACAAAGTGGTATTGTTCCATGGTCATCCGGCACGTTTCGGATTCTAGAAAACGACATGGCTGCTATTGACCGCGACCTCTGCTTTTAAGTCGCCGACTGCAGGACGTGATGGCCGATGAGTTTGTCATTTGCTGTGGGGAATAATAACTTGCAATTGCCTCCAAGCGAGGTGGCAGGGCTATACAGGGCATTCTTCCTATTTTAAGAAGATCGGCTGGACTCAGGTGGTGTGGTTAACTTGAGCTAGAGTACTCGGCGAGTTCGGTAGCTGGGGCTGAAAGCTGGTCACTATGATGCGTAGCAGTCGGTGTTGCACTATCGGCCATCAAGGCGCGGCGTCACTCCCGTCCCGGATTTTGGCTGCTTGGCTGTCAGCTGTGAGCATAGCCCGAGATACCCAATACTTGAGGACCTTCTCGTAGATGACTTTGGTGTAGCGGCGTGGAACCAGCTCTGCAAAGACCCAAATCGCACCATTGTGTTGTAACCGACAACATACTGTGACAATCCTAGTTGAAATGGGAGATGTAGGTTGCATGAAGCTGAGGGGGAAGAATCGTGGCTCCTCCAGTTGATCAGTCGCAGGATCCAAGGTACAGGATGCGCATGAGCAAAGACCACTCCTCCACGGTCAACGTGTCGCTCATCCTCTACTGCTCATCACTTCTGACCTCCATGGCCTGACCTTCAGTCTCGCTCTCGTCCGGATCCGGCTTCATCGTATGTAAAAGGTCAGGGATGACAGGAAGTCAAGTTGATCAACACCACCTATGGCTAAATGTCATAGGCTATCGACCTCGGCCAGGAATCATGTTGCTGGGTCGTTCTTCTCCGAAACGTCTGACCAAACTGACTCGTTCAGCATCAAGATCGTTCGCAGCCCTCTTTTCCCAATTATCTTACTCAGAGTGCAGAAGCCGAGAACAATAGCACCATGTCAGGCATACTCCGTGTGTCTCTGTTGCTGCCCCTGGTCGCGGTCCTGCTGTATAACCAGTCCTCCCAGCTCGGCCGACTCGTTGGGCGCGTGGAAATCGACAAGACAAGACTCGTACGCTGGGAGAACAGCTCGGCACTCAACAACCACGACTGCCAGGTGATCAAGGCCGCCAACGCGTGCGAGGACGTCAAGATCCATTTCCCGTCGCACACGGCCTTCTTGTCCTGCGGAGATCCCGTCGAGAGAACCCATTGGTATCCATGCGCAGGCGTGCGCACCGTCTCGCTCCGGGCCGAGTCTTCCTTTCGTGAGCAGCTGTTCAAGCACGATCTGGAGACCGGCCAGACGACCGAGCTACAGATCAAAGGCCTGGAAGGTGACTTCATTACCCACGGTATTGACATCTTTCCACTCCCCGAAGATCCCTCTCGAGTGAGTCATTTTCCTTCCCCTTCTCCTTGAAGAGTTGGGAGAGAGTGGAGTTTGACCAGGGAACGGAGTTGTATAGATCCACATCTTTGCAGTCAACCACGCTCGCAGCGGCGACTCGATTGTCATATTCGCGCATACGCTTGGGTCTGACGAGGTCGAGCTGGTGAAGAATGTCAAGCATCCGAATATCAAGACAGCCAACGGAGTAGCCGCGACGGGACCATTGTAACGCAGTCGCCCCGTTCCTCCGAGAATGACAGACAGAGCTGACCCCCCTCTCACAGGGACTTCTTTGTGACCAACGACCATTACTTCGCAGGAGGTCCGTTGCGGACAATGGAGGAGATGTTCGGGCCCTGGGACTGGGCAACGAATGTCCAATACTGCAACGCAGAGGCAGATGTAGGTGGTAGTTGACTCTTGACATGTGAATGAATCAGTCCTCACACGTGGTTTTTTTTCTGTGATCATCAGGAAATCCTCTGCAGACAGGTCTCGGGCACCTTCACAGGCGCCAACGGGATCAACGTGTGGAAAGACCGTCTGTACGTCGGTGACTCGAAGAACGGAACCGTGACTGTGTTCGAGGTGCACGGAGACAAGAGCTTGACATATTTGCAGACGGTGGTAAGTGTCTCGCATCCGCCAGCATTTGGCCACACAGACCAAACAAACCAACCCAAACAAGTCAGCTGCTTACCTTTTCTACGCACCATCACCCCTAGGATCTGGGAGCTGCGGCAGATAACATCAACATCGTTCCGACCACAGGCGACCTGATCGTGGCGGGTAAGCCAGCCTCACCCAACCCTTTTCTTTGTGCCCTGCGCAGCTATCTCTAGACCCGATGCTGACGACCGCATCCCTCTCTCCGCCTCAGTTTTCCCCACGCTCGAAAACCTTTCCAAATACCTCGAAAACGTCAGATCGCTGGGCAAGGAGTTCCTGGTGCCAGCCGCAGCGTTGCGCCTGCGCCGCGAGTCCAACTACACGCCCGAGCTGATCTACTTTGACAACGGGGCAACGCTCAGTTTCATGACGGCCGCACACGTGTACAAGGACCTGTTTGTGGGTGCCAGCGTGCTCCAGTTCGGCGGGTTTGCGGTCTGCAAAGCAACGTCGGCGCTGGATGTGTAGGTCTTATGTGGTCATGTGGTTGCGTGGTTTGCGTGGCTTGAGGGGAGAAGAATGGGCATCTAGTGCCGCACTGCCATCTACGTATGAAGTACCTGAATGGTACTAGGACAGTGGCAGAACTCATGGGGCGATCAAGGGAGAAGAGCGGATAGTGATCATGAGTGCAAATTGACTCGACTAACAGGTGGAGCTGGTCTTATGCTCCCACCCACTGATTATATTTATGAATATACTGATGTGTGCGGTATGTCCAAGTGTTTACGGCGTATTTCCCCAATTTTCCCGTGATACAGTCCAACAAGCGATAATTCAGCTTTGGCTTCACGGAAATAGGCCGAGTGTTTCCGCCCATAGCTGTCCCATTTGGGCATTCTGGGATCGGAGATTGATGATTTGTCTTACTCTGCCCAAGTCTGCGAACTGAATCAAAAGAGTTCCCGCGCTGAGTAGGTACAGCAGCATCTTATCCTGGACATCAGGACTTTATGGCGGCTGTTGAGTGGGTAGAAGAGTAGCCGCCACGGGGAAAGCGCATTTACTCATACGGCGGCTTGAAGATCAACCAGTCGCTCTCTGGATTCGGAATGACAAAGGCCGGCGTGGCTCGATAGCTCGTTGGCTGGCCCTGCGTCGGCGTCGTTTGGTTCTGGTTTGTAACCGACACGGTTGGATCAAAGGCGTTGTTGCCTGCAATAGCGTTCAGTCGAGGGTAGTTGAAAAAGTCAAAGACCTCCAGAAATTCTAGCTCGCTTTGCGATGAGTTGTGCGTGGTAACGGTGTCGAGGACGGAATGGGGACGTTGGGAGGTCAGGAGATTCAATTCGTAAGCACATCTGAAGAAGGGCCTATCAGTTTCCTTCGCACTGAGCAATCAAAAGATCCAAGATACTTACCTTCTCATTGCGGTGAATGTTCTACCCGACCCGTTGCTGCCCTCTTGCACCACATCGTTCAATATCCTTGCATAATCTCCAGCAACTTGCCAGTGTTGCCCCATCTGTTCAAGAGTGGAGATAAAGAACATGATTTTCGGATCAACTTCACACTCCATGGTTGCTGCATGGACGAGCAGTAGCCTGGCAGAAACCCAAAGGGCAAAGGCAAATGGGTGGCCGAGAAGCGCAAGCATGCCGGTGTTCATCACGTCCTGTGCGATCTCCCTCAAGCTCTCCACGGCGCCTAAACAGCGTTGAATCGCGTGGTATGACGGTGTGAAAACAGGTGATTTAAGCGTTGGATAAGCAGCAGAGGAATGTAGACGGATCACGGACGTGACAAACGCCGCATGCAGCATGATCCAGTTGGAGATCCGACTTCCCGGATCTGAGTGGCAGAGTTGAGAGATCTTCCCGTATTCACCAGGCAAGTTCTGTAGCCAATCATTCAGCTCGCCATCCAGCTCACGGTAGGTTTCACGCCACCGCTGTATATCGGAGTGGCGGCTGATATCGAGAGGTTGATGGAGGAACCGATGGATGCGACTCAAGATCCCAAGCACTTCACAGTGATAGGAGAAACTTCCCAGATTTTCTGGTTTATTCACAATCAGTTCCGATGGTGCGCCTCGTCGACGCCATCTTGTCTCAACAGGTTCGTTTCGTGAAAACAGATCATAGCGACATGGGAGACATCGGTCCATTTCCCTTTCGTCGAGGGTAAAGGTGTCTGCGGTGGCGACAGTCGCATATCTATCGAGAATAAATGTCATCCAACACAGACGGCGACGCTCTTCGTTCTCGATCCAAGACTGAGGTTGCGCGGCCTGCAGAAGCGTGGCTGACGGATAAGTACTGGACTCAAGGTAAGCACTCTTCTCCACATCCAGTCCGAGTTGAACGATATTGCGCGTAATGAGGGCCAGGAGATTCCAGCCCTGCTGACCGTTTGACGTCCCGAGCACATCAACGGCAAGGATTACCAGCGCTTGAAGGGCGCGGACGTTCGGGTGGTCCAAAGCATACATCATGATCTTTCGTCTGGAGATCTCGTGAAACTGGCTCCTTGACTCTGGTGTAAGACGAGGGTCCTTGGAGAAGCGCATCGTAGTGGCGACAATGGCATGCATGAGCACCTTTTCCGATTCGTTCATCGATTGCGAGCCGAAAAAAGCATCGAATGTGGCCTTGCGGTCCAGGATAGGAGACCACGGGTTGACGTGTTTGAAGTAGAGATCGACCAAGGTATATAGCAAGTCGTATGGAGGAAGCTCCGAATCCGGAATCGACGGCGCAGGGGTAGCTGATGGAAACCATGCTGCTGAATGGCCTCTTTCGCTTTGGCCCGCCATGTCGTGGCTACCGTTGTCCACAACGGATCGGATGGACATGGCATCTTGAGGTCGAGGGTACTGCATTCGTTCATAGGCATTGGCGACAGGCCATCTGGGATCGGAACTGGGAGTGTCTTGAGAAACGATGCTGGCTGTTGACGGGCGAGGGTCGGTCTGGGCATAAGTGTTGAACGAAGCGGATTGGGGTTGATGAGAAAGACGAACGGAGCCCGGTCGATGGGTGGAAAAGTCCCCATGTTCAGCGATATGTTCTTCGAGGCGGCGACCCATAACCTGGAGCAGCGCTTCGAGGCGATTGATCTTCTCTTCTAGTTCGCGACCGTAGCCGACTCGAAGGCCGGGCTTTTGACGCTCTTTGTAAACACATGTTCGATTGTTGCGTGCACACCAACCACAAGCGGGCTCTGCTCTGTCGCACTTGACTTTCCGGGCCTGCTCCCACTGATTAAACACACTGTAAGTCAACACGCTCAGAAGATGTTCCTACGGACCTTACAGAGCTCACAGCTAAGAACGACGGTTAGAGTCGATAATAGTAAATGGTGGCGGAGAGGAGCTAGGAGACTTCTTACGAGATTTTCAGGAGCCTCTTTCTCTTTTTGCTCGTGGTGGTGCCATTTTCCGGCGGATTATCGGCATTGCCATCGTCATTCTCGGCATCACTCTCGGAGACAGAGGAGTTTCTTTCCTCGGAGGCGTCGGTAGGAGAGGTGTGGACAGCGGTGTAAGTGGACATTGGCGCCAGACTCTTAAGGTCCGTTGAGGAGAGCGTCGCGACATTCAAGCTGTGAGAATGAACAGTGGAGACCAATACCGAGAGCAAGGACAGGAGGTAATATCACACGGGATGATGGGAACTGCTGCAAGATGCCGGATCCCGAGGCACGCACCACAAGTCTGGTTGGTTGTCTAGTCGTAGACCAAAAGCGAAAAACGGAGATGCGAAGAAAACCCCGCGTTTAGGGAGCCACGTTCCCGCAGCCAAACAATCTCGGATGATTAGTTAATCCGACTTGGCATACTAGCCGGTCAATCCACAATTGGCAGTGAAAGCGAGAACGGAGAAATCCGCGAGCCCGCGGGGTAACCCGATAAGGGCTTACATAACCTGTTCATATACCAACAAGGCACCGCAACCGCCATCTCAGCCACTATATACCTTCAAAGGTCACTCATCGCCTCCAGGCCGAACCACCCTTTGAAGCTTCGCCGCTGTCCTCAGTCTCAAGCCATCACCAGCCCACCCAACATGTCTATCCGATTGATCAACCCGCCTGATGTCCCCCCTCCACGCCCGACATATTCCCACGTTCAACTCACGCCTCTCTCGGCCACAAGCACTTTGGTTACAATCGCGGGCCAGGTCGGCGTTGATCCCGAGACCAAAACCACACCCCCGTCCTTCATCGCACAGGTCGAGACCGCGCTGGCAAACCTGGGCAGATGTTTAGCGGCCGTGGGTGCTACGCCCGCCGACATCGTCAAGATGACCCAGTTCGTGGTCAACCTGGATCCCACCGACACGTCGCGGTCCGAGGCTTATTCCAAGTTCTTGGGTGGTCACCGCCCGCCGAGCACGCTGGTGGGTGTTGCGGCACTGGCTACGCCGGAATGGTTGTATGAGGTCGAGGCTATGGCTATTGTACATCAGAAGTGATTGGCAAACGGGAACCAGGGTATTGAGATGTTGAGGGTCATTGGAGGAGGAACCAACTTGTGGCCGTCGTGTTTCCGCTGCCAACAGCAACAGCAGCGCCCATCTCAACATCAGAACCCAATGTTCCTTCAATTCCATCAGTGTCCAGAGTCTTCGGCATCCTCTACCTTCGCTTTTTTCCCACCCTCACCGCCCTCCACATCGTCCACGAATCCCACCTTTCGTTTGCCCAGGTTTGATCCTTCCGCAGCTAGCGGCAATGCAGCTGGAGTCGACGCAGAGGATCCCAAGCCACTGTCTCCTCCATTGGCTTGTGTGTTTTTTGGCTTCTTCCGCTTGACCAACCCTGACACATCAGTCGCGGTCTCCGCCACTTGAGCCAGTTTCTGTTTCTTCTCCTCTTCGGATACGCCGCTTCCCAACAGACTGCCCAGCACACCGGAGATTTGTTCTTTCATCTGAATTTCCGACTCCGCTTTGACGCTAACGGGTGGCTTGCGGAGCTCTGCCAGTCGCACTTCCATTTCTGCAATCATATCTTGAACGTCCTCAATCTGAGCCATAGCCTTATCTTTTTGCGGACCTGCTTCGAGCTTGTCCAACGCAGCTGTTTCTTTGTGGACACGCAATTTACAACTTTCAATCGCCTTCTCTTGCTGGGCGATAGCTTCGTTCCTGATATCCCAATCAACTTGCAAGTCACCGGTTGGGTTTCCCTGCTCGTCCTGCTGTTGTGTCTGAGAACTGAACTCGAGAGCCAGACTGAGCTTGTAGTGACATTCGGCTAGAATACTCGACTCTGGAGGTTCAAGCTCCTCCCTCAGGGCAAGACACGCCTTGAGATCTGTGACGGCATTCGAGTATTTCTCTCCTTCCAGAGACACTTCTGATTGCAGATCATAAATGTCTGCCACGCGGGTCTTCAGTGACTTGACCTCTGGCGTAAGGTCTATCGATGCAACATATTTGCCTTTCTCGGAGTCTTCGAGTGCGTGTTCCTGACTCTGATCCAGCTTCTTGAGATACAGGATGCGCGCCAGATCCAAAAGCTCGTAGGCCGTGGCGAAGTCATCGTCCTCCTCTTCATCTTCTTCACCCTCCTCTTCCTGGTCTGCTTCCTCCTCATCCGAGTCATCCCAACCTTCGGCGTCACCCGAAATCTGAAAGTATGGCTTGTCTGAGGCGGTCTCCTGAGGCTGCACGTCCTCCTTGGGGACGACATCAGCGACATTGGACACTGGCTCCTCTGGGATCGCATCCATCAACTTGGAGCTTTCGCCAGCCTCGCCTCCGTTTGTAGAAACCGCTGCTTTTCCTGCGCCGTTTGCTTTTCTCTTCTTTCCAGATTTTCGCGGTTTGCTCGAGGATAATTGCGCTGAAGCCGCGGTGCCGCCCAAGACCGAGCTTGTTTGCTGCGCCAGATAGAACAAGCATTTTCCGTACGAGTATAACAGGTCGGCATTCTCGAGCGCCATCTCTCCATTGAGCTCGGCTTGCAGCTCTGTCGCCTGTGAATACAGCTCTGCCGCCTCTGGGTAGTGTTTGACCGCATATTCGGCGGTCGCCTTTGCGATAAGATCCGCTAACTGCTCTTGCTGGGTCGGCTCCGGGTTGGACTGGGCAGTTTCGTCAGTAGTCGCAGCCATGACGCGCGATGAATGCAAAGTTGTGGAGGGACAAAAATCGCGATGGTAAGATGAGATGAGCGGTAGGGAAGGGTAGATGGAATATGGTGGAGAGTTGAAGGAGAAAGTGAAGAGCCGTGACAGTGTTGGTCGTGTGTAAAAAAGGTCACGTCACATCCTTGTCCCCGACGCGGGACGCGCGTAAAGTGATTTGTTTACGCGTCGAGGCTCAACTTTTCTCCTCCTTTCACCTTATCCCAAGTGCTGTACACCCTCCTCAATCAATTCAGTCATGGAGGAGCCCATTTCGACTCCTGGGCTACCCAGGCGAACATACAAAGCCGGGTCTAACCTGCGGACTGAAGAACAATTACTCTCCTCATCGCCGGGTTTCGGTACACCGGCATACCCCATCAAGAGCCGACCGACAGAAGTTGCAAAGCCCTTTGCAGCGCAATTGAACACTAGCATAACTACACACAGTGCTGCTCCGACAGTCTTACCGATCCTTCTTCCCCCTCAAACTCTCAGACCTGTCGCTTTCAGGACCCTCACGAAAAAACACAACCTCACCCTGACCTCCTCAGGTCTCGGCTTGCTCTCTACATTCATTGGTAAATTCTGTGGCAGCGGTTGGCGAGAAGAAGGCCTTGCAGAACGTGTATTGGACGAGATAGCTAAAGCATGGAAAAAGTGCGGAGGTGGCCTCCTCGTCGAGGATGGGCCCGAGAAAAAGCTGTCCAACATCTTGAAGACTCTAGAACCGTGCATGTCAGGCGGGCGTCTGGACACTGGCAAACTCTCCCGGAATAACAGTTCAGTACCGAGCCCTAATCTGTCCCGAACACACTCATACACCGCCGGTAGACAAGATGTGAATATAGATATCAGCCAGTCCAACTTAGGAATCTCAGCGCTCAACGTGGAAGATGGGGATTCACGAGACCGAGTGGACGAAGAAGAACAATCTCAGTTGGATGTTCGGTCATACCTGAAAGTTGTTTCGGCGTTCGACCAGCCACGACTGATGTATTCGACTTCATCAAAAAGCCTGGAGCCCATCAACGGGACAACCAGCCTACTCCCTCCGATACAACACAAGATATCGATGTTCAGAAATCATTACCATCTCGTCCACCAGCGCCTAATGCGGAACGAATCATTCCAGACTCCCTCATTTGCGACCACCACACGACCGCCCAGACTGATGCACTCAGCAAGTGGCATGACAACGATACAACAAGCTTACAAGATTACGCCAATAGCAAACCTGCTTGGTCGATCAGGTACTGCCCACCTTCTGCTCGGCCTGCTGGTACATTCTCCTGCGGGGGATCTCTCCCTGACAGACCTCTCCGGAAGTGTGGTCCTCGACCTCTCAATAGCACGGCCGGTGCCTGAAGACGGCGTGTGGTTCTGTCCTGGCATGATAATTCTTGTGGAAGGAACTTACGAAGAAGACGGCTCTCACAATTCAAATCTGGGTTCGGCCGCGGGTGTAGGTGGACAGATCAAAGGTGTTTTTGTTGCCCATACATTGGCCGGGCCGCCAGCTGAACGACGAGCTATATCACTAGGTATTTCCGCCGACTCGGGAGGTAACACACATGCGAGCATGAGCGCAGGATTTGGCTGGGTCGACTTTCTCGGGGTAGGGAGCGAGAAAGCGCTGGGGAACCAGATGCGTCGGCTGCAACGACGTGTCTTCCGGCCACCCACTACCTTCCAGACTCTCAATGTCCCGGATGATGACCAGATCGAAACCGAGCCGCCCCGTCGCCAAATTGCCCTGTTAGGGGAATGTAACCTTGACAGTCCTCGAACACTAGAAGCAATTCGCGCCATTCTTTCATCGTACAGCACCTCCAGCTCCGGACATATAAGTGACCTGCCCTTCTCCATCGTCATGATGGGCAACTTCGTCTCGGCGGCAAGCATGTCAGGATCCAGCAAGGGCGGTGGTAGTATCGAATATAAGGAGCATTTTGACGCCCTGGCTTCGATCCTGGCAGAGTTTCCTTTATTGGTGGCAAATACGACTTTCATTTTTGTGCCGGGGGACAACGATCCATGGGTGAGTTCGTTCTCGGCGGGAGCCAGTTGCATGCTCCCGAGACAGGGGGTCCCAGAGGTGTTCACCAGCAGAGTTCGACGAGCCTTCACTACCGCCAATGCCGAGATCCATGGTGCATCCAAAGAGAAAGACGCGCAAAGAGGAGAGAGTATATGGGCGACCAACCCAGCGAGATTGAGTCTGTTTGGGCCGTTGGAAGAGATTGTGATGTTCCGTGACGACATCACAAGCCGGTTCCGACGCACTGCCATCACTTTCCCGAAGCTCGATGGAGATGACGAGGGCGACGAAGCAGCGGCAGCAGCAGCGGCAGCAGCCACCGCTAATGTCCAGGACCAAAGCCAAGAGACTTCGCAGTCGGATATGGAAGAGATGGTTCTGGACAATCCGAGGAGGAATCTCGACAAAGCCGTCCAGAGTGCAACCTCCCACGTCCCTTCGTCAGGCCCGACCCCATCAAGTCCCCCTTCCATCCAAGCGGCAAGGAAACTGATCAAAACCATCCTGGACCAGTCGCACCTCTCCCCATTCCCCTTGTCGATCCGTCCCCAGCTCTGGGATCACTGCGCGTCATTATCCCTCTACCCGCTGCCCACGGCGCTGGTGCTCTGCGACGCCGAAATGCCAGCCTTTGCGATCAGCTACGAGGGATGCCACGTGATGAACGCGGGAAGGCTGGTGGACGAATTCTCGCTGCGCAGAGGCCAAGGTGGCGTCAATAGGGGCAGTGGTGTTGCGAGATGGATCGAGTATGACTGTCGAAGCAGGAAAGGGGAGGAGAGGACATTGAGGTTTTGAGATACCAGAGGAGCAGCCAAGGATTAGACATGTTCCCCTCGAGCCGAGCCACTGAGAACGGAAAAAAGGAGGTGGAAAGACAAGAAGTTATGTTGTTGTTATTATAATGATGATGAGCTGACCATGATAAAATTGATATTGAGAGGTTTTTGGTCCCGGCAAAGTCCAAGACGTGACGTGACACACGGAGGAGCGTATAGTTTCTGCATGGCAGAGAGCATATAGCATCCATGATATATATACATATATTTCACTATTCCAAGACTCTTTGGTATTTTCTGGAACTGTCGACGTTGTCCTGTAGCATCCACTCCCAGCTGGAGTCGACTTGATTTCTGTAAAACTCGTGTCAGCTACGCGAACCGACGTGATGTGGGATGCATTTGGTAGACCGGCACATGTCTTTCCTGGTAGGGACGGGGAGGTATGTACAGGTGTGTACATGTATATCCACGGCTTTGCGTCTGGGTACCTGGGCACCTGGGCTTAGACAGGAGTAGTCGAGTTCTGAGAAAGGTCGTGTATGCATCACGTCTCATTTCTTGACGGGCGACTGGTTGACTGAATGGAGGGTCTTGGTGACAAAGGTGACACGGTCCTCATCAACCGTCGTGTGCTGGGTTACTGATAGTGATAGTAGCAGCAGCGAGGAGGACAAGGACGTCCCTCTCCCCCTCCCTCAAGCCGAACAAGAAACAGAGGAGCCCGTTGACTCGGGCCACTCACGTCGGATAGAATTGGCGCCCAAATAAGTCGTTGGCACGAGGGTGTGGGCCCAATTTCTCTCTGTGCGTTCGGAGTGGTAGGTTCGCGAACAACTTGTCCCGATCGACGTAAGGAGCACGTTCCTCCTTGCGCCTTCTGCCGCCCACGGGGTTGACTGCAGCGGCGGCGGCGGCGGCGGAGGCTCCACCGACAAGAGGACTCTCGGAGCGAACAGACACATCGTCACGGCCTCTCTCACGGCGGGTGATATTTGGCCCGTCTGTGAAGGAGCGGTGGATACCGAGATGAGGGTCCTCAGAGCGAACGGATGCATCGTCACGCACTCTCTCACGGACGGGAGAAGTCCTAGTATCCGTCGAGGCGCGGTCGATAATAGGACGAGAGTCCCGAAGGGGTAGGTAATTATCACCACGGTACCAGGGGTCGTACATGTAATCATCATCACGGTACCCGGGGTCCTCCTTGCGTATAGATTCATTGTTACGCCCTTTATCAAGACGAGAGTCCTCGGGGCGTCTGATATCATCATCACGCACTCTCTCTCGGAAGATGATGTTCGGTTGGACTGTGGGGCGATCATTGATGCCGCCGACACCGGGATAATTCCCATAATGTCGTTGGTAGTCATAAGCCATAGGAAGGGTGTAGCCCCCAAGGGGAGGCACATAGGAGCCGCTGCCGTAGTTGTCGTAGTTGTAGTAGTTGAAGTTGTTGCCGTAGTCCAAAAAGCCGTCGTCAGTCCCCAGGCTTGAATCCCTGTCACGACTTCGAGAACGCTCCCGGTAATAGTCACGATCTCCAGGGCTTACATCCCGATCCCGACTTTGAGAACGCTCCCGGTGACGGTCACGAATTCCAGGGCTTGTATCCCGATCCCGACTTCGAGAACGCTCCCGGTAATAGTCCCGATCACCTGGGCTTCGATATCTCGGAGTGGAGGGTCCCAAGGGATCCCCCCAAGAATCAGTGAGACCGTCTTCCCGAACCACCTTGGGTCGCTTGGTGTAGCGAGAATCATCAGCGGCCTTCGTGGCGAACATATCCTCTCGGCTTGAAAGGCTGTTGCGTGAGTCTGTCGTTCCCACGACGCGTGGTTCTCGCGGACGGTCATCTCTCCGCCTCGAATCCTTCGGAAGCTTGCTAGACATCCTGGAAGACCGTCTCGACTGACCTGTACCTTGCCGTCCCGAGGCCGTTTTCCGTGGTTTTATCCCAAAGGCCTCCGCAGCCGCGAGAGCTCTTTGTCCTAGCGTTCGGCCGTCGGGCGTTTTCTTCCCTGCTTCCTTCTCACTACTCGACCTTGATGGAAGAAAATGTTTGCGAGCTGCATCCGCAACCGCCTCCGCTGTCGCTGGATTGCCCCCACTGAAGGGGTCGGTAGGAGAGGTGTGGACAGCGGGGGAAGTAGTAGTTTGCGATGTCTTCATCTTCGATAGCTCAGCCTCGAGCTCTTCCACTCTTTTTTGCGACTGCAGGTAGTAATTTCTCCAGACGTCATATAACCCTTCTTCGGACGGATTCGGGCTTGCGGCCGTGGTATTGGCTTCGCTGGACGCCTGTTCGTCTGCTGCTCGTGGTGTGGAGGACTCGTCTCCATCTGTGGCGGCGGTGCCGTCCTCCAGGGTGGTCCATTGGTCAAGCAAATCTCTCAACAAGTCGACCGAGTTGGCCATCACGAGGCTTCGCTCCTCGGAAACATCGCTCGCTTGACCCACCAGCTGCCTGAATTGGACCATGGCGGTGGTGTTGATTAACGGCGGTACATGCGGTGAATGCTTGACCAGAGCCGTAGAGACGCGACCGCCGTTGCCATTGTCATTGTCATTGCCATTTGTGCCAGTTATCTCGTCATCTGCTGTTTGATCGTCTTGTTCAGCCTTGGCCTGGCAATCTTCCTTTACGGCGGCTGCGTTGACCTGTTCCACAATGGCAGTCTGCGCCCTTGCGAACTGGGCCATTGCGTCCTGCGCGGCCTTTTTGGATTTCTTCTTGCGCTTGTGCCTCCGTATGGTCCGGCCGGCATACAGGACGCTCACTAGGAGATTGACGGTGCTCTTCAGGTACTGGATCTCGGAGACCAGGAGATCGACCTTGGTCTTCTTGAAATTCCACTTGATCTTGTCCACGAAACTGACCTTGTCGGCCCGGTCTGGCAGGAGATCTCGGATCTTGTCGAACAGGTCACGAGAATGGCCGTAGATGTCATTGACTAGGTCAAGAGCCTGGCGGGAGTGGATTGGTTCGTCGTCGTCGATCCGCTGAGCGAGTATTTCGAGAACGTCCGAGTAGAGCGTGACATGGCGAGCGACATAGTCCGTCTGTTCTCTGGCCGATGAAGCAGTCGAGCCAAAATTGTAGAGGACCGTAGTCAACTGAATAGCGAAAGTTGAGATGCCCAACAATGAGGCCACCAGGCCAATCTCGGCCATGACCGCAACATCAACCTGCGACTCGTGAGATGTGATCCCAAGGTCAATTGATCAGGACGTCATAGAGTTTCCGATGGACAGTACAAGAGAACTTAAGCATCACGACTAGATCAAAGGTTGAGGCCCCAGGAAGAGAAGAAGGCCAGGCTCACAGCCTCATTGAAATCTGCCTCTCATCAACACCGGGCGCAGGGGCTGGAGTTTGTATCGGGGCTTCCATTGGCTGCGCCCACGGTACTAAGTGAAGCACCAAGATACAGCTCAGTGGTGGCTATTCAACTCTTGGTCTAGCCATGGCTTGTGCTAATGCACTTCGCAGTAAACGAGGTGTCAGGTAGCATTTGTCGCCTGGATTTCCACTGATGATCCCCTTCAGCTGCCCGCCTCCCCCCGGTTCTTGTACATTATGGTTGCCTTGCGGCAGACTCTTCGGGCACCATCGACATGCTCCCCCGATTCAAGGTCCGTCCACAAGTACTCCTAATACTCCATCTTTAGTCTCTCGAGTCTTTTCATGGCCGCCTCGATCACGGCACCTTCCCTCTCCACCGTCGCCATGATATCCGCGATGCGTTCTTTTTGCAGTCGACTGGAGACGCCCAGTCCGCTGAAATTGGAACTTCTGGGAGATGCAGCCGCTCCACTGGACCGGGACGTGAGAGTGATTTGTGAGGCTGACATGGACGGCGTGATGGATGATGCCGAGATTGAGGAGACAGATGCTTCTAGGGCTGGAGGACCTTTGGGCGAGGCTGGGTGCGGTTGCTGCTGTTTTTCGATACTGTGAGCTTCTTCAACAAGGGATTGAGTGAGTTGTTTGACCTGTAGTCCACATGTCAGTCGTGTTTCCGGAACAAAGGAGAGCAAGATCGAGATACATACCATCGCAAATCGCTTTTCGAGATTGGTCTCTCCTCCGCCACTCTCTTGCTCACCCTCTCTACCCACAATGCCAACATTCTGCCCCAGACTCTCAACCTCATGCATCCAGGCCAGTTCCTTGGAGCTCAGCTCTCTATTCGCCGATCCAACACGTCCCACCTTCCTTCTCAAAGCCTCATACCTCGCCACCAGGTTGCTCTGCCTCTCCCGTGCCTCGCTGATCCGGGTCTCGGGTGACTTCTTCTCCTTGACCTGGCCGTTTTCATCCTCCTCAGTAGTGGCGGTAAGGCGCTGCAACTGCTGGGCGAGTTCAGTCATCTGCTTGACCTGGCTAGCAAGTTCGATTCTTAGGCGCTCACATCGCCTGAAGAGCTCTGCGGCTGCATTCTCTAGTTGAGCAGACTGCCCGCCAACCGTGCGATGCGTGAAGGTCATAATTTCTAACATAGCCGGGCTCAAACGCATAGGCCGTTCGGAGATGGCTTTCTTGAGATGTGGCGGCAGGCGTTGGCGCATCGAATCGATCGGGCTATGCTGGTTGAAGTAGAAGATTTTGGGAGGACAGTACGGCTCTCGTGTGGGAACCGTTTCGACAGGCGACACTGGCAGATTCGCAAGTTGAGAATCCACATGCGTAGAAGACATAGTGAAGTCGGTAATGGAGGGACCAACAGTTGAGATGCCTGTCGGAATCTGGTCGAAAACTACTCCGTACGCGGCGGTCGAGCTCGCAGTCAAGAGCAAGTATCCCAGTGATGTGTCGTCAATGATAGTCGGAGCCGACAGAGCCTCCGACTGCTCCCGTGCTTCAATCAACTTGTCGATTACACAGACTCGATTCTGACATCGGGTCTCCAGCCTGGTCCGCATGCCAGGATCGACAGGCTGTGTCCCAGAGAGTTCGACACCCAGCTGAGTAACCCAGTCATTCAATGACAATGAGTAGACACGTGTCAGAGTGGTCACAAAGATGGAATAAGTGGAGACGATATCCGGAGTGAATACTGGCCAATTAGCAGCAGGGTTCACCCCCGATCCGTCAAGCATAACAACATCGGCTAGTGTCAAGGGTGTAGCGTCAGATGAAGGCACGCCGAATGCACTTTTCCCTTTCTTGGGCAGCCACTGTCCTGTTATGCCGTCAAGATCGATGGCAAGCCAAACTTGGTTCTCAGGGGTGGCAACACAGATAGTTGTGAACGGTATAGGCTGGACGAGATTCTCGTCGATTTCGTCGTCGTCTTCGCCATCAAATAAATCGTTTTCATCGAGCTTCGCAGGAAACACATGGATATCAGACACCTCAATCTCGGAAGCATCCTCTTCGGAGACGATCGTGAAGGGCCCCTGGAGACGTGGAATGGCACTTGGGTTTTGCGGCCTGAACCGCACCTCAAACTCGCCCAGGCTGTCTGTTGATTTATGGACTTGAGGCTCCTCGTTGTCGATTTCTTGGACCCACTCATATTGCTGGTCGGCGGCTCGTCTTTCGTCCATGTCTGTCTCGTCGTCGTTGATTGATGCCATGCGCGACACAGCAGTCGTGGTCATCGATGGAATAGTTGTTGATGTCGGTTTCCACCTCGACGGCAGTAATGGGCATAGAGCGTACAAATCCCCATTCCTCATTGCAACCCAAAGAGTCATGCTAGCCCAAGCATCTTCATCCTCTTTCCCTCGACCACCAAAACACGCCGCAGAAACCTCCATGTCGAAATCGTCGACAGAGAACCCGCGAGTTTTGCCGAAACCAGACGGCTCAAAGTCTTGGTCGCATGATACCCCATCGGCCAGTTTCCGTAGATCGATAGCCAGTTTGGGACGGTCGAGGGACCAGCTGTTTGCCTTGTCAAATTCCCATACTCGAACAGCTGCTTCAGCTGTCACAGTGACGAGACAGTCGGTAGAAGCAGTGGCGTAGGCCAAAGGATGCCATAACACAGACGCAAGGGGAGATTCTGGGATGACATGGACAGTCGGACCAAGCTGATATGTTTTTACTTTCAATGGTGAGCGGTCATGCTCCTTCAGTCGTGATGGATCTGGAAGCACTGCGATGTGGACGGTATGTTCTGTGCAGATGGCCAGGAAAAGGCCAGAGGGCGAGATTGAAATCTGGCGAATCTGATAATAGACAGGAACAGCCAACGTCTACATTTATGTCAACATTATCTCTCTGTAAGACCCAGCGATTCCACATACTCTGTAAACACTGTCACGGGTAGACTCTGTGGCATCAGAGCGAGACAGACCAAAGCGACTGGTGCCAGACTGGGTGTTGTCCTCCCATTCGTCTCGAACTGCGCTCAGATCTGCCCATCTGATTTTGTTTCCCACGACCGCAAAGATATCCGTCCCCCTGCTAGCGACCAATCTCCTGGGCCCTTGGTATTGTGTCGAAGGAAGCGCACCGAGATAAGAGGTGCGTTTGGACGGAGAGGCGGGCGACTGAGGTTCGGGGTCTGTAAAGATCTTTGATCCAGGCGAAGGTCGCGCCAGGAACGGGGGTGTGTACCCAATGACTTTGGGCATTGTGGCTCTTTAAGGCGAGAAACAATAGCAAGGACAGGCGCACATTGCAGTAGCAGAATTTCTACAATCTGTGTCACACGAAGCGTTACAAAGGTGCAGTCTCGCATATGTCAGTTGGTGAACATTTTCCTCGTTAAGGCGGTGCTGGGAAATCTACCTGCGGTTTACGCGCTGCCCTACCATTTCTGGTATGGTCGCGAGCGAGACGCGCCGCCGCTTTTAGCATATAGAAAACCCCCTTTCTTCGGCCCTCTCGATATTTCTCTCTTCCCTCGACTTCATTCCCTTCCTCACCTCTATCGCCGGTCTCGCCGTGGTATCAGAAAGACCCTGACAGAAAGTAAATGCACCTGGGATGTTCTGGTCTAATGCTCCTTGTAACGAAGACGACACTTAGCCCAATCCTTTCAGATTCGCCATGACGTTCACATGTGCCCAATATCCCATGGTGGTTAGGAACCGGTGGAATTGGATGGTCAATGGATGATATCGTGTTTTGAGTGTTGGACAAGGCAGAACTGGACAGGAAACAGCATTCATCAGCCGTGAAGGGGTGCACACTTTCCTGCACCACAGGCTGGGGGTTCTTTGTAAGGCAAACGAGACCCATACAAAGATGATATCGGGAAACCATAAGGTGTTGAATACCTGGAAACCACATCCTGAAATAGACAGTGTCGACGACCTGAGCGTGGCCTTCACCGATGCTCGTTTCGGCCACGTTTCTAGCTCTGTATCCATGAACAATCACGTACCTGTCTATCCATTGTAAGCATTCGCGAGTCGGCTAGTGAAGGCACTAGAAAGCGGCAGTCCAGTGGTATCCGCGAGTCTGATGGTCCGAATGTTGTCCTCTCGTGAAGACTCAATATACCGTGCAATATCTCTCATCAGATTTTTCCGCCACGCGAAGTTCTCAGGTATATTTTCAGGGGAACCCGTGCCAGCACCGAGTCCATATGAGTGATACCCGGGCAATGGCTCATCAAATAGACGTAAAGTGGTTGTTTTCCTTCCGTTTCCACAAGGACCACTTCCTTAAGGAGACTTCTGGTGCTATGGATGTGTAATTTTTTCTGACTAGCGCATCAGTCTCCATGCCGAGTAGTTGCACGCACCCCGGACCTCAACAGAAACAACAGTGCCCTGGGCGAATTCTTTTGCTTGAACACCACATGTCGAGCGGGTAGCTGATGTCTTCGGAATGAATGTGGCAATCTCATCGTCAACAGAGTATTTCTGAGTAGCTCGTCATGGCCCTGACGTCACCTTTGTTGGACTCGTCTGCCAATGACCGATAGCACCACTGTCCCAAAATATACTACTCGCCGTTGGTCTTGTGATCAACGGAGAAGTGGCTTGGGTATTGAGTAGTAGAAGGCCACGAAAGAAGTGTGGTAAACTGGATAAAAGCGGCGGAAAAGATTCTCCGTGTGATTGGATAGAACTCTGTGGTGGTCTAAGCCTAATTAGGCAGTGCGATCGCGCGAGGAGAAGAAGACGCGGCGCAACTTGGCCTCATTTCTCCATCATTCAATCTCTCATTACTGCTCCAGAAGCGCCAAATAATATGTCCACGGTCGAGAGGTTAGACAGGCCAAGTACCTACTACTCCGCAAGGGTTGGTCTCTTCTAATATACCGAACAACGCAAGATCTGAGCTGACGCACTTTGAAGAAGAAGCGCAAGTATGGTCGAGACCAGCCTGAAGATGATGACAGGCAAACAGAGCAAGATGACCTGCTGAAGGATGCAACCACTCTCTACGTGGGAAACCTGTTCGTCTGCTATGTGACACCTCGCACTGAGAATCGAGACTAAATTGTGCGCAGGTCATTTTACACCACCGAGGAACAGATTCACGAGCTCTTCTCCAAATGCGGCGAAATCAAACGTCTCATCATGGGTTTGGACCGTTTCCAAAAGACGCCGTGTGGCTTTTGCTTTGTGGAATACTACACACATCAAGAGGCACTGGATTGTATGAAATATATTGGCGGCACCAAACTCGATGAACGCGTCATCAGAACTGACCTTGATGCTGGATTCCAAGAGGGCAGACAGTACGGCCGCGGCAAATCCGGCGGCCAGGTCAGGGACGAATACCGAGACGAGTTCGACCCTGGGAGAGGAGGCTATGGCCGAGCGATTGACGCAGAGAGGAAAAAAGAGGAAGAAGAATATGGTGGCGGCAGATGATGCTCTTGTTCAAAATGTGCAGGAACTCTATCCAAAGTGCTGGGATCATGAAACTCCGTTCGCCGTGCCGACTGCATCCATAACCTGCCTTAACCACCAAACATGGATCCGAATATCCGAGGTCAATTCAGGATGAAAGCTGGTTCCGAAGACGTTACCTTGCTTGACGGCAATGATATCCCCCACTTCCTCACCAGCGTGCACTTCCGGGCCCATGCCGGTTGCTTTCTTCAAGCGACCGGGCAATTTTCCCATGATATCGACGTGAGAGCTCATGGCCTGTCGGGCATGCTCGTCTCTGGCAGACTTGTGTGGGGCAACGACTGTCTCAGCAAGTTGTTGTTCGCTCGTCTGGATGCCCTGCACGTTGGGAAGAATCTTTTCCACCACGGGGGCGCGAATAAAGACGCCAGGGAAGGGCGTCTTCTCAATTGCGCCATCGCCATGCAAGAAGGGCAAGTCAAGGTCTGCCTGGAAGCTCTCTACCTGTCGTCCAAAATGGTTTCGATTCACCCGCACGTCGAGTCCCCCTATCAACTCCTGCCCGCCTTTCTTAGTAGCATTAGCCGCCTCCGCGAGCAGAATCAACCCGGCGCAAGTTCCCCACGTTGGTTTGCGGTGGACTCTGGAAGAGGCACAGGTCAGTCAACACGTCAGAATGTTGAGGAGATAAGGGTGCTATCCTACTTGACGAATTCTCTCAGTGGTTCCAGCAATCCCGACTGGGCGGCGACGAAGGAGATGGTTGTACTTTCGCCGCCAGGAATGATTAAAGCATCACAACGAGCCAAATCTCTTGCGTTTCTGACCTCTGTAAACTCGAAAGAGGCTGCAGTGCCCTCGCGGCGCAAGTAATCGGCGGCTCTCTGCAGCAGTATCAGATGTTCCAAGAAGGCGCCTTGCAGGGCCAACACGCCGACGGTGATTGTCATTGACACCTCATGTACGAAGGAGCGTGTGTCGAAGATGGGAGGGAGGGGATAGCAGGTAATCTCAATAGACGACGTGTTAGATAGGAGACCGGTGGAATAGACGGCTGGCTGATAGTCGCAGCGAATAAAAGGATGGTCTTCTCGCCGTGGCTCGTGGTTAGTCACGTTGCTCGTCTTGGAAAAAAATTCAATACGACAATGATTCATTCCGCCCTGCGGCGACTGCGGGGGCTGCGAGTGGCTGTGGTGGCTTTGATTGCCTGCGCCATTTTTGATTGGCCATCTTCGTCGTTCGCCGACCTCATCGACTTTTCTTCCCCTTACGAAACCTGAACAACCATCAGCAGCCGGGATAATCCTTCTATCGACCCTTGATGCCTTTCCATCCAATAAGACGCTCATCCCATCTCCATCTGGCACCATCAGGCCCCTCGAGACAGCGAAACCCATCAGCCTTGTGGAACCCTCTGATCTGGCCACCCTGCCACCCTCTGAACCCTCGACGCCGTTGATCACCCGTTCGGCCTATTGCTAAATTAAGACCTTGTCTCCTGAATACTATCCGACATCTCTTTTATCTCTCTCTTCTATCATCTAGACTATAGACTCCATAATCCCACTAACCAGCTCTTGATAGACCTTCACAACTCTGCCATCTTCTCGCAGTCTAGCGGCAGCCCCAGCAGGCCATTGCAAGCTCGAGCACTTTTCGGTCATTGACTGGATGTCGCGCGACTCTTCTTCGGCGAATGGAGATCCTGTCGCCGGTAGGGTATTCTTGAGCATACGCTGTTTCATACTCGTGTGGTTGTAAGAGGAGGCGCTGGATTCCGCAGCCTACAGAATTGACTCACGTCGCCCTTATCGGTCACTGTTCCACTACTCGAATCAACGCCGGCTTGATATCACCGAACGTATGAAAGTACGAGCAGTCTTGCACTATGTCGCCTCATTGTCCTGCCAACTTCACCACCACCATCAACCGTTGGTACATTGATACCCGGCCCTATGTGCCCCAACCACACAACCCTAAATCGCTCCACTCCCTTCCCCTGCTCTCGACCTTGAGGCGTTCCGATGAAGAAGCAATAACACGGTTCATTCGCCCCGCAGATCGCTTCATGTCTCTTGCAAGCGCCCTTCTGAAATACACGTTCATCCACCGCCGTGCAAAGATTCCCTGGTCCGAGGTTCAGATATCACGAACACCCGCTCCTCATCGACGTCCTTATTGGGAACCGCCCGAGAACTGGTCCACCACTGACATCTACGACGACAGTGACCCAGCCGACGGAGAATCCAGCTTGATAAGAGGCCTCGAATTCAATGTCTCTCATCAAGCCGGCCTGGTCGTCATCATCGGCTGCTCCACGCCTACCCCCCAGCTTCCTTCATCCGTCGTGCCGAATCCCGGGCCGCCTTCTCCCACAGTTCTAGATTCATTTGCGCAAATAGACCTGGCCAGTCACCCGACGTGCAAAGCTTTTGACCATCCTGATCTTGTCCGCGTTGGAGTGGATATAGCCTGCACAAACGAAGACAAACGCACTCCGAAGGATCTCACCACACAGTCCAAATTCGACGAGTGGATCGAAATTTTCGCGGAGATGTTCTCTGACCGCGAGAGACGCCACATGCGTCAGATGCCAATCCACGTCCCAATCAAAGAGCGTGAGGAAGGCGAATGGGCGAGTGATTCAAGCTCTTCGTCAGCTGCTTCCTCGCCCACAGACGGGCCCGGCGGCGGGACAAACAACCCCTTCTCGAAGCACGAGGCCAAGATCATTAACATGAAGTTGCGCCGGTTCTACGCGTATTGGAGTCTAAAGGAGGCATATATCAAGATGGTAGGTGAGGGATTACTCGCTAGCTGGTTGAGAGAGCTCGAGTTCCTCGACGTTCATGCTCCCCCTGCCCCAATGCTGCCCAAGCCCGACTTGCATCAATCCGCGGCATCGAATCACCAGCCCAAGAACAGCAGCAACACACACGCCATCATAGAGTCACAAGGCATGCCCCTTCCTGCATCCGCCGACATCTACGCGCACAGGAAATTCCAGGGGCACTTCTCTTCTGTACCTCCGGTCGACACGTCCATTCAGCGTGGTAGCGATGGTGCTGCAACCACTGACACGCACTCAAAGCGCGAATCTGTCGAGAGTTTTCTCATAACCCCGGGTTCATCACCCGGCACACACCGTCGGACATCCTCGATCCCTGCTGCCGACATGTATGCGCAGAGAAGACCATCCTTTGCCTCCCCGATCGAGGGCAAACCCAAAAAGCTCTCAATACCTGCCACCACAATGGTCCACCCCCATGCTCACGCTCGCAATCGTTCCCACGACTACCTCTCTCCCTTCCCGGACTCCCCGAGCACACCATCTCTTCTCGATCCACCCCTCCCAGCAACCTCCTCACCCAACGGCCCTGGTGCAGGACACCATCCCTCCCCTGTGGAAACCGCAAAATGGACACCTCCGCAGCAAGCCGAAAGGGGCATGACCACCCTGCTCCGCGGCAAGCGGGTTGAAGACGTACAGATCGAACTCGTGGCATACGACCAGGATTTTATGATCGCCACTGCGTTGAGAGGTGTTGAGGAAAGGCCAATCTCCGGCGGTGATGGCGGTGCTGTCTGGGGGGAGGGAAGTGGATGGTGGTTGAGATTAGATATTGAGCAAGACATTCGACCTTGTGCCGAAGGCTGGTGTAGCTGTCTAGACGAGTAGAAATTAGCATTGAGGATATCTCTGGCCAATGTACGCCACAGAGGGAAAGAAACCAAGAATAAAATGGCGATGCACAATGATTACGATAGTTCATGCTTCTATCTGTTCGTTTTCTCCCTCATTCGCAGGCCCATTTTTCTACTACCTTTCCCTTCGTGCTTTCATAAAATCATTTCCACTTTGACGAATGAAGCGAACTTCTCGGCCTGGGCCTCACTGTCCTCTTCACCGACCATCTTTTCTCCCCGGCTATAAAGCGAATCCAGAAACAAGCGCACAAACGAGCCGGGCCCGTAGGAAAAGCTGGCAACGTCTTCGGCGGCGAGTTCGAAATGCAGGATCCCAGCGAGGGTGGCGAGGAACTTGTCGTCCGGGTGCACGGCCAGGTAGCTGGCGATGACGGCGCCGAGGGCGCATCCCGACCCGGTGACCTTGCTCAGCCAGGATGTGCCGTTGTGGATGGCGAGCGTGCGTGTCCCGTCGGACAGGTAGTCGGTTTTGCCCGTCATGAGGACGATGCAGCGCTCGCGCCGCGCCAGGCTCTTGACCAGTTGGGCTTTCTGCTCGGGGCTCGAGGTTGAGGGTCCAGAGTCCACGCCTCGTTGCTGCGTTGTGGATGTGCCCGCCACAGCAGCGATCTCGCCCTCATTGCCCTTGATGACGCTGAAGAAGCCTGCTGTGAGGAGGCGCTGGATCGCAGCACGGCGCACAGCTGTCGCACCACCGCCAACCGGGTCGAGCAGGATCGGTGCCCCGACAGCGTTGTACGCCTTTATGCCTGCAACCCATGCCTCCAACTTGTCTGGCGTGATGGTTCCAATATTGACGACAAGCGCGCCGCCGAGTTTAGCTAGATCTGCGGCTTCGCCCTCGTGCTCCGACATGATTGGCGAGGCGCCCGTGCAGAGACAGACGTTGGCGACGAAATTCTGCACCACCGTGTTGGTCATGTTGTGGCAGATGACGCCAGACGAGAAATGTGCCCGGATGATTTTAGGAACTTGGGCGATGAGCGTGTTGACATCGGTGGTCACAGGTATGTGTGGAGGAACAGCCGCGTAGAACTTTTCAGGCGCCGATTTGATCAAGTCGAGAAGTGTGCTTGCGGATGTTTTGGGGTCGGTCGACGCCATGATGGCACTGACCACGGCGATCCCGCTCAGGCGGTTTGTGTCAAAGGCGGACTGATGCAGCACGCGCTGAACATTCGTGGCGTTGATACTGCCAATAGCCACACAGGGGACGGACTTTGCGGTACCGGTGTCGCAGGTGGCCAGAATCTCCTGGAGGCCCCGCGTTCCGATAATGTGCTTTGTGTCCGTCTTTGTGGGCGTGGCGAACGTAGTGCCAATTCCCAGATAGTCTGCACCGTCCTCGATGGCCTTGTCAGCCTCTGCCGGCGACGAGGCTGTGACCCCTATGATGGCCCCTGGTCCGAGGAGCTGTCTGGCGCGAGTAACGTCCATGTCATCCTGACCTATGTGGACGCCTTCGGCGCCGACGGCCATGCACACGTCGACACGGTCATTGATCAAGAGGGGAACTCCGTGTTTCTGCGTGATGGCGTGGAGTTTGGAGGCCAAATCGACCATGACGCCGGTATCGGCATGTTTCTCACGATACTGCACCACGCCCACGCCACCCTGGCATGCTTCATCGACGATATGCAGGATATCCTTGTCTCCCAGGATGGCGGGTGTCGAATCTGTGACGAGGTACAGAGACCAGTCTATGTAGAGGGGGTTTGCACGCGTAGTTTCAGACATCTCACCGGCGAAGCTGCCTCACGTTTTGTGTGAGATTAGGAGGGATGGATGGATGTCCGAGGGCTCAACCCATTTCCCAGCGATGAGTGGGTCTTTGTTTGTCGTGGAGCACTTTAGAGAGTTGATTTCGAATCCGCGTAAAGAGAATGTCGTTGGAACCAGTAGTTCGAACACTATGAATGGTTGTGAGGGAGACTACGAAATAAAGAAGTTATGCATGCGCCTTCTAAACCGGGCAGGGTCCCGACGAAAAAAAACGTGACAAAGCACAAAACTAGGGCAAAACCCGCTATCTTCAACACAACGCCAACACCTCAATTATAGGAATAATTTAATAAAACTCTGGTGATCGATAGATTACGACTACTTGTTATATATATCTAGATTGTAGATCTAACGACTATAGTATAGCTATGTTAGGGCTCCAGGAGAGGCCACCGGTAGATATAAGAATATAGGTTGCGAGCCAACTGATAGATGGCAGCTACAGGAGGTGTACCACAGGAATTATCCACAGTGTTGGGGGAGTCTTCGGTAAGATAGCTCCCAGCATGCGATAAGTAGGAATAGGGCGTGCGCTCTTGGCGCTTCCCGTGATCACGTGAGCGATCCCACGGAAGGCTTGGCAGGCCGAGACACCATCGCACCGAGTACAAAATTCGCCCATGGGACCTGATATTGAACTCACCCTCCAAACTTTTATCCATGGATGGGACACCGGACTGATGCATTCTTTCAAGGCTAGACGATGCTGGATTATAGGGTATAGATACGATGAATTCATTCCTAACATTGTGATTGAACTTGACTTATGCCGTGAATCTCACGTTGCGACGAGGTGGTCCAAGACGACCATCGACTGTTTGTGGCGAAAGGGTAAGGAGAAAGCTGATAAGTCAATGTAAACAGTTGATCGACTCCCCGCGCGATGCTTCGATGTGTCCTTTGTAAACTAGCTGTTTCCATTCTCAATCTTGTCGATTGGCACTCACACCGAATTGGGTTCAAGGATTGGTCGGCTAGTCGGCGACTGTGATAGAAATGCGACTTTCTGGTGCAGTAAGCCGTGAAAGATCATAGGTTGCAAAGTGTCTTGCGCTGATATTGTGCTCGAACAAGGCGTCGAGCTCGTCTGAAGGCCGACTCGTCTCTGGGACGTAAAAATATATCAAGACGAGGAATACCAGGTTGCTTGCTCCTGCGATAAATCCAATATATCCTTGCAAAGCCGCTTCGTCTGGATTGATAAGGTAAGGATTGACGACCGTGGCGATGATGACCCCAGAGAACTGGGCAATATTCGCAACAGCGATAGTTTTCGACCGAAGTCGTGTGCTGGAGATTTCACCCATAATGGTGGTAGAAAATGGAGAGAGGATGGCGCCGTATAGACAGTTCCAGATGACGAATAAAGCAGCTTGTCCCCGTACGATTGAAGGCCTTGAGAAATAATGTGGCGCAGCTTGCGTAATACCAATGATGACGAGGATGAGGGTCGATAGTGCTTGACCGGCAATATAGATCTTGCGTCGGTTGAATTTGGCCAGAAGTCCCATGCCAACGAAGGAACCAATCACAGCAGCCCCGAAAGAGCCAAGATTGATGTTGAAAGCAAGCTCTGCCTCTATCCCAGCCACTGGAAGCATCATTGGTCAGTTTACTTGCTGGTTAACGTCGATCATGGATGTAAACATACATTGCATGAAATAGGCAAGCTGGTTGATCAAGACCGTGCCAGTAGCAATCATAGAGACATAGCACGTTACCGCGACAGCGGTGCGGCGAAGATTGGTGCCTTGAAACAGCTCGACGTACGAAGTAGCATCGTCCATCTCTCGTTCCCTGCGATCCGTCTCCTCGATCAAGCTGAGGGTGGGATCCACGTCGAAGTCTACGGCCGCGAGCGTACGGAGCGACCTCTCTGCATCGAATCTCCGGCCTTGGCGGATGAGCCATACCGGGCTTCGTTGATTAGTTGCAGGTCCTGAAATTCTACTCCTGACGGGGCTCAGCCCGCCCTGGAATTTGGTGGACTTACCTCTCCGGCGCGAAGTAAATCAAGGGCATCAGTATGGCGGGCCATCCCCATTGCAAGGCGTAGCCGACCTTGTACGACCACTCGTTCTCTATTGACACCGTCCTCGACGACACCAAAGCGGTGATCAGCGTGCCCACGACAATACTGAGGCTGAACATCCCACCGATCACGCCTCTCAGTCGAAAGGGTGCAATTTCGATCGAATAGGTAAGCGAGAGCACACCGTACGAGCCCATTGTGATCCCGACGAGCAGGCCGCCAGCAAGGGTCATGCCTAGCGAAACGGCGAAGAATTGAATGAAGACGAAGCCAGCAGTAAGTGCAAGCGTTGCAAGGAATGTTATTCTGCGACCGAGTTTGTCCTGTTACAGCAGCACGTTCAGTTCTATTCTGTCTGCCTTTTTGTTGACATGTATGGCACCGCACTCACCATAATCACAGCGGAGACAGGAGCTCCAACGATTTGTCCGATCATGGCACATGCTGACAGCGCTGACTGCCACTGCGCGGGAATAATGTACATGTCGCCAAATTTGAAGCCGAATCGTCTTGCAAAAGCCGGCATGGCGTAGAGGACGGCGATCCAGGCGGGGCTGTAGGCCACGCTGCCATATGGAAATAGTGAGTAACATGATCTGGCACGGCCGGCCAGGCTGGCTTTGCCGTGGAGCGTACATACAGTATCACCGGCATCATAAATATGGTTGACCACATAGCCGCGTATGGCCACGCCACAATTGCTTCCTTCAGTGTTAAGTCCTTGGCTCCTGGTATTGTCGTTGTGGTTTGTGCGATGGTCTTGATTGAATCTTCTTGTACACTCACAGTCTCGCGATCTCCCCTGTCAGTGACTTGTGGAGCAGCTTCGTCTTTTGTCTCCATCACGAGGCCATTGTCCTTGTCCATCTGGATATGCGTGCTTCACTGGGTCGCGGCCGCCGGCACGGGTTTAGATTGGGAGATCTGGATTTTATTGTGCTCTCCCCAGCGCTGGCACAGGCATGCACTTCTCTTGGCCTGGGACAGGTTGCTTGAATGGGCTGTGTCGTTCAATAGGGGCTGGCAGGCTTTATACGTCGCTCGAGGACGAGATCGGAGGGGAGACTGTTCCTCCACAACCACATGTCGATATCGATATTGCTACGATTGCTAACGGTGGCTTTCATGCCCTTTCAAAAGCCGCTGATTGCCCTATCACTGGTCATATGCCCTGCGAGTACACTATTAGTCTTATCAGAGTTGCCTCCTATCGAGATACGGACTGACTCGTTATATCTTTCCTATTTTGGATTAGAACGAAACTTGCCACATACGCATGCATTTGATTGGTCACCGAAAGATCTTGGAGGCAGTCCATTCAGCAACGTGGAAACGTGCATCGCCAATGTGGTTGAAAACTTCACATTATGTCCACATTCTATTTATTGCGCAGCTCTCTGCTTCTTCAACTTGAGATACTCGATCGGCGGCAGAAAGTCACAATAACCAGAATAGGGTTCTCCGATGCCATAGCCAATGTCGTAGAGCATCTCCTCGTCGTATCCCATGCTCATAAGTGTTTCGAAGTCAGTTGCAAGAAATGGATTCTCTTCCTGTCGTAGGAAAGACTTGGTGAAAAAGCAGCTGTACAGAAGGCGTTCCTGGTCCGTGGTCTTATTGGCCGACGCTCCGTGGTAGGCACTAGCTAAAAGTATGAAAGCATCGCCTCTTTCCAGCTCCGCCTGCACGGTGAGACTCTCGTCCGGAGGGGTCATATGGTCCCACAGGTGACTGCCTGGGATGAAGCGGGTAGCACCATTCTCCTTTGTGGCTGGCTTGCCCGCCACGAAAAATCCGATGGCGGTGTCCTGGCCTTGGGTATACTGATCGGCGGTTTTGCGTTGGCATACGTTGTGGGAGATGGTGTCGTCACGGTGTAGACCTTGGGTTTTAGCCCCTGGTCTCACAGAGAATATTATGGTGTTGTGCAACTGTGGCTTGCCGTGACTCTCATGGAGCTTATCTCCAAACCAGTGCTTGAAGTGCGCGGTAAGAAGCTCGTCACGGATGGCCTTGAACAAAGGGTGCTGGACGACTTGTTCCATGTACGTCTTGGACTTGCCTGGCAAGCCTAACACCCGCTTGGATTGCTCAGAGAAGGTATCGCTCATGTGGTTCTTTTCGGAACTGAGGGGATCGCCGAGTTCCGGGCGAGTATCCTTCTCAATCTGATCCAGGTGGTGCTGCTCAACGGCCTTGCGGATGATGACACCCCCAGTCACAATCAAAGCTCTGATGACTTCTTCATCTGAACAGTTTCCATATTGAAACTCCTTCACTGGAGGCAAAGGCCTCAGTCGGTCATCTGAGATGTTGGAGAGGCTCTCCGTCTGTCTTGGTGACTCGACTGGAAGGTACTGAGGCACAGTCACAGGTGGGGTGATAGTTGTTGACATGATGTCCACGGGCGAGAGAACGGCTCAGATTCAAGGTTGGGGGTAGTCCAACTTCTAGCACGAGGTGGCTTTGTGCAGATGTGATCATTTAAATTTTTTTCATTCACTACAATGTTGTTTTGATTGTCATCAATGAAACACCCCGGAAGTTGACAGTTGCTTTTAGATCATTGAGAATACCGCTTCTCTTACAAATTCCTTATCGAACTCTAAGGGGCAGCTGAGAACTGGGGTCTCGCTATGACTTCCTTGAACTGTTCGAGTTCCCATTAGCAGCAACGACTGCTTCAAGGCTTCGGCGTGATACTCTTCTGTGTGAGTGGAAGGTGAACAGTCCAGCAGACACGTCTATCCTCGATGGTGGCCTTACAGGGATTGCGGCGAGAGGGTTAGTGGGTCACACCCTCTGCAATCGGAGCAACAAGGTGCGAAGAGTTAATGAGCGAAGAGGACGAGGGCGAGGACGATAACATGATACAGTACAATCACCTCATGGCCTTTCGTAACACGAGAGGCCAGCACGACGCCGTACCGGATTCATTCCCAGCTCTTCGGTGAATTGTCTAAACCCGAAAACCCGGGTCCGAAAGTTAGATGCGTTGCCGGAGCACTAGAATGACTCTGGAAGCTCTCGCCGAGTCAATCTTGGGTCGCTTCCGCTCGCAATTCTATCCAGTTTGAGGAGTGCCATCTAAGTAGGGTAGTACAATTGGCTGCGACCTTATCGAGCTGTTCCTTTCGGCCGCGGAGCGCGACGTGTTGGGATGTGGGAAGGCTGGCTCGCCACGTATTTACTTGCACGCTTGAGATTGTTTGGATGCTTTAGGGAACTCTTTCCCATCTTGAATGCTGTCCGAAACCCCGAAGTGGCTCGGGAACCTGCCAGGAGACTCATCTCCAAGTTGTGTAAGGGTAGCAATGTACAAATTCATTCCACATTCGTCAGCAAGAGAGCGTTCTGTCATATTTAATACCAGGACATCTTGAAGAGGCTCCCACCACATCGAGATCGGGCGAAAATCAATGTTATCTGTATCAGCTACGATGGCAACTGAATATCGCGGCCACGGAACGCCACTTGCCGAACTTGGGGTGAGATACTTCAACGCTGCCGGACCTCAACGAGAAATGGCAGCTCTTGCGCACTTGTCGAATACTGTTACCGTCCCATCTAACGTCACGACCGTCCATATTACTGGCCAACTTGGGCGCATCGCCGACGGTTCCATCCCCGACTCCATCAAAGAGGAGTTTCGTGCAGCGTTTGTGGCCGTTGAAGAGGCGTTGAAAGTCGCAGGCGCGGATGGGTGGCGGTCCGTGTATAAAGCCCAAACATACCTTACTGTCGAGGGGACGGAAGGGCTTCCCCATTATGGCGAATTAGTCAAAGAGTTCTGTGGCCAGAACAAGCCAGCTCAGACCGCGGTCACTGTACCTCAACTGTTATGGCCCAAAGCTCGAATTGAGATCTGGGTCGAGGGTGTGATGTCCACGACTGGGGCTTGAGTTCTGATTAGGCGCAGAACCAGAAAGTTGATGGGGAGGCCGGGATATGTACTCAGTCGGGGACGGTCGTGGGCGAGGGCATGGCGCCAAATCCAAACTCGGAGGGCGGGCAGAGACAAAGGAATCAGAGTGTCCTCAGAAAGAATGACTTTGGCCTGTCACAGGGACCAGGGACCCTAGGGTGATGGATCTTGAACGGGCACTCCAGCGGAACCTTACCGAGAAAATGAGGTGGTTTCAGTATACCACTGTGCCGTTATCTGTAGGTTACCAATAACTGTCAAACCGTCTTGCTCAGCAGATCTGTAGGTGTCGGCGGGCAACGCACTAGCAATCTGTCGAGATTTAGACAGGTTGGTGCTCCCGCAGGCTGGACGGCCGATAAGAACCACCGAAACCGGCACGGGTCGAGGCCTTGCCCGCCTCACTTGGGGTAGGCACTGGTTAGTCTTATCGCTCGCTCTTTATGTACGTTATCTCATTGCCCCGGATTTCTAGATATGGAGTCGTTTCCCACTGGCATCTAACTCTGGGGCGTTTTCCTTCAAATACTGGTGGCTCTGCTCCTTTTACGGGAAAGGTTTAATTCTCGTTGTTGCCGCCTTCCTCTCGCTTGCAGATGGCAGGATCAAAAATCACTCAGCGCGCAAGGACTTACACGGGCTGTTGGACATGCCGCGCTCGACGAATCAAATGCGATGAGGCACGGCCTCATTGCCAACGCTGCATCCGCCGTGGGAAACACTGTGAAGGTTACGACATCCGGCTCAACTGGTCAGAATGCCGACACTTTGTTCTCTCGACCCATTCACACCAGGCAAGCGGCGACCCAAATGCTGCGCGCAATACGTCTCCGAAGCTGAAACCCTCGCCCAGGCCAGGGAAGGTGGCCGCCCACGCGGGCGGGGACGCTTCAGCAGCCGCTACGCTTCGTTGTTCAGGGCGGGTGCATGCCCGCCGAGATTCCAGTGCCTCCTTCGACGAGCGTCTTCTAGCCACGAATGAGGGCCGTGGGAAGCCAGAGCCTATTGATTCACCTTCGGCTGACATGGAGCTGCAAATGCAAGACGGAAGAGGCTGCAGACCTCGCGAGCCACGTCTGTCATTTCTGTCGGCTGTGCAGACTCGACATCTGGACCTCCTTCCGATGCCGAATGACCAAAAAGAATTAATACACCATTGGTCGACGTATTTGAGCGTGAAGCTTGCTATAATTGACGGCCCGGACAATGTTTGCAGAAGTTCAATGTGTTCCAGGGCCCTGACCGGTCTCTTGAGCAGCTCCAAAGAATCCAGCGCCGACATAACAATATTTCATGCTATATGCGCCGGGGCCGCATTCAACCTCTTTGAGCTTACTCAAGGCAGCGTCAAGGCCCATGAAATCCTCGCACTCAAACACGAGAGGCTTGCGCTTATGCACCTGCGTTACAACCTAGGCCGGCACGAGGAATTGAAGAATCAGTCCCTTGGTTTGGCAATCATGGCATGCATCGTCGTGGATGCAATTGCGGGCACCACGGGACGCTGGCGAGCCCACCTTGCAGGTGGCATGTCTTACCTCAGATACCTCGCCGCACACGGATGTGATACCGAAGACGAGTTCATTCGTGACATGCTCTATATGGCGATACTGTGCCAATTGGATGTTCAAGAGGGCGGCTGGGACCTGTTGGGCAAACAATCCAGAGGAATAGGTCCAGATCCCTCTTATGGGGCTTGCAGTTCCTTTTTCAGCAACCTTGCGAGGATGAACCAATTTTCGACGGCGAAACACCGACCCCCGACGGACCAAGAGTTGGATGCGTTCGAGCTGCAACTGCATCTCAGTTGCCCATCCCCGCAATCGCCCTCACTCAAGATAAAGCCGAACCATCGAGCCACGGTCATACACCACGTGGCCAAGGCATTTCACTATGCCAGTATTGTCTACTTCCAACGGAGCATACGGCGGAGGGCACTTGATGCCTCCAGCGACCTCGTGGAGTCTGGTGTGCATGAACTTGAGACCATCGAGAGCTTGACAAGGGACACCGCCGGTTGTATGACCATGTGGCCGGCCCTCGTCCTGGCTGCGGAAGCATCGACCTTTGATCTCCAGCTTCGGATGACACAGTGGTTCCAGACAAAGCACAAACTTGGCTTCCGAAACGTACGAATCCTTCGTGAAGTGGTGGAGGAAGTGTGGACGAGGAGGGCCCGGAGTTGCGTTCCCCGGGAGGTGTCATGGCAAGCCGTGATGGCAGAGCAAAAGTACGACGTGTTCAGGCTATAACTTTCCATTTCTCAACAACAGAATATGTGTCTCCCCCCCTGGTTCGTTTTAATGAGATGCATCCATCCTTCCACTTTTCGGACTCTTTCTAGTTTCCGGGCGATACGTTCGGCGTCGTGGTCCTGGTAGTCCCCCTGAAACCTGTCTGCCTCAACAGCTTTGCCACGGATTACCCACTATGTCTGACTGTTCGACAGTAGGTGTATAAGTCCTCTAAAGTGTTGACCGACAATAATAGCAGGAGACTCGAATCTCTAAGGTTCTGTGAAAAACCCTCTCTTGGCGTCTCCTACGATGAAAGCCTACGACCAGGCTTTTCCGTAGGATTAAGTCGAGGATGAGATCGCTCCGTCGTCCGAGCGAACCACCTATATTTGAGGGCCCGAAAAACATCTCGAAGTATAGTTATCCGTTCTATCCATCGAATTACATTATCAATATATCCATCTTAGGTCTAATATAGATACGCTTGCAGTCGGAAGAGTTGTGTCTGCTCAGGCGCCCAGGTTCTGAGCTTCACACATCTTTTGATACATCTTGCTCTTGGCGAGAAGTTCCTCATGGGTCCCTGTTACCAAGATTTTGCCGTTATAGAAGACGCAAATCACGTCTGCGTGTCGGATGGTCGACAATCGATGGGCCACAGCGATTGTGATTCTGTCACTAGTCTTTGCAGCTTCATTGAGAGCATCCTGCACCACCCTCTCTGACTGGGTGTCCAACGCACTCGTAGCCTCATCGAGAAGCAGTAGACGAGGGTTCCGGATGAGCGCTCTGGCAATTGCAATTCGTTGCCGTTGTCCTCCAGACAGTTGCAGGCCGTTGGATCCGCAAAGGGTGTCAAGACCTTCGGGCAATGAGGAGACGAAATCCCAAGCGTTGGCAGAACGACAGGCTGCGATGATGTTCGACTCAGAAACTGATGCCATATCGTCTGTGGCAACACCCATGGAGATATTTTCTCGTATGGTTCCGGGATACAGCTTCGGCTCTTGTTCAACGAGGGCAACCTCTTTGCGAAACAGCCAAGGGTTCATTCGATCCAGCGGCTTACCATCCAAAACGAGATGACCGCGGACAGGGTCGTAGAATCTCTCTAACATCGCGATCATTGTGCTCTTTCCACAGCCAGAGGCACCAACAAACGCCACAAATTGGCCTTGCTTGATCTAAAATCATGAGTCAGCTCGAATCGAGGGTCCAATGGGAAGCGGTCGAGTAATGGAGGGCACGTTGGGAGCTTCGAACGTACCTTGAGATCGACGTGCCGCAAGACACGGACTTCTGGCCTTAGCGGATAAGAAAATTGCACCCCATCAATGTCGAGCGACTTGAAGTCAGTAGGCGCGACTGCACGATTCTCATCAGTCTCACGGATGCTGGGCTGCAGTTGTTCAAGCCAAAATATGTAGTTGGCTGCGTTGGTGGCTTTGGTCATACTGCCTGCGAATCCAAAGATGATAGAGGCCTGTTGGCCGGAGAAAAATACTCCCAGGAATGCAATGAAGAAGTTGGTCATGCTCAATTCCCCAAAAGAGACCAGCCGGCATCCGTACCTGGACAAACACATCAGTTTGGCGGCTTCAGGGTAACGTGGAGTGGATCGAATGAAGCTGAACTGACCAGAAACCCAATGCCTGAAAAGCATACTCAATGCTCTGCGTGAAGGCAAAAGGAAGCATTATAAGGAGAATCGGGGAAAAAGAATCGGTTATCGCGCGCTGAAGCTCTTTGTTGTAGTTGTCAAGAACAGAGTCCTCAATGGCGAGCGAGGAGACGGTTCTGATGGCGTTGATCGCCTCTGATGCAATCGAAGCGCTCATCGAAAACCGCTTCGATATCTTGGCTTCCATGGTAGCTTCCATCCGTATCCGGGCGTAACCAGCGGCCAGCATGGGTGGCAGTCCAGCGAAAATGATGACAACGCCTAGCCTCCATCCATAGATCAGGGCTACAATACAACATGCGAATACACCCATGGCGGAAACAAAGATCAGAGCAACGTTGAAGCCCATGAGCTCAAAGACGGCTTGAGGATAAGAATCCACGCGGCTTGATAGCGCGCCAGTGGTGTTCTCGGGACGGTCGAAAAACCTGAGATCTTGACGGAGCATGTCATTCATAATTTGCTTTCGATATTTGTGGTTCAGGGTCTAGTACATGGTCAGCAAACCGAGGATATCGTTGTACAGACCTATCTCACCTGGGCAACGACGTTGGAGGTCCAGCCAAGCGCGAAGTAGACGACAAGACAGCCACAAGCCATGACGAGGAACATCAAAGCCAAAAAGCTTCCCCTCTTCTGCATCGCAGAGCCGGTGAGCTCGAAAACCTCAATAAACTTCGACATCAGGATGGCTTGGCCGGGAAAAGAGGCAGCTGCGAGCACATTGGTAAAAATTCAATAATGTCGGTCGTCGCTTCTCAGCTTACCTGCTCCTGCACACGCCAGTGCTAACCAGAAATACGTCGCTCGAAGTTCAGGAGTCGTCCTGACAATTCTTACAACCGTGTGGAAAAGTCCAACACGCCTCCATCTATCATAATCATCTCGGTCAAGGTCAGACTCCATTTGTTGTCGTGTGGCCGTAGAATAGTGTGTCAGGACCTTGCTCAGATCGTCTGGCTCCGCGGTGTCAGCCTCATTCTGATCGGTGGCGGAGCTATTGCTGTTGCAGTCTGGCTGGATTGACAATGACAAATCTTGAGCTTTGACCAAGCGCGAATAAGCACCTCCAGCTTCCAGAAGGGAATGGTGAGTGCCCTGCTCAAGGATGCGGCCCTTGTCCATGACAACAATGTTGTCCGCGTTGCGGATGGTGGCTAGCTTGTGAGCGATAGTCACAGTGGTCCGGCCCTTGGAAGCATTGTCGAGCGCTTTCTGTACGACCTCTTCTGCATGAGGATCCAGAGCTGATGTAGCCTCATCGAGAAGCAAAATCTGTGGCTGTGAAATGATGCTTCGAGCAATGGCGACCCTCTGCTTCTGACCACCAGAGAGTAATCCGCCCCGTTCACCTATGATTGTATCATAGCCATCAGGAAGGCCACTGATGAAGTCGTGAGCGAAAGCAATCCTGGCAGCTTCCTGGACTCGGATCAACTTTTCGGCCCGTGGTTCATGCTCCCAAGGCGTCCCAACTAGACCGTTGACGATATTATCATAAACTGTACCTGAGAACAAGACGGGTTCCTGTTGGACCAGGCGTACATGTTTTCTTAGCCATTGAAGGTTCAGCTTATCGATTGGCCGGCCATCAAGCTTCAAAGTGCCAGATACTGGGTTGTACCATCGTTCAATGAGCCCGATGATGGTGCTCTTCCCGGATCCGCTGGCCCCGACGAGTGCGGTCACCTTGCCAGCAGGAATGCACAGGCTGAAATTTTGGAGGATCGGAACGGTGGGGCGCATGGGGTAGCTGAAGCTGAGATTGTAGAAGTGAATGGTGCCTTCGATCTTCGAAGGTTGCTCGCCAGATTTATCAAAGGGGTCGATAGGCGAGGGATGGTCCATCAACCTGAATAGCTCCGCGGCGGCTGAAGCAGCCCGACTGAAGTCGATCAAATATGGAGCGATGGCAGTCAAGCTGGCGGACGCGATGATGACGGACATGAGGACCCTACGACCGGTAAGTACGGGGACAACAATCATGAGTAGGGGGTTACTGTACACAAAAACATCGCCAGGCTTGTCCACCTCGTTGCGGGCTAACATTAGGATTGCTTGCCAAAAGCACAAGCCAACCCCTGCGAAAATCACGAAATACTCAGCAGAAAACATGCAGCCGAGGACGGCATGCTTCCGGTTTCCCAGACGGTGTGATTCTTTGAGAAACTTGTTGAACTCTCGCACGAGTCGCGTTCGAAGGTCGAAGGCTTGGACATTGCGAGCGCTTGACAAGACACTCTCAGCAAAAGAGCCGGCCTGTGCGTGGACCCGGAGGATCCTCGTCTCAATCGCAGCTTCCATCGCGGAACTTATGCCCATCACCAGCAGCGTTGCCGGCGCTATACAGCAGCAGATCAGAGTTAGCTTCCACTGAGTGACAAAGGCCAAGATGAAGGCAGCGATGAAACAGGCCACTCCTTGGACTACCAATCCCAGCTTCTCTGAAATGCCTGCTTGGATCAGTTTGCCATTAGAAGTGGCCTGCATCGCGATTGATCCGCCGATCCCAGAGTCAAAGTAGGCGATGTCCTGGCTGAGGCCGGCTTTGAGGTACAGGTAGCGGATATTTCGAGCGATTCGGTACGCCGCAAGCGTAAAGAGGACGCTGTACCCATAGCTAAGGATAAAGCGACCGATCCCGATGACGAAGAAGTAAAGGCTACTTTCACGATCAGCTCTCTGTCGCATCTTGCGCCGATACGGTCCTCTAGGGAGCATACGCGAGCCTTGCAGCGTCACTGCGGAATCTATCGGCGGTCGAAAGACCAGTGACATAATTGGTGATGACGGTGATAAATTCACCAAATACCAAGTTCACCAGCGCCATGGCCACACCAGAAGCCATAGCACAGAAAGTGGCCACTGCCTGCATCGAATATTCGGTCGAGGTGGCATACTGAAAGACTCTCTGGGCAGAGGGAACAGCTATCAGCCTTCAAAACAACAAGGCAGAATTTCTCACTTTTCACGTACCAGGTAGGCGCTCCCCGCGCCGATCTTCTCCTCAGCTTCTTGCTTCAGGCCTGACGTGTCCGAGGCTGTTGATTTTTCCCCCTGCTCGGTGGCGCCCATCGTGGCAAGTGGAGGAAATAACAGATAGCGCACCGGAAACCCAGAAGTCCTGAAAGTGTTGCGCGGTCGAAGCCCCCTACCAAGACGATGAATGAGGATGAAAGTGCAGGATGATTTCGGCTATGAAATCACGTAGAAAAGAGGATGTGCCTTGCTATATAAAACATATTTGTCGTGTTATAGCCAGGACATATCTATTCGTCCTTCACTTAGCGTAATTTCGATGGACCTTCGGGGAGTCACAAGTCCCGAACGGGATCTTACGAGTGGGGAGCGAATATCGAGCTCAAGGTATGAGCGGTGGCAAAGATAGAGCTTTGGAAAATTGAGCACGGTGAGCGATCGGGGCTGCCGATGAATTGATGTTGGACTTCGAACCGTGCACTCGAGCCCGGCAACCATCTGTTCAACCATCGTTGTGCTTACAGACATCTTCAGCACGCCTTTCACTCTCGCACTTTTCCAAAGAGGCTTCAGCATGTCACTCTAGCAGAAGGGCTTGTGCCTCCTCGGCCCCATGTATTTCACCATGGTGGCTGAGCGTGCGATGCGCGCAAATGATTGAACATTCGTTGGAGCCGCACTTGAATGCTCGTCACGGTCACGGGCGAAAACTGCAGGCGGAGATTCGGGTCGTATCGCGGACTCTCGGTGGGTAGTATACAAGCCGAAAGACCGTGCGGAGCCCGCCGCCCGGTACACCCAGCAGAAAGGTTATCCATCCAACTAAGTGGGACGGGGCAAGGCTGGCGTAGTGCGCGCACGACTGTATATGAAGCCCCCAAACTGTAGGCAGCAGATCGACTAGGACCCCATCCTCAGCATAGAGACACATAACCGCACTGGATATCGACTTTTTTTTTTTTTTTGACATCATGCCCTCTGCCGAGGAAAGCGCCAATTTTCTTGTGAGCCTTGGGCTGCGTCCCGAGCAAATAGAGATTGCCACGGCAAACGGGCAGGCCGCTCCCAGCAAAGTGGTGGAATTCACCTTGTCTCTGCTACATCCAGACCTGGTCGAGTTTCCTGGCTCCGAGGGTTACTCTCTGTCCGTCAAAGGCAACTGGTGAGCGCCGCTTGCCTTTTGTCTGCCAGCTCCGTGGGAATGTGTTTGGAAGCTGATTCTAGCTCGCTCTCACCCAAGGTCGTGGCTCGCGCGCAAAACTGCTTCAGCCATATTCCATCCCACCCTCACCAGCCATGTCGCCACCGCGGTGAGGCTCCTCGAGTTCTACGATGTCAAGTTTGCCGTGCGTGGGGGTGGTCACTCGCCAAACCCAGGGTGGGCGAGCATTCAAGACGGGCTTCTCATTTCCACCCACCGTCTCAACGCGCTGCATCTTGATGAGGCGTCGGGGGTCGTCAGTATTGGAGCTGGTAACCGCTGGGGCATGGTATATCGACACTTGGAGAAGTTCGGACTCATCACCACCGGCGGCCACTCGGCACCTGTGGGCTGTGTCGGTCAGATCACCGGGTGTATGTATTGCTCGCACCACCAGCATTTATCATCTCCCAAGCCACGTCAGCCGAGCATTGGAAGAAGAGAGAGCCCTAGGACTGACCGATGACAGGCGGCAACTCGCCTTGGTTCCACAAGTACGGATGGTCGTGCCAGAACGTCGTGAACTTTGAGATCGTCACCAGTGGTGGTAAGGTGCTTAACGCCAGCAGGAACGAAAACACGGACCTGTGGTGGGCTCTCCAGGGCGGATCCAACAACTTTGGCATCGTCACTCGCTTGGATATGGCCACGTTCCCGGCTCCCGAAGGGGTGTGGGGTGGGCAGATATTCTGGGAACACAGCAACGATACGCAGCGCAAAGTTTTGGAGGCATACCACGATTTCGCGACAAGACGCATTGGGATCGATCCAGGGGTCGAGTCGCTCACAGGTTTTGGCACTCTGAGTGGCCAGAAATACATCCAGAGCGTGCTCTCCGCCGACCGAAACGTTCTAGAGGGCTGTCATCCTTATGCCTTTGGCGGCTTTTTCGCTCTAGCACCTGCGGCCGTGACTGGGAACTGCAGGCCATCGCGACTCGCAGCTCATGACGAGTTTAAAGAGGATGATATTCATCCCCGAATCTACTTTTCGGAGGAGACACGGTTCGTACGCCCCCTTGGAACCATCCCTTTCCCAGGGCCCGAGCTGTGCTGACGTGCCATCTACGTAGATCGCTCATGCTCTGCCTTACCGTAAAGGCCGATCTGGACTACCTCCAACGGGCTGTCGACATCTTCTATGAGGTATTCGATGAAGCCAGCAAAACGAAGGACGCTGTTGCTTGCTTGAACTTTTCCCCGATTGCCGCCCGCACCATTCGCATGTCCAATGAACGCGGGGGGACCGCCCCCGGCTGGGATGAAGAGGATCAGAACAGTATGTTTTACCCGCATCAGGCGAGCCACACCAATAGGTGCATCTGTGGTGCGAACCGCTGACAATGATGGAAACAAGTCGTCTTCCTCGATAATGCATGGCTGCGTGCCGAAGATGATGAGCTCATGTTGAGGCTGGGTCAAACATGCATTGCACGCCTGCGGACCGCTGCGCGGGAACTCGGCGTTTTGAAGCAGCAGATCTGGATGAACAACGCAGGACCCGACGACGACGTTATTGGTAGCTATGCAACGGAAAGTGTGGCTCGACTCGGCGACATCTCTCTCAAATATGATCCCAACAGGACATTTCAGCGTCTGTTGACGGGTGGCTACAAGCTGGAGCGGAATTAGTCATCGATGTTGCGCATTGACGGGTACAAGGTAGCGCTGGATGCACGTACGTGATGGATGCTTTGGTAGTCATTCATGGAAATCGCAAGGCTGGCTCGTAGCGTAGTCTTGGTGCACGTGGCCCGTATTTGTCGACATGTCGTCGCTTGCCGTGACGCTCTATTTGTTGCTGTTACTGGTCCGGTTGAAAATGACGACGTCAGGGAAGGCGAACTGTTACAGGCAGCGGGAAAAAATGATGCAGTCAGGTTCACCTTGATCTCGTAGGCCAACAGTTTCAAGACGAGTGGCTTGGTTAAGCCTTGGTGCCCCCGACCACTAGTTTTTGGCATTAGGCCGGGTTCCTGTAGCTCTCAGATAGTTTACAATGACCATTACCAACCCTTGCAATCCAGTCTCGCTCCACAGCTCGTGTCTCGTGTCTTGACCTCACAGCTTGGTAAAGCCCATGGACGCGGAACGTACGCTCAGTTGGACAAGGCTGCCCAAAATCCTTTGCCCTTCTTGTTACGCTTCCTGTTTGCAGCCTTAGCGGCATTGGCACATCGGCCGTATTGTCGCAGTGGGAAATGTTTGATTGCAATAGATCAGGCACTGATACTTGATGAGAGACCGAGAACAGGCTTTATTTTATCTGCATCGGCTCAGTAAGTGGTACTCCATGTTACGAGTTGGGGCGGTGACCTTGTAGGTTCGGCCCTAGGTATGATACGAGTGACTGACATTTGCTCTGCGTGATCTGAGGTGCTCTGTTGGCAGAACACACAGAGGATACAGCGCTACGGGGATATATATAATGCTCGTTCTATAGATTCCTAATATATAGTCAACTTCGTTCTTGATCATACCCCTACATTTGATCAGTCTCACTCCGAGTAAATCGACCCACTCTGTACTCAACCCTCTCTTCATCTGTTTGTGTATGCACTTGCCAAGGAACCTCCTTGGATCGCGGACCTCGAAGCGATTCATAACACTCCAGTAGATCGGGGTCTGGTCCGAGGGGAACGCCATCAAGTGCTCCGAGCCTTGTGAATAGCGGCAGCGGCTTTGGCACCCGACTCGATCGCGCCGTCAATGAAACCTCTCCATACATCCGCCCAATCAGCATTGGCAAAGTATACATTACCAGAAGAAGCCTGTAGGCTTTTGAGATACCTGGTGACGTAGCCTGGGCTATGCACGGCCCACCCACCCTTGGAGTAGGGGTGACTGTGGTAGTCCATTCCGAGCTGCAAAACAGCGGTTAGATGGATGCTTGAAAAAAAAAAAAAAAAAAACAAAAGAG